GAGTTATTTAGATTTCAGAATCTATTTTGACAAGTAAAATTATATTTATGTTATTAGTTGTGTTGATGCAAATTTTGCTGAAGATTTAGATCATTAAAGCTCTACGACATGATATATTTTCACCATGGCTAGTAGATCTGTGAGTTGAAAGTCTACACTTCAAACTACAGTCATATTGTCTACAATTGAGCTAGAGTACATGACAGCTACTAAAGCGATTAAGAAAGTTTTATGGTTGAAGGAATTATTGTGCAAACTTGGGATCTGATAGGGTAAAGTTCCTCTATATTGTGATAGTCATAGTGTTATTTACCTGACATAAGATCAAATATATCATGCATGGTCAAATCATATTGATGTATGGGATCTTCATGGCACAGTGAAAAAGTTCAAACATTATTTGAATTTAATTTATAACATAAGATCAAATATATCATGCATGGTCAAATCATATTGATGTACGGGATCTTCATGTCACAGTGAAAAAGTTCAAACATTATTTGAATTTAATTTATGTTGTAAGTACCTAATAAAAAGTGGAGAATTTATAGTATGGGCAGACGTCGACTTTGGGTGCAGCAATGATGACCGCTAAAGTAGATTTTATTGATAGTGTTAGTCCATCACAATTGACCTATTGAAGAGACATGCAAGGAGTCTCCTCTCGTCTCAACTATTCGGGAGACGTACGAGAGATCTTCTCCCGTTTGACTAGCTTAGGAGACATGCAAGGAGTGAAAGGTGGTGACACGATTGTCACCTCATACTTAGTTGAGGGTCATGTAGGGAGAGAGGTAGTAGAAAACAAGAGAGGTTGAAGTCATCACCTCTGAGATGTGTGAGCTCACCCACACGTAGGTTCAAATACATCCTTTTAGGAGGCGGTTATCTTTTTCTATTTTCTATAAATAAGGTATGTATTTCCTCTCTTTTTTAGTACAACAGATGATAAGATCTCTCTCTCTCGATTTTATTCTCTCTCTTCATCAACTCTCTTCCTCTTTCCTAGTCTCTCCTTTTTCTTCTATTAAAGGTGAAGTCTTTAAGAAGGAGATAAGAATCAATTGTTGACTCTCCAATGTGTGGGTCGTCTAGAGGGTGTTGAGATGTAGATTAAAGGTGTCTAATGAAAGTTTAATTCTCATTAGAATTTCAAATACCTTGGTGATTTCTCTTCTATTTATTCTCATTGATATCTAAAAATCAAGTTTCTGATATCATTGTGATCTTATGCTTGCATACTTATTCTTACAATCTTTAAGGGTGAGAATACATGTCCTATAAAGGGCTTGTGTATTTTTACATAATTGTGAGGCTATTCAATATTTCAATGGTCAAGACAAATACGAGAGAACAAAAGCTCTGTGATATCATGTTACGAGTCTTAAGTGCGGCACCCCTTTCTTAGAGAAACAAGGTTCTAGGAGTGAATCGTCACTACAAGCATATACAACCTCAGGTCCTCCTTGCGGGCACATTAACACAAGGCAGTAGGACACAAAGGACACATCATAGCATGGCACGGTAGGCATGAGCTAAAAAGTTCATGTGGGTGCACACACAACTTAGAGAGAAGGCAATCCTAGGTCAAATTGAGGGTGAAAAGAGTTGTTTGTGCACTATTTGCTGCATATACAAAGCATGAGAGATTTGTGCGTGTGTGCACTGCATGAGTTGATGACCTAGTTTTGATAATAATATTAATCATTGAAAAAACATATCAAAATATTTCATAGTCAAATTCGTCATGTAATTTCTAGAAAATAACAATATAACCATATAAATAAGTTTAATATCATTTTTTCTAGATTAAATAAATTTATAAATATTTAATAAAATTAAATAATAAAATATAAAATATTAAGCATTTTATCATGTAATTAATGAGAGTTCTCACCTAGTCTAGACAAAATGAGGATCAAGGGGGTGCCCACCAAACCTCAAAGGATGATATCACAAGGTGGTATGTCGACGAAATGGTGTCACATAGCAGTTGTATTGCCTCAGTTTGGCATGACACATAACAGCACAATTGACACGAGTGTGTAGACACGCAGCATGAGGCAACATGATCCCACACATGCAGTGTATGTGCAGAGGTGTGCAGCGCATGCACTAAGTGAGCAGCAAGAGAAGAATGAGGTTAATGGAAGTGCCCATTAATCTTTGGTAGGGCCCACTTTCAAAACTCCACCTGTTAAACCAACCTCTTTGAGATAATGACATAACCACATATCTAGACATCATTAAGTGGCGTGCCTTATGCTGCCTGTGTTGATTGAGCCTTTGTACCATGATTATTTAAGAAGGGGGTGAATTGGACTTTTTATTCCTCTTCAATCAATTTAAACTGAAAAACTCATAGTTCATTTACTAGGGATTATAATGGTACAATCAATCGAACTTAGTTCACTATATTGTGAGTAAATCACATTGAATCTCAATTTTCATAAACATTCGCAGAATATACAAGCCTTGACAAAAAAATGAGTTAAAATATGACTCCAATGACCCTATGTTGAATGCTTTCACCTGAGCAAGCTTAAGTGGTGATGAACAAAGCATCTCTCAACCTCTAATACAGTTATTTAATAAGTTCAAACCTTACCTGGCTTGAGGAATGTTTCTCTCAATATAGCTTTGACTCCAATGAGCATTATTGATCTTCATTGTCTTCAGGTGCTCTAGATGACAATATAGCTTTGACTCATGTGTAAAAGTGTGGGGAGCATGAGCAGGGTTCTTCACAAAATCCCTTCCCTTTTCTTCCTTTATTGCTTTCTTGCTTTCTCTCTTTCTGTATAAATCAGAAAATGCCTCTACATCGGTTATTGGGATACAAAATGACTACTAATGGGCATAGAAATCAATAGAAAATCCACACATTAATCTTATAAAATTCTTAACAAGTTGAAAACACAGGATTTTGATGTGCCCGTTTGTTGCATTGTGTTTCTCTTTAGATAAGCATTCCAACGAGTCAATGCTCATATCCATGACATCATATTTCAACTAAAAAATATTTTAGTCATTCGAGATAGAAATATAGACTATTTTTCCCATGACAAATTTTCACCTTATTTAATTTACGACAATCCACATTAAACATACAAGAAATTAGTATTCATATATTACCGTATTGTCCTCTTTCAACATTAAAACCATCAAGGTTCTCAATGGCAATGATCTATGCATCACAAGGGTGAGGGGATATCAACCTGTTGAGGCAAAATGAGAAAAGTACATAGGTGCCTCTCCTCTATCTGAAAGGAACATCGGCTCTCACAATTCCATCCCCAACTACCAAAAACTACCAGAAATGTTTCAAAAAAAGTAGGCATACGACGTACAAAAAGCTCGCGTCCTTCTTTATCTCTAAAATAGGGTGTCCTAACCATCCATAGGTAGGGGGTTCCCACATTCTCATGAATCATGCACAAATGGGCTGGTCTCCCCTCTCGTAATCGTAACTCTTACGAAGAGTAATACTCCCCTTTAAGCTTGCAAACTTCAGCAAGGTTTCGCAAGGGCGAAGGCTGCTTGGTGTCACTGAAGACAACCAAAGCCAGTGTGTGGTGGAGCAAGTAAAGGTATGCTACGCTGACCATGGCATGACACCAAGCCCGAATCCCTAAATCCCAAAGAATAAAATTTAGGCATTATGCCATTAGATAAAATGATCTAGGACAAGAAAGTGAATGAGGAAAATGTAAGTCAAATATAATGCCATTTGGAAAAGACTAGGCATGCTGCGATGTTCCCTTTTTACTTTTCTCACAAGAAACTAATCCAAAGCATTACTGAAGTATTCATTTGGCTATCATGTATTTAATCAGCTGATGTCTTATCCATACGAGCAAAATTAGAACAGCCATCGAGAAAACATTATTGAAAACGTACTCTATTTATTCCTTTAATGAGAACAACCATCAAGAAAAGCATAATTGATAAAACTACAACAAAATTAGTTTCTAGTAAGAAGACTCGTGGGGATTGCTTTAGACTAAGAGCAGAATGCCAATACCGGGGGAAATTCACATGTTTAATACGACGTGCTTCTCCTTTGTGCAGCAGATCCAATGAAAAGGAGACATTGGGAGCGGGAGCATACCAGGAGTTGAACAGCTGTGCGACGATGGCTGGATGGAGAGTAGAATTCATGTCTCTTTATCTTTAAGATACATATTTGAAGTACATAAGGATTGATAACTTAATAAGAGAGTCGTATATGCAATATGAGAGTTACTAGAGGATATGAATGAGCTTGAACTAAGAAGTTGTCTCATTCACTCGATCTCCTCCTTGAGTTTTCTTATTTCCCCATCATTGGAATAGATAGGCGCCTACTAATGAATAGGTGTCGGGTTCACTTCTCCTTTGAAAGAGCCTGCAATGATATTCTCCCACACATTCTGCACAATCGTCACTTATGTATCATCTTTTTCACAAAAAGAGCACCACAAGTTAGTCTTAGAGTCAACAACATCATGCCTCCGATTTTTACCGTGTTTTCATTTATTAGAAATATTAGAACCAGCTGCACTCTTCAGAGTCCCAACCTTGGCCGGGGTTAGCGTTCTCTCCTTTACGTATGGCTGAATTTTCAGATGGTTGGTTCTCACTTATCATGATCATTTTGATGAAACAAGACCCAAGATTCATGTAAGCTATTCATGTGGATCACTCATTTCTCTCCCCCTCTCTCTCTCTCTCCTCGCCCGCTTGCTCTCGTCGTTATTAGATGGCAATTTTCATCGTAATGAACCCACCCACAAATTTCATCCTTAAAGAAAGGGATAAGTAAAAAGGTCCTTCTTTGTGCAGTTCTCTGTCCCGGATTGGGAGGTGAAAACAGGAAACGTTTAGTACGTTTAGTATTCCGTGAGACCTCAGAATCTACTGGGTGCGGGTGGACGATTGGTTGTGCCGCCTGTTTCCGGCGACTCTCTGACGGTGCTCTGGAGAGGACGGGGGTTGGCGGCGGGCGGGGCAGAGAGAGAATGATGAAGCTCTTCTCCAGGGGGCGGTTCGAGTTGAACGCGCTGGACCCGCGGAAGGTTCGCTGCGTGGAGTTCCTTGCGCAGTGCGACGCCAGCAGGAACAAGGAGCTCAGTCCGGCGTGCCGGGTGGCAGTGAAGCCGTGCACTGACGTCCACCACCCTCAGACCACCATCACATACGTCAACGTCACCGAGGAGGTCGCGGACGCAACCTCCACCTATGCCCAGTCCCTCCGCGACCACGTCATCGAGAAGGGCCGGACGCTCTCCCCAGAGAAGATTTCCCGCAAGGCCGACGAGCACCGGTCCGTCATCGTCCCCGAGGATAAGCTCGATGTGAGCTTCCCCGGCACAGAGGTGATCCCCACATCGTTATTATTTCGTCTCCTTGTCTGGCTGGCCGATCCATGTGTTTCTCTTTTCGCCCCTTTCCGCTTCTTCTCCCCGCCTCCCTCATCCCAGGCATTTGATCGACTATTTGGCGCGGATGTATATTGAGACGGTAGGTACCTCTTTTTTTTTGGATGAAGTCTTTCTTCGCCTAGAACGATGACAAAAGTTGAAGAGGTGACTATGGTTTTTTCAGTCTTCTCATCTTTGGAAACTCTGTGTCTGTCTTCAGCTCTGTCTGTCCGTAAAAATAATCAAACGCAGCATGTTTAAAACTCATTGTATGCTTCCTTTTTGTGAATTATACGTTACCCATGTCTTAGCCTCGGTCTTGGATTAGGCGAGAGGCGTACCGAAAATAGAGAGAGAAACCGGGCGCAGTAAAGAAAGGAAGCAGATTCCTAGTCTTCGTCCATCGACTTTGTGATCTCTGTCCACCTTTCGCAACTAAGAGCGAAAGGTTTCGTGAAAATGGGAGGCAGTCATACCTCGCCTCTCTCTTTCAGAAGGTTGCAGGTGACGGTCCTCATTACTTGAAGAGGATCATTCTACAGTTCAAAGAATTCTCGACAGCCTAGTGTGAAGGCAATCCTTTTATTCTTGCACATGTGGCTCGGGTTGACATTTGTTCCACAAGAGCAATATAATCACTACTTCTGTCTGCCTTTATGTTCTGCATAAGAAAAAATTTAAAATCGGTCTTCTTATTCGGGCTAAAGACAGGAGTAGTGGGCATTCCATTAATTCGGCTCATAGAATTTTGCAATTGCTGTGACTGACTGTATATTACTAGGCGACCTGACATTCACGTCTGATTTGTCCACCACGGACATATGAAATCGTGGCACAGAGAGTTTAGGCTACTTTTGTAAGTCCTAGAAGTTGATGAGTCCCCATATTCAGCTCTAGAATTCCTCCTAGTCATTGTTGTCTCCAGCTATTCCATCTCTACTTCAAGTCTCCTCAACATGAGTTGGGTTCAGCTTTGAAACTTAATTACTAGGTTATTCAACCTCACCGTGCCTCTTCATACAAGATTTCAAGTCAAAGAAGCATCGGAGTGTTTGACTAGATCTCAGGAGTGATTTGGATGTACTGAATTTGATTTATCAGAGCACAAGTATTCTGACCAAAGTTTGTTAATAAAATTAGAGAAATTTCTGGAAATGAAAAATTGGAAGAAGGAGAAGAAGAAGTGATGCTGACAGTAGTCTAAGAACATGGAGATAATAATAAGAAACAGAAGAAAATTGTAGATCGGAGAAACAGTAATGACAGACAAAGAATTCCTGGATTACTCCTACTCGAGCCTTATTTATATCCTGATTCTGACCAATGACCAAAAAGTCCCTATCTCGGGGAACCTGACCAGAGTAACCAAAACAGATATCGCATGTTTGGTCCAATAGCTACACCCTTTTGAGTGAGCATGTTAGTCTGATAACACACGTGACCCAAATTGATGATCAAATTGCTTCATTGTACCTTCAGCAGTTTCATTCCTTCTTCTCTGGGATTCTCTTTGTTGATCGTTCTCTTGTTTGTTTTTTTAAGCGCGTTGATCTCATAACTTGTATGATCGAAATTCGTGCACCTTCACCAGTTCCATTCCATATCTCCGGGATTATCCTCACTGCTTGTTTCCTTGTTTGCTTCTCTTGTTTAATTGGCAGATGATATTCTTGCAACCCATGCATTCTTGCTAAAAACTTCTCTTGGATTATGACCTTGATTTGACATCTCAAACAACCTTTTTACTCCTTTGTTTCTTTTGCTCGATATAGTGGAATGTGATAAATAAGTCCCAGAGATCGACACCTAAGGGTAGTTTTTTTTTTGCAGGGCAGAATAGAGGCATGCAGGCGAGATCAAGTATCAGGTTGGTTAGGTAAGGAGGCATTCCATTTCTTGATCATTCTGGTTTAGTGAGCTGTCGTTGAGTTCTTGACATTTGGTACTTTCTCATACTCTCAGTGTGCTGAAGTCTCATCTCTATTTATTGGGAGATGTTATATCCTCAGAGATTATCATTTCTCTATCCTCTATGATTTGGCAAAAACTGATATTCATAAGAAATACGCACAATAAATGAGTAAATCCTTATTCCAAGCTGAAGTTGATTAGTGAGTATCATTGGCTTGTATGTGTAATATAGGCATATGTGCAATGTTCTATACACATAAATAACTACAATACGCATGCATCTATGATGAAAAATATTTTTGAAACGAGCCTTTTTTCTCGCAGTAGGTGTTATCATGTTTCTCAAAAGGCACATGATCGAAGATTTACAAGCATGTCTCTGTATGTCAAACAAAGCATGCTTCCTATGAGATCCATGTGGATTCACACGAGCCAACAGATCAACGTTATGGAGAATCCTACAGTGGTGCCACAAAGTAGTTGTATAGATATTTCATCACCCAGCAATGGAAGCTGCTCCAAGCCAAAGAGAAAAAAGTTGAAAGGGAAACGGGCCGTTGTGAGATGGCTCAAATTCTTCAGATGGAAAAAGAAAAAAGAGTACAATAGGATGACTGCAGAAGAGAAAATACTGTACAAACTGCGAAAGGTAAATTCTTGATTGCATCTGCTTCATTTTTTTTTTTGGCTTAAGTCTCCTCTTGATGGTTGTCTCAGGCCTATATTATACAGATATGACTAATGGATAGAAATGCTCGAAAATTTTACATATCTAGTGTGATATATGTGGATTTTTACCTGGTTTGGTTTTTTTTTTTTTCTATGGATTCTTATCTGTTATGTATGTAAATATATGATAACTTTTATGTTGTCTAGTTTAGCTCGTGCGTATTCTCGTGTGCATAGTACTGATGTTTTACTAGTGTCAGAGGATGAAATATGTTTCACACCTTTCTATAATCATTGTCTTAAACACCCATACTGCTACCCTTGGTTCAAAGATTGTGCCTCTTGCTGGTATTGTCATCGGTGCTTGATGAGATGAGTAATGGACGAGTTTTCATAGGAATTCTTTCGCTCCATTATGGTGGCCAACTTTGAGGCAACCCGTTTAAAAATATGAAGTAATAGTAGCAGAATGTGCTCACTTAATCTCCTTTGTGATGATCAAAGCTACTTTTAATTGTTCTTTCTGCCTCTCTCTCTCTCTCTCTCTCTCTCTCTCTCTCTCTCTCTCTCTCTCTCTCTCTCTCTCTCTCTCTCTCTCTCTCTCTCGCTTTCTCTTCTATACTCTACATAAGGTTCTACGGTGATCAAGGCAACAGCTGCTCTAACTTTAATAATGTTTAATAGAATCATATAGATGATAAAATTTTAAGGTAATTATTATGCTAAATAAATTCATTGAATCCAAGGTAAGGAAAAAATTAAGATACCCATTGGCCATTCGTGTAGAAAAATATCGCATGCTTGGTTGAAATAATTGGCTTGTTTATTGATTAAAAACCAAGCACATGAACAGCGCAGCTGTGAAGCTGTGTTGGCGCAGAAATCCAAGCTCCTTTGTGTGTGTGTGAATTGAGTTGATATCATTGTTGTATGTTCGCCCGAGATGTTAGTGATCCTCGGCTGTTCATGCAAGCTTTGGGATTTTGATCGCCCTCAGTTGTTTGCGGTCACAGGCCAAGAAGAAGGAGACGCGGCTGGCTGAAGCGTTGGAGAAGATCGAGCCTTCGTCGGCCTCAGCGGAGGTCACCCACGACCCCGAGATACTTACTCCTGAGGAACATTTTTACTTGCTTAAGATGGGCCGCAAGAGCAAGAACTACGTGCCCATCGGAAGGCGCGGGATCTTTCAGGGGGTGATCCTGAACATGCATCTACACTGGAAGAAGCACCAGACGCTGAAGGTGGTAGTGAAGACCTTCACCCCCCCGGAGGTCAGGGCCATCGCGGCGGAGCTGGCCAGGTTGACTGGGGGGATCGTCCTCGACGTCCAGGAGGATGAGGACACCATCATCATGTACAGGGGAAAGAACTACGTGCAGCCGCCGCCGGAGATCATGTCTCCGAGGGTTACTCTCTCCAGGAAGAAGGTACGCAAAAGAGGGATTTTTATTATTTCTATTCTTTCCTCTTTGAGTAGGTGGGGGTCGACCTGGGCATGCAGCGAGCGGTGGGAATTTTGAATCCCACGGCGCGCGTGATCCTATGTCTGTGTTCTCTTCTTCTTCTTCTTCTTCTTCTTCTTCTTCTTCTTCTTCTTCTTCTTCTTCTTCTTCTTCTTCTTCTTCTTCTTCTTCTTCTTCTTCTTCTTCTTCTTCTTCTTCTTCTTCTTCTTCTTCTTCTTCCCCTCCAGGCGTTGGACAAGTCCAAGTACAGAGATGCCCTGCGGGCTGTTCAGAAGTACATACCGAGGCTGGAGGAGGACATGGAAGCCCTGCGGACGCCGCCGAAAGCCGGAGCGCAGCTCAAAGCCTCTGCGAGGGCCGGAGGCACGCTTGACGCCGCCGCCGCCGCCGCCCCCGGCGGAGAGGGAAGCCTGCTCGGGTTGGGGGAGAGATGGTCCGGAGATGATGATGATGACGCCCATCTTTCGGCGGAGGACGGAACGACGGAATCGGAGATGCTCTCGGAATCCGAGGCCCTGTCGGACATTTTCGACTCGGATTCTGAGGGAGAGACGAGACGAGAGGAGACGCGGCGACCCCTGTATCTGGACACGATCGAGGATTTCTTCGCGGACAAGGACAGAGAATCCGCGGAGGATGATCATCCTACGGAGCCGCTGCCCACTGCCTCGGGGGAGAGCTCTTCTCGTGCTTCCCCCGGGAAAGAGCTGGAATCCTCGGAGGTAGACGAGATCGACAAGATGTTCCTGCAAGCGACCACGCTCCTGAAGAGGAGGCCGGTCGGTCGGAAGAAATGAAGAGGGGCGAAGAAGATGAATCGGCCATGCAAGGACTCGTACCATTTTCGATGGGATGTGTAAACATGCGTTGGAACCATTTTGCCCTGCTGACTGAAAGATCATCAATCGAAGTGGCCATCAGATTTCTTCTTGTTTTTCAAGGGTAGCGGACGATCTTCCTTATCATTATTATATTACTGTTGCCAAGATCAGTATTATTAGGGCCACGATGACGGCGTCGAAACAGACGAATTGCCCAGCGGGGGCGGGAGGAGACCGATCAGGATTGATATATGAATAAACTCAAAAATAATATAATGCGGGCGGATTATCCGTTTGTTATTTTCTTTTGATTTTAGTTTGGGGAGTTTTTGAAGAGAGAGAGAGAGATGGGTGGGTTCCCCTCTCCAATCTCGGTCCCTCCCCCTCTTCCCCCTTCCTCCAGCATCTTCCCCCCCAATCGTCGCGGTATTATGCCGCCGAGCGCCGTCGCGTCGGCCCCAGCTCTTCCTTTCCCGGGCCCTTCCTCCCGACTGCCACCCGCGACCTCGGCGGGGGCCCGGATCGCGGGCATCTCGGGAAGGGACGATGTTTGGAGGAGGCGGCGGGGGAGGACGATTGGGCCCCTCGTCGGCATGGGCATCGACGCCGCCCACCCGGGTGGTGCGGAGCGGCGGCATCCGCAGGGGTACCTGGACCGCTCGGTGGACATGAAAGAGCTGCTCGTTGCCCTGTCGCAGACCGCCACGCCCGAGGAGCTCCACGCTGTCATGTCCCCCTACATCGACGGCAGCAGCTCCTCCTCCTCCTCCTCCTCCTCCGGCGGGCGGCGGCAGCGGCGGCCTTCTCTGTCCCTGCGGTTCATGGTGGGATTGCTATCCCGGGAGCCCGACTGGCGGCGCTCGATCGCCCTGCTGGACTGGATGCTCGACGCCGCCGGGTACCCCCCCTCGGTCTTCGCTTACAATGTCGTCCTTCGCAACGCCCTGCGCGCGGGGCAGTGGGCACTGGCCGCCGGGCTGTTCGGCGAGATGCGCACCCGCCACGCGCTGGCCCCAGACCGCTACTCCTACGCTACGCTCATCTCCGCCCTCGGCAAGGCGGGGCGCCTCGAGGCGGCCCTCAGCTGGCTGCACCGCATGGAGCGCGACGGCGTCCGCGCGGACCTCGTGCTGTACAGCACGCTCATCGAGCTCGCCCGCAAGCTCGGCGACCACGCCAAGGCGGTGTCGCTCTTCTCCCGCCTCCGCTCCTCTGGGATCGCCCCCGACCTCGTGGCCTACAACTCGATGATCAACGTCTTCGGCAAGGCCGGGCTCCTCCAGGAGGCCCGCGGGCTGCTCGCGGAGATGGAGGAGGAGGAGGAGGCCGTGCGCCCCGACATGGTCAGCTACTCGACCCTGCTCACGGCGTACGTAGAGAACCGCCGCTACGTGGAGGCGTTGTCCCTCTTCTCCCACATGCGGGAGCGCCGCGTGCCGCCGGACCTGACGACCTGCAACATCATGATCGACGTGTACGGGCAGCTGGGCATGCCGAGGGAGGCCGACCGGCTCTTCTGGAGCATGCGGAGACTCGGGGTGGAGCCCAGCGTGGTCAGCTACAACACGCTGCTGCGCGTCTACGGCGAGGCGGAGCTCTTCGGGGAGGCCGTCCACCTCTTCCGCCTGATGCAGCGCAAGGGCGCCGTGCAGAACGTCATCACCTACAACACCATGATTGCCATCTACGGTAGGTCCCTGGAGCACGAGAAGGCCGGGAACCTCGTGCAGGAAATGCAACGCGCGGGGGTCCAGCCCAACTCCGTCACCTACTCCACCATCATCTCCATCTGGGGAAAGGCGGGGAAGATCGACCGGGCGGCCGCCCTGTTCCAAAAGTTGCGGACCTCGGGGGTCGAGATCGACCCGGTGCTTTACCAGACCATGATCGCCGTCTACGAGCGCGCGGGACTCGTCGCGCACGCCAGGCGCCTGCTGAGCGACCTCAACGACCCGGACGACGAGGGAAAGATCCCCAGGGAGACGGCCGTCAAGATCCTCGCCAGAGCGGACAGGGTCGAGGAGGCGGCGAGGCTCTTCAGGCGGGCCGTCAGCGCCGGCAGCGTCAAGGACATCACCGTGTTCCAGTGCATGATGGACCTGTTCGCCCGAAACCGGAGGCACCGCAGCGTGGTGGAGGTCCTGGAGAACATGCGGGCAGCGGGGTACCTCCCCGACTCCGCCATGATCGGCATGGCCCTGCACGCCTACGGCAAGCTGCAGGAGTTCAGCAAGGCGGAGTCTCTGTACAGGGAGATGCAGGAGGAAGGCTGCGTCCTCCCTGACAAGGTGCACTTCCAGATGCTCAGCCTCCTGGGCGCCAGGAGGGACTTCGCGCGCGTGGAGTCGCTCCTCGCGGAGCTCTCCTCCGACCCTAACGTCAACAAGAGGGAGCTCCAGGTGGTGGCCGCCGGCGTGTACGAGAGGGGGAACAGGCTCGACGAGGCGTCGAGAATCATCAAGAGCCATGCCCGAGGGGTGCTCGACTGAATGTCATTCCACACACCCCTCGAGCATTATAGCTCGACTCCGGGGCCATCTCAGGGAGGCAGCGAGTGCACGGTGGCCATCTTCTTTCCCAGTAGAGATAGCGGGCCTGCGTCGAGTTCCATGGCTTTGGTTGGTTGCGTGTGTCGAAGAAGACTGGAGAAAGGGCGTCGAGAGATTTCTGTACCAAAAGAAGGGTTCGTCTTCGGATCGAGCTGGCGTGATGCCGGCTGTGCCCGCTCCGCTTTCCCATTCATCAAGAGCAATCACCCCTCATTGCCGAGAAGCTCAGAGGTGGCCGTCGGAGCATCATTGAGGAAACAGATTCATAGATTTGGTGCAAAGACCACCCACCGGGAGGAGACGACCCCGGGCTTCACCGCCGCGGCTGCTCTCGCGCGGCTTCCTGCGAGTCTTTCGATGGGAATCATTGTTTAGCTCTCGGCGGGAAGGGTAAGGAGAATAAGCAGAGCTCGGTGACTTCACTGAAAGGCTACGAGATGGATCATCGAGGCACCAAGAACCTCGAGGGGTTTGGGAGGGGAAACCCGGTGTAAAGCTGATCGCTCATGAACAAGTATACCCGGCCGGCAGCATTTCTTCGTCTCAGCTAGCAAAATTGAATCGAATACATGGAATCAACGGCAGCAAAATAGGATCCAACTCCACAAAAATTACAAAGACGGAGCGGAGCCTCTTCCCCCAACACCGCTCCGAGGCATCTCAGCCTGATAGTAGTTGACCATGAAGAAGACAATGAGCCCCGCAGACCCCACAACCTTATCACACAGTACAGGGGCTAAATCAAACAACGGATCATAAGGGAGCATGAGAAAAAGTCAAACAAGACTTTGCATCGGCGATCCACCAAAATGGGAGACAAGTCAAACAAAGACTTTCTGTGAGGCCGGGTGGGAGCGGGGGCTAATTATATCCTATAAACCGCATGCATGCATGAATGCTCTAGGCAATAAATCAAATGTTACAAATATTCACATACTTCCAGGTCCAGAACTCGGAGGGCCGATGTCAGCGTCCTGCCACTGGCCATAACAAGGCGTCTTCATGGGAAGGTAGGATTTTTTTTCACCTCCCACCGCTGCAGCGTGGAGAGAGACTGGTGTTACCTGATCATTGACGGAGGGCAACGCGCAGGGAGGGGGCAGCGGGGTTCGCCAGAGCCTTTTCATCAGCGGGGTAGATCTCTTCCCTCCAGTGAAACAAAAAAGAAGAAGAAGCGAGACCTCGGCTCCAACTCGTCCAACCTGAAGAAGCTTGAGCCTCCGCCTTTGGGTTGTCCACCCGCCCAATCGATCAATCAAATAACCTTTGGATTAAGCCGGGTCTTTCTTGAATGAATGCCGTGCCATCCATCTTCACCCATCCGAAGATACGAATCACAGGCCGCCCGCAGGTGGTGAGATGTCATCGCACGGGGTACGGTTCTGTGTGGGAAACGTTCGCGCCGTTCACCGCCACTTCGGAAGGGGAACTAGCGATGGGCGTCCGGGAGTGCTCCTCTCCACCCGGCTGTCTGACGTCTGCGGTGCTGGAGACCGAATTAGGGCAGTCTCTTTCCACCGAGACGTCCGGCATCGCCTTGTCGTCTGGTTCGCCTTCAGACGCGCTGTTGGTCGTGCTTGTCGGAGAGCACCGAGAATCAGCAACTGGAGGCGTAGTTTTGCTGGGTTGATCTGCATGGTTGCTAGTGGAACAGGCAGCAGCAGCAGCAGCAGCAAACACAACTTCTCCATCACTTCTGTGTTTATCCAACATGCGTTTTTTCCGCAACTCTATCTCTTCTGCGCTGCCATCGCTCGTTGAGGTGAGCTCCCGCTTGGGCTTCACAGCACTCGATGGCCTTTCACTCTCATGAGAATTTTCAGGCTCCCGTGAAGGCGGATTGTAGTCTTCATCGTCGTCGTCGTCGTCGTCGTCTTCATAGTCAACCAGCCCACTGGGTCGAGACCTGGATATTAAACAAAAGCATCCATGGGTTTAAAACAAAAATAATAATAATAAATAATAATAGAAAAACGACGACTTCCCTCGCTAGCATGATTTCTCATCATTCCTGACCTTGTTTACTCATTGCACCTAGAATCTAGAGGGAATCCACTAACCTGGTGATAGATTTGCTCGTCAAAACGCAACTTCCAAATCAAAGAAATTGAACATAAATGTAAATAATGCCAGGAGCATTGACTGCACAGAGACTCATCTGAATCAACTCCACATTAGGGTAAACATTTATCACGATCGTTCCATTTCTCATGTTATCATTTAGTTAACTTTTTTCTCTGCACGGACTGACAAACACATTCAACAGAAGATAATTCACGGCCACTACCTGAATGGGGGGTTGTTACCACTGGTTCCATTAGCCACAGTTGGCTCGCCACCCTGCTGCAGCTCTTGGGCAACTCCACCACAAGATGAGTCTTCTCCATCACTGCTCAGCAAAACGTAATTAACAAGGCTCCTCGAACTTGAGTGAGAGGCAACTTTTATAAAGCTTACAAACCTTTGATCATTGAAATAGTCTTCTTCCTCCTTCTCAAGAGCACGCTCATCTATACGTTTTCTTAGGTCATCTGTAGTTACCGTAGACATGTCGCACTTCTCCAGTGACTAACAAGGAAAAGTTTGCCAGTCAAAAGGAGCAAGGATAAAATATTACTTACAGCGCAAAGATGTTAACGGCTGTCAGAAATTCAAGCAGGGAGGCCAGGCGCGGTAATTAGAAGTTAACACGAGGGACTAGATATGGTAAGAAGGCAGAAGGAATATACAGAGTAGATGCAGTTCGCATCAATTACCATCAAGTAATTCTACCTGTTCATATCTTGTCTTCAGAACCCGAATAGTCTCCAAGTACTGAAACTTTGACAATTGATCCCAGAAAGTCTCAAAAACATAAATGGTTAAAGTCTTGTTCTCCTGTAGAAAGTAACACTCGCTCAAAAACCATGCCAAACAAAAAGGATCTGTAGAGTAGAAACCGCGGCAGAAAAATGCAACACCTTACGGATATACTCCAAAAGCTCAAGAACTCCAGAATGAAGCATATTATAACAACTACCATTTCTGACAAAAGCTTCAACAATGGGCTTCATTAGGTTGTTCTTGACAATATGTCGAGCTAAAAATTCGTCCTGATAGATCAACAGAATTCAAGGTTAACATCTCTACATCAGATTTATATACATATGCTCCTAATCTTACAAGAAAACAGCTCTATCAGTTTTAAGAACTCTGGAACGAGAGCGAGGTTGCAATGTATTTCATAAAGTAATGGAAACGTCAAATTCGGCCACAGGATTTTTAGTTTTGGCCTGTACCATCCTGGTTTCAGTTAACATCGATTAATACGGGTAAAAGTCATAAAAGAGAGCAAAAGTATGCGCTAGTCAAAATTGATATATAGGGTCAAATGGATGTGCCGAGTTTTATACATAAATATAGTATCTGTTCCGCCACTATGATACTAGAAATTTTGAAAGCACCGTTAATCTGTTGAAGCAAAAATAATTGATCAAGTATTTAATCAACACTTGAGTCAAAGATTGAGGATTTTAAAATCATCTCCACATAATCTGTGCCAGACGGCAGTTGCAAATTCAAACCAGAATGCACACGATTGAGAAAACATTTCAGATAATCCTCACTGTTCACCGCACTTTGTTCACATATATAGACTTGATTAATTCAGATAGAATTTCGAAACTCAGATCTTGCTACCCATTCAGATTGGGAGGGTCGCATGGTTGAGGGCTTTGAAAAAGGATTAAATTAGTTACAACATCGGGTTTTATTCATCAACTCATATCAGTGAGGTTCAGCAAATGTGTTCCTTACAAGTCATATTAAGTCTTCTACCTTCTGAGTCCAAACGGAACACTTGGCTTGACTCTGTTCAGACGTGTTTCAAGGTTTCAACGCTTAATGGGACCAACTGAGACGTCTACTCAAAAAGGCTTCCTTTAAAGAGAATCGATTACTTCAGAAGGAATTACACCTACCGACGCATGTAACTCAATCCAAATTATAGCTAACTCGCTACAATCTGTCACACCTTTTTCCAATTTATGAGTCTAAAAATGTTGCCAAGTTGCCAAGCCTGAGTCATTAATTTGCTGCAACAAGAGGAATCCTGGCATGATAGCTCTCGAAAGGTCAAGTAAATCAAATAACTAGAGGGATTAAAAAGTTAAACGCAAGACCAAATGAACCAAGTGCACATTGAAGCAAAAGTTTCACTCTAAATAGACCAAGTACATAGCTTTTTTAGACAACTTTCACTGCAAGCAGAATTATTGTTTACAAATTAATAAATTTAGTACTCACATTGCGAGAAACCACAGTGCGCATAAACCTAACTGCAGCAACAACGAGGTATTTTTCTCTTCTTCGAGTCAGACAGAGGACTTTCTCTATAACGTTATTTACAATTAAGTTGCATCTGAAAAGTAACAGCAAAACGTCACAAGTTATAAAAAACGTCAAAGCTAAACAAGAACTACTAATTTAACTTCTACAACCATCAGACACCAACAGCTAACATCAAACTTTTAGGACAACATTAAATTGGATGATTTTTTTTCTATAAAATGATATACAAATTTTCTATGACATAACCAGTAAACAGCCGAGAAGAGATATACTTTATCCTGTAGGGATGATGAAGAACACAAAAGCACAGCAATTCACAGATGTTTGACAGAATCTCAGGCTTGGTCAGTGCACGGGATTCAACTCTTCCAATAGAAGACACTGCTGTGACTCTCGTCTGTGAAATATTCTTCGAGGGACAAGATGATGTTATAACGTCGACCAACCGATCCAAATATTTCTCATAGAAAATCTCTATAATAGCATCGTTCTGCAATTTAAAACGTGTGTCACATTCCCAAACACCAGTTAATAATAACTGAACTTCAGAAATGAATGCATATTTAAATAAATGGCACACATACGCTTCAGACAATAGGCTACAGATACAATATCCAGACAACTAACACAATGCCTGCAGCAACCAGATTCCTGATGTCTCAGAAAACAGAACTGACAGAAATCATGAAACAAACACATCTACTTAGTAACGCTCATTTTCTTGTTTTGCAAAAGCAGCAACCAGAAACATGACTAAATCACTGGATACAAGGTCTATTGGTAGCTAAAATGGAAGCCATCAATGACGCTAATGTTCCACTATTTTTTTCGATGTAGTCAGAATTATTTCTCATGATTTATAGATTCCACAGTAAGAACGGGTACTTGAAAAATAAAACCGCAAATCAAACAAGGCATAAATGGCAAGGATAAAGCTAAATGCAAGGAAGACATTCCGATTCTCTTTATAAATTCAATAACCATTATCCCAACCAAAATCAGCACATCTGAATTTGACCATACTGTGCAGGATAAGAAATTTCATCATCTATTGACGCAAGAGGAGGGGAAAACTACATCCATCATTCATTAGCAGAATGCAGAGAAAGAAATAAGAAGTTTATGGAGGACAAGAAAAAGCTAAAACGACCAGATAAATAACTCACATAGGACACTACTTGCTAATCCCCCCAAGCACTCTTTTCCATAAAGCACTGCTGCTTAGGTGTGTACTTTTTAGAATGGGAAGTCTCCCGAGTCTGACATGTTAAAAATTCCATTTGAATAATTTATTATATTATCCCCACTGCCAATAAATTTCAAACATCCGTTTAAATTAGAAAAAAAAAATCGGCCTAAACCAAACCCAGATTCAATCGGATTAGAAATCCAAGCCCATTCGGTCCAAAAGAACATTGTTTTGTCCAAGAACAACAAAGATTATAAGGAAAAAAAAGAGAAAAGGGATGAAAAAATAAAATGTTGATAAAAGGTGCGGAGTCCACCAAGATAATTATGATGTTGTAAATGTGAAAGGTAAAACCAAGGCTCTATCTCAGCCTCATAACTGGTGAGATCTCCTAGACACTTTGATCAAGACATCAATTGTGAAACAATGAAAGGTCAATAATATGAAGCAGAAGGAAACTAAAGGAACTGAAATGATTATTTTTCTGGGGGGAGAAACAGCAAATAAACAAATATATAACCAACAAACGATGCAGAATAATTAGATCGTGTAGAAACTGTCTTCAGTGCTGCCAAAACATGATATTAACCAAAAGTTTTTAAAAAATTCTAAGCCATGGCCTATTCAGGAATTTTTCCATAAGTTCAAGAAAACATCTAGACAGTGGCGTTGTAAAAGAAAAACTTGTGTCGATTTCTGCAAGAAAAAAAAGGAAAAAATACGGTGTTCCTCATTTTTCATGTTTGTCAGAAAAAAAGATTGATCAACTTCTGATAAATTTCAATCGACATACCTTTTATAATAAGGTATCAGATGCACTGGATTACATTCAGAGCAGTTACATACCACAATTAATGGATAGAATAGTTGAAGAAACTGGCAAAGGATCTAATCAACATGGTTCCTAACTTACTAAACTTTAGTTTCAAATTAATAAATGAAAAACACCCGTCAAATAATGTAATCATTTACTGACCTAGAAGCCGTTGCACTTCAGGATTTAACAGGTCAAGGTGCATTAGATATCTAAGTCAGCAGTGATTCATTAAATACTCACACAACTTTTAACGGATTTCGATATAATTAATTTATTTAATTATCAAGTTCCTCTTTCGTTTCAGTACTGAACTAAATACTCGGTAATCTCAAGCAGAATGCGAGTATTTATCACACCGAAAAATTAGCAGACTTGGTCTTAGGCCTCCGGAAGCAACAGACTTCGAATCACCCGTTCTGACCAGTTTTCAGCTCAGACGTATACAGTTCAAATAACTCACTTCTTTGGGTAAGGGAGTCAATAAAGATAGGGTGGTAAACAACCGACTGTCAATCATAGAATTATAGGGTTGCATGCAAACGCAAGTTTCTTTTGTCCTTTCATATGAAATGGCAAACCTTAATTAACAAGAAAAAGGCATATATAACTCAGACTTATGTTACTATAATTGCAATGCAAGCCATCAGCTTACAATGCCGGAATATTCCATTTGTAACATAAACATGAAGCCAGTTTCAACTTTAGGCTTCTACAAAAGAATCAGAATGAATAATAGATCTGCTGTTGGAAATGGCACCTGGAACTCCTAGCACAGGTTTTCAGGGAAAATGTCTCCCGTACAACCAGATCAACAGAATCTTTGTCTGCTGGTACTAATGTGTATCTTGTCGATCATGGATTCGTAATCGATAATCTATGTCTATAACATATAGTGTAAGACCATAGCACGCAAGAGATGAAGGTAGCAAACCCTCATTATTTTACCTAACTAAATCTTAAGCTATAGTCAGTAACATGGAACAGAGTGAAATCAGCCACAAAAAGGGATTTCAAGAATATAAAGAACCTGTGCACTAGATGATGTGTACGACTCCAACAGTATGCGAAGTATTTCCAGAAACTGGCAATGCATGTTATCCCCAAAATCCGTAATCATTCCTTCAACCTGAAAAATAAATCCAATGTAAAAGTGTTAACTTTCGCAATACAGTAATACAAAAAATAAATGGCGACTACTTTCTCTTGTAGGGAAAAAGAAAAATCTAAGTTGGTTATCTACTTTAATAACGAGTAAAGAATGAGCACAGAGAAGGTTTACTCAGGTAGAATGCTTATGGATCATCAATGCAAATGAAAGACAACAGAAAAAGAAAAAAGCAAGGGACCACAATTCCACGAACCAGAAGTCCGAAAAGTGTATTGTCCTCCTGTTGAATGACGAAGTTCCGGAGAAGGTTTGGATCCAGGTTAAGGAACAGGATGAGGATATCTGTCCTGCATTTCCACCAAAGGGCCATCTAATTTCTTTAAATCAAACTATTGAGAATTCAAGTACAATTCTATCAGTATGAATATTTAGACGTAATATTTAATCCAGTAACAAATAATGATTACCCTGTCAAAACCAGCTTTTTATCCTGACTCTGCAACACATCCGTAAGAATCTCAAAAATTCCTTCATTTGCAAGCTCACTAACAGAGAAGAATGGTGAATTAGAATAAACGCAGCAAGTCAAAGTATACCCTTAAATGATCGGTTCATAGTTAATGGCACCTCAAATTCTAAAGAATAACATACAAGCATCAATACGTGCTACAATTAATGACACTAAGCGTTAACATGAAAGACTAGCACCAGGCCACCATCCCAAGAAAGAAATTCTAGTAACTCAACGTAGTAATTTGAGGGAAAACGATGCAATAGTTAAATAAAATAAAAAACGGAAAGGAAATGATCGAAGATATGGTATAAGATACCATACCGAAATAGCCGTGATTGTTGTGCAACCTGAAGACTTTTGCTTAAACTACAAAACTCTTGTAAGAATAACACCTGGTGTAGGAACAAACAAGTAACATGAATCATCAGTTTCCCTTCGAAAGACGGCAGCATGTCAATAATCATCAATTTTCGGAATGAAACTTAGTCACACTAGTGGATATCATCAAAACACATCATATCAAAGAAAAGCCATTTCTATATGCCTAATCTTTCCCTTACTGAACGTCAAAAGGTATGATACACCCAAAGAAAAGGGATGCAAGGAACAACCAAGCTGCTAACCATTAAACCAAGGGAAATCAACCATCCATATGTAACATAACCGACACCAAGTGGATATACAAGATTTTGTATCAACGACTAAGTAAAAAACTATGATCTTCTTAGTTTGAGTATATATCTTTTGGGTCCTTTGCATCATGTTCTAAATAGGTGAAGTCCGTAGGCCAGTGAAGTATACATCACCAATCATAAAATATAACTTGATTCAATTTTATTATCTTTCCTTTTAATATCTCTAGCAACAGTCTCCTAAAAGATCCGCGCATTAATCTTTCAGAAATCTATCCTCCCCCAGCATTAGGAACCATTTTTATTGCTTAGAAGGCAATTTTGTACAGGCTCATAAAAATCCGAGGCTGGCTGCCAGAAGAAGAAAAACTCGAGATTACTACAGCGGATGAGAAGAAAGGTTAATGTTTAGATGCAAGGCACCCAACAGACATGGCAATATCATTGTTAGAGAATCAAAAAAAAATCTTATACAGTATGATCAAAAATTACAGAGCAATTTCAATCCTGTTACCAAATTTCTCTTGGACTCCATAGAAGTCTCTGGCGATCGCATCTTTGCAAATAGTTCTTGGATAAAAGAGGTATCATCCTTCAATATAGATATAACCTGCATCGAAAATGGCAAACCTAAAATCTGACAGGAATATGACTGGCAGTCAACTGTAAAGTCAGAGTTACATAGTTGAATCCTCACCACAGTATAATTTCCATGGATAATAGAATTCAGGCTTCCAATGGTTCCCTCGTCTAAAACTCTTGGCAAGATGACATCCTATAACTTGCAAAAACAATTAGTGCAAGTACACTTAAACAAACAGGCTAGCAGAGCATTAATTTTAAATATAACAAACCTTTATGTAACCAATTCGATACGACTGATGTATCCTTGTTAGTACTTGAGGTTCTTTAATAGGAATAACCTGAAAAGTAAATGAGCATCTACTAACTATTACGCACACCGAAAGAGAAACAATAAGCCCTTGATGAATTCAATTACCTCCTTAAAAACAACATGATCTCTCAAAAAAGAACGATGTTTTTGCACTTGTGGAAGATCAGGATCATCTGAACAAGAATGTCAGAAACTACAAAATTGTAATTCAACTAGAAAAGCAAAACACACATTCACAGCTGGTCATTCAAATAAAATTTAAAATTGAAAGAAATCCAAAGGTCAATGAGTTCATGAAGAGGAGTTGACTAAAAAGAAAGTATCACACAAGATCAGTGCCACAAAATAAATTCATGCAAAAATACGCTCATGTTGGTTTCAAACACGCTTTCTACATATATTTCTTGCAGGTAAACCACATGGTCGCAAGTAGCTGTCATAGCTAAAAAAAAGTTTGAAAAAAAAAGGTGATGAAAATAAACAAGACGGGGGGGGCTTTATATTTCAAGCCTATTTTACAAAAAAACAGACATGTTCTAACGGATAATAACCAATCCAGAACGGGTCAGCCAATAACCAGCAGCAGTGTTCCTCTTGACTCGTTAGGAGATGCAGCAGAAGAGAACAGAGAAAGGAAGAAAAAGGACCCACCTGATACCACAGACTGCCGCTGCTATGAGCCAACCAGAATCTATCACCTCAACCCCTCACCCAATTGCACCTCTCCACCCGGTAACCCCAACCCCAACCCATGACAAGTAGAATCAGGCTCAGGACCGAGCAGCTATTAAATTTGATTTGTGCAGAAATGTCTGCAACAAACATTTCGCTGCGTTTCTATATTTTTCAGTAAAACGTATGAAATATGATTTTAAAATGAAAAATTATAACACGCTTTCCCTTATCAAACAAAATTGGAATCTACAGATAGAACATGACTGAGGTACCTAATCCAATCCAAAGTTACATCCTCGAGCCTGCAGGGGTGAGATTTGTGATCTAACACATGATCTAATTTGATAATTTGGTGAAGCTTATCTGACTACAACGATAAAAGTGATAGATCCCAGTACTAGGCGAAGAGGAAGAGCGTCTATCTTATTGATGACAAGCCAAAAACATTACTGTTCACAACAAGAATGTACTACAATAGATGCTAGCATTGAATCGATTGAATTTGATGAGTATATGAGCAGAGGCCAAAGAATATCTACAAAATATTTCTGCATAACTGAGTAGATAAATTAAGGAATTAACTAAAATAAAAACGTACATTCAAGAGCACCAACGATGTCTAAGATGAATTCATCCGCAAATATTCTGTCAAAGATCTGAGGACTGTTGAGAAGAACTGAAAGTTGCGAAATAAGGTGGTACGCTGGTTAGAAAGAAAAACAAGCATACATGTAAGAAAATAAATGGCCAATTAAACATAGTATCTACTGACTTATTGCTTTGACTAGTTTAAAGATGATGTGGAGACTGTCCCTGTTTTCCAAATCTTCACAAGTCCTAAACCGATCCACCAGCTTAGGGAAAAATTCATGCTGAAAGCAACAAATAGAAAATATGGTCATCAATAGGAAGTGATGTGAAAAAAAACTATGGCTGCCGAGCAGCTAACAGTCTCACACAGCATAAAATCTATAACCAGAAACTAACTACTAAATAAGACATCAATTCCTACATAAAAACTTCAAATAGAAGAAATAAACATTTATTAGCTGAGCTGTAAAATTTTCAAAGGTGTCGTGGAAGAGAGAGAAAGAGAGAGAGAGAGAGAGAGAGAGAGAGAGAGGAACATGCATACTAAATTTGATTTACACAACAAGAGCTCAAAAAATATACTACGATGAATAAATAGGTAAATTGGTCCATTTTCTATCCATAATGAGTAAGGAAAATAGGGGCAGTAGAGACAGAGAGACAGATAGAGAATGTGAGGCTCCAAAAGACGAAAATAAAGGTTGGATCTACATTGACTATAGTTAACATATTTATTTAATTTAAATCGAAACATAGAGTGACATTGCAGGCTTTGCTTTCATATAAAAAGTGGGGGATAGTATGGAATAAATTGGGAAGATCTAGTGAAGTTTTCATAACATTCTTGGAGAGATTCTCTAAGTCATTTAGCAGATATTCGGCCAAATCACACAATGAAAATAGGAGAGAGGTATCTTCACAGTCAGGTCACCATGCCCTAGAGATTCTCGCCCTAAATGAAAGTGAGGCTACCAACATGACAGATTTCACGCGGACAACATCATACATTTGATCTGAGTGTTATATACAAAATCGCATCAGCAACTCCTGTAGAATGAGAGAAGACAAAGACCCTTTTATCCAGTCATTCTAACGCACTATTTAGTGGTCTCCACGTAATAGGCATAAGATTGTATCACCTACGGGAAGTAGGTAGGTGGGAAATGCATGGTTTCTCCAAAGTAGACTGCAAAACATAGCAACTAATCCCCATGCCACCCATTAGATTTTTTAAGGATAAGAGGAACAAACACTTCTTTTACAACAAAATCCTTCTACAGGGAGTCCTCATTTTTACTTGTAAAAGGATTATAGTCTGGTGAATAATTTCTGAAGTGAGCAAGTGTAATATTCTCTAATGTGTGTCTCAGGTAAGCACATAGCCTACATGATCTTAAGCTTTACTATAGTTGGTTATGTATATGTCCTAAGAACGAATAGGAGCATCTATTTCCAAGCAAAACAAAAATTCACCCGACAGAGTTAAAGAATTCACGACTGCCATACTCACATCTTGGAGAATGAGGTCTGCCACGTGCATCTGATCTGCAATACCAGTACCACACTCTCCTATAGTCTGCATGTTATATTAAAGCTCATTAGCAATCCTAATTTCCTACGAAGTTAGATTCATCTGCAAACATTTATCATTAAAAGTTTAAAATACCAGACAGAAATGAGATCAGAATAAAAATATTTATGATCGCACATAAAATTTCTGGATAAAAGAAGAAATGAGAAAGCACATAAAAAATTATCTGAAAAAAGAGACAGAAATGGCAACATCTTTGACTGAATCACACTGTAGAAATCATTCATCATCTTTGACTGAAATCTATTGTTGATTTGACCGTCCCTCCTCTGACGTGATATCCGATTGCAGGAAATCAATGGAAAGGTTGAGGTTGGAAGCATTAGAGATCAGGCATGGACTTATACCTTCGATTTGCAGCTGGGCACAAGCCAGAACGTTTTTTGGATAAGATATCTTAACAAACCTAATAAGTGTAATAAAGTTAGACCACCACATCATTAGCAAAGATTCACGTGGTCAAATGGCGTTTCATCTCAAGGAAAAGATAATCTCTCAGTCACTCTCACCGAAATAAACATGGAGTTCCTTAGAAGCGGCATTCAAAGATTCCACTATGTTAAAATAATGAAAATCAATAGTGGGTCATTCTACAAACAGTTTTTGCCAAAATGACACTGACCATGACAGAGCTTCATATCAGGATCTACCGAGGACTTAATTTAGGCATGACTGTTTCCGGTGATGAGTTGCATAGTCTTGCCCATTTCTGCGATCTAAGGATTAAATTCCTCGTGATCAAACCAAAAATAAGAAACAACATACCTTTAAAATAAGCGGTAAGGTGGATAGCTCCACAGGTGGTAGCTCCCTCAAGTCTCTGCTAGCACTATGAAAGGCATCATCTACAAATCAGAAAAAGATGTTTAGCAATCTTAACAAAGTGTCGCATTGATAAGTTTAATGAGCGACTCCAACTAATTAGTAGGAGAAAATAGAGCAAAGAAATCCACCATTGAGAAAATGAACTAAATGATACATAATACTGACAATAGAAAACCATTCAACAGCATATGATAAAAGAAAGGCTAGTAAGAAACACTGAAATTAACCGTCAATATCATCATCAAACACAACTATCATATCACCTAGCACTCCACTTGAAGTCCTTCTGAATTAGTCAGAAAACCAAATCAGAGAATCAAAGCAGTTGAGGTAAGACGCATGAAAAAGCACCTGACTTTACCAGTCATTTTAATGGAAAGAATGGACAACAAACAAAAACACCTTTATCTGCCAAGCACTACACCTACTTGATCCTCATCTTTGCTATGCCATATGTGGGCAAACTTCCAACCATATTAAATGATATCTCACCAAGCTAGAAGTACATTAATGTCTTTAGGGATGTTTCATATTACCAGTCCGACTAAGGTTTCATTGCTATGTTTCATATATTTCTAACTGAGACGTTCATTGCTGAGAAAATAAGGCTATTTCTGATTATAGTAGCCCGTTGATATCAAATACGAGGCACAGAATCCTGACATTCAATGAGCTTTATTTAACACATTTGTAATCATCCATTTTACATAATATTTATTGATATCCATTGCTTCGTATGACTTTTTGTGACTAAACTATTGTTTTAGGCCCTACAATAGGGCAATACATTATTAGTTTTAAAGAAGATTCTCAAAGCTCAAGGTGATGGAAGTTAACATAGCACTAAGATGACCAAGTTTTCTGCTCAAACTAGGATTGGACAAGTGAAAAGATGGCTTTTAAAAAATTGATCATTTCATTCAAAGTGATACCTACAAGAGAATCACAAATGGATGGAACGAAAGTCCTAAAAGTATCAATACTGGTCATGAATATAAACTCAAGAGCTGAGTTCTAGAGTACGTGGAATGATGAGAGAAAATATCATAGCCGTTTTGTGATTACCAATTAATCGAACTTAACTGGTGCCAATACATTTTGCAATTTTGCTACTTTCTCTTAATAAAGGCAATAAAGAACTTACATTCCAATTTGAATTATTTAAAGTTACATTCCAATTTGAAAATATTTAATAACAATTTCAACTATAAAATACTATTATAGTACTCACTATTCTCACATCACATAGACATTTTCGCAGAGCACCGTATGTGAATGCATCCGCTTTGTGCGTCTGTATTTTACTATCTTTGGCCTCTTATTTTTTACCCACTGGTATGGATCACTGTTAATCACCAATATGGACGTCATTTGGCATGGCAAGGTGCCTATGCAACGAATCATACAATCTACAAGCTTAAAGTTGAGTACCTACTTCTGTGCATGTCTCAGGAAAATACACCAACTGGGAAGCTGCCTAATATTATCAGGAACACCCCATCCACAGTTTGCAAAACAAAACTTTATTAACACTTAATAACTTGGTTGCTGCCTTATTTTGTACGTTTGAAATGATTCTATCGAACAGACAATAAGTTACATGATCTTCTTATATGTCTGAGAATCTCTGAAGGATACGTTTGAAAAAAAAATTATTCAATTTTTTTTATCACGAACGCAAATTTGAATTGGCAAACAAACTCGCACAAATGCGCATGGCCCAGACACAGCTGCCCAGGATGCCTTCTCATCAAGACATTGCTTTGGCAAAGTCTAAAGTCAAAGTGAGAACCTGTCTAGTTAAGCAATATAAATGTCCACTAGAATTGTTAAGAAAATTACAAGATTTTAAGTGGGGAAAAGTAGGAAAAAATACTAACCAGAATAACAATGTGATGAATAATAAGAAAAAAAACAAATTATTTGTAGTAGCCAAAGAGTCGGAGTTTCACGTAATGATGTTCATCCCACATGCCACATCTTAATAGAACTGGGGTGCCACTGCTTATGAGGCAGTCTAAGGTGTTTACCAATTCACAACAGGGACGAGACATGGAAAAACTGTCAAAATGCAAGAGTTGAAGATCCTAAAAAACTAAGCTTGAAGAATATCCTAGATATTTTTAACATGAAGAGTTACTAAGAGAAGGAAAGTACAACGTCCACTAAGAAAGGAGAAATGGTCGGATTTTAATCGTAAGTGTGCAACACATTCTCAAAGATCTAATCCGCCCGCAAATAGAAACTTCAAATATACAAATCAGATACCAAAGAGCTCCAAGAAATCAACACAGTCAAAGCAAAAAGGCAGTTACTTGACATATTTCCAGTCAGATTGCCCTATTCTGTACATTTTGGCTTCTAGAAATGAACGTGTGTGGTAAACAACACTTCTCATTTCAGGAAGGGATTAAAATTTAATATTAAAACGCATCAGCAAAAACAGAGATTTTAAATCTCACCTAATAAACGCATCAATTTATCGCCTAGAATCCACTTATTTTAGAAAATGACTTGAGGTAGAGATAAATTCAGGGTTAAGCTTTACCAAACTCACAACACAGTCGTTTAATAAAAGTGATTTTCAATCCAGATCATTTTTCATCAAAACTGGAGGACAAAGTAGCACCAACACCTAATATTCAAGCACGGCTCCGTGACTGAGAACAAAAAAGAAAAAGACAGGAAGCCGAAATATGAATTGAAAAATGAATCAGAAGAAAAGTAATCACTCGTTTGTCATGTTACGAAGCTTTATCCAGCAACCACTAGATGCAGACTGATTTCAATCGTTAAGGAAAAGTACAAAATATTCTTGAAAATACGAACAAAAAGAGAAGAGAGAAGAGAAAACCAATACTTACTCCCGATAGAATTAAAATGAAGGTTCCTTTGAACACCACAAATACGGTCCCTAGAGAAAACCAAAAAACATGATTTAAGCCAGAAGTGTAAAAGTGCCACGAGGAATCGTGAGTGAAAGACTGAAGGACACAATAGGAGCGTATAGCATGTACCATATGTAAGAGCAACCTGTAGCCTCTTGAAAACTGAGAGCCAAATCGGTGCTACACTGTGGATCTCGCCAGGAAATTATTGTATCTGAAAAACAAAGGGTAAGCAACAACAAAAATCAAAGAATTCTAAGATAAACGAATTGCAACACCAAGGAGACAACTATGCTGCAATAGTTGTATCATCTGTACCTTCTTGCCTTCTATAGATGTCATCAACAGAGATACGGTGGACAAGTATCGTCTCATTATCTTCTTCATCAATGACTATTAAGCCAAGATCCTCTGAGCTCTGCTGGTTGGATATTTGTGTAAAGATTAAAGATCAAGAACAAAATTTCCAGCAGAATCTGATGGTGAAATTTTACGATATTATACAAAGCTATACAACAGTATAGTTTAACAAACTTGGTAAGGTTCTAATGTTCAACAATTCAAAAAAAATCAGCGTAAACTCTCAATAGGATAACACGAAAACATTAAAAACGGGTTATAGCAATGCATAAGACCTGTTAGAACTTGCTTTATTTATCTTTTCCCTAAATTGTACTTCAAGATACTGAAAGAAGATGTTCCAAATAATCATAGCTTTCTCTGCAACTCGGCTGACTTAAAGGTCACCCATGAGGTTCGCTACCTCCCTACCATGATGCACACCCTCGCATAGGCCGAACTCGTCTAGATCAAAAAGATCAATCACATTTAACAACCATTAGATTTCTGAATGATATTGACGAGTTTGGGTCAACATATTGCCATCTAAGATTGTGAGTCAAGATTTTTGTTTCTACAAGGACTGCACCCTCTAGGAATCCAACCCACCTAGGAAAGAGGAATCGTCTCCTTTCACTTGTAAAACCTAATGGATGTTAAATGTTTGAACATTCCGTAGAAGTGCAATTTGACCAACTCCCACGAGCAGAAAAAAAAACCACGCAAAACCCATCCAGCAAGAGGGCATTATCCACAAGATCTTGAGAAAGATGGATATGCAAGGATGTTCATTTGTGCAAGATATGAAGGCCTCTGCAACTAGCATATTTATTATCGATCAAAGACCAACCCCAAAGAGATCCCCCAGGACTACATGTTCAGTCCTTCACAAAAGAAGCCAGCATACCCAGACGTATTTCCTCAGCTCCCTTCAGCTCCTGAAGTAAACCTCAGAAGATAAGTAGTCATTCTACCTATCAACCAGCTACTCATTGTTGAGCCTTCCACCCATCAATGACTTGTAAAATGATTTTTTGCACCATTTAAAAGAACAATGCCTATGTTGTCTTTTTTAATAAACTAGGGGACTTTTTGGCTTTATTTAAATTTGGAGTTTCCCCAATCACCCTGAATTTCTCTAAGATGATGCCATGGATAAAAAGATTCTGCTTCATACCAAAAAATGTACAAATTAAAATAAAGCCTAAAGAACTTAAAAAATTCATGGGATTAAGCTTGTTCTCTGAGTCCATAGGATAAAGACCTTCTAGAACTACGATATGAAGCTCATTAGACAAGTCTAACGGAATAAGGCCATTGATAAATGCAGGAGATAAAGTTCAATCAACAAATTTATAACATAAGCCAATTTTTAGGAGCCTGTGGAATGAAGCTCACTTAATAGTCTTCTGCCATGGGACTCATCTGACGACTTTGCAGGTTGAAGCTCATTTGAGCAAGTCTCTTGACTGGTGCCAGATATTCATGGGATAGAACGACACTTGACAGACTTACATGAGATCCATTGGGCTATGTTTAGGATGTGCCCCATGCGGTATATCTCTACCATTGAAAGTTTTATTGGGTACATCTAAATGAAATCAGATTATCAAGCTATACGACATATGAAAGTTTTGCGATATCTCTACCATTGAATACAAGGTCTGCTTTAGGTCGAACGTGGCACTAAGCAGAAGGTCAGAACCAAGACATGAGCTTTCATTATTTCATTAGGCTCAAATCATCAAATACATTTTGGAATTGATCCAGGGCAAGAACTAAACAAAAAGCAACATTACGCCACACAGGCTTATTATAATTGGGCAGAAACATTGGATATATATGGTTCACATAATAAGATACACGGCCTCATTAATGATGAGTATGACCACAAGAGATAAAATCTACACTACGTCAAGAGGCCAACTAAAGATGAAGTCCACATTAGGCCATAGGATAGCCATTGAACAATCTCGTGGCAAGATCTCTCATCCATTGGAACTGGAACGTTAGGCCTCAATGAATGCAACGCATTCGTCAGCTCACCCGTATTATTACTTCTTTCCTAGCTTGAAAGGGCATTGGGACCTCAATTTGGGGGAGTTTCTTATTATGTAAAAGATTTCATCCTCCAAAGGAACGCATCATGAGCATTAAATAAAATATATTATCTTCTCGTATCAGTCCAAATCTTCTTGTAAGAGACTCTTTTAAATACAAAAGAATAATCCCACTGTTATCTCAGCATCATCAAGTAAATTTGTGTATTCCATAGGTTGAGTCACCTTTAAATCTTCATGAGCTAGATTTGTTGTGTACCTCAGTGAGCATACCGCAATGACCAGAAATGATTATGTACAACCAAGATTAACGAGGTTCTCTACCAAAAAGGAACGCCTATAGAAGTTCTATTTCTGGGGTATGCACCACTAAAGATTTTCTAGATGGAGATATGTGAAGATAGTGAGCACTACCAGGGGTAGGAATTTCATCCCGCTCAGCTAAATGAGTCAGAAATTGAACTGTGTTCGCACCCAATAGCTCAATACACCAACATAAGCAAAAAAACCTTCACTAGACCTGTAAAGAAGCAGCAAACAATACATACAATGTATCCCTCCGTTTCAAGTTCAACACATTAAGATACTGCAGCAGAAATTGGTAAGATTTCTAATCACTATTACCATTTTCAGCAATAATTGCTTCTAAAATATCAAAAGTTCTATGCTGGAAATTCAATGCCAGGCTTGAAGAATTTGCATGTAGTTTAAAGTTGCTTAGACATAATCCTCATGAGTTGGGAAACTCTACCAAACCCTACATAGATCAGGGTTCTATATAGATGAGAAAACTTGACATAAATGAGACCAAGAAAAAAAAAAGAGAAACAAGCGAGCTCGAGGACACGGCCTCAAAAGCAAATTTAGAAAACAATTGGAATGTGAAAGAGAATAATGTTTGAGTGACCACACGAATTTTACATAATGCTAACACTTTACTGGAAGTCCCTCAGCAACAACCTGAGCATTATAATCTTAGCATTAAAAAAAATTCAAAGCAAACAAACAAGTCACCATAAACAGCCATACAATTGCTAAAAAGTTTATAAGAAAATGCTCAGCATATTACCTCTAAATAATCAACAGTGACATGCCCAGTCCCCAGATCATCCCATTTCTCATCATCACTCAAACGATAAACCTTCACACGCTGAAAGTTTTAAATTTTGCAGCGTTACATAACTAAAATCGTCATTTATGAAAATAGTCACAAAAGGTAAGGCAGCAGACGAAACATCACAATCAGATAAAACATAACAAGATAAACAAATAAGTTGTTATAAAAAGCATTTACATGATGCTAGACACAACACAACGACGAACTTTGTACATGAACTCCTCACCATGCATGCTTAGAACACAAGTAGCAAAACCCAGTCACGGTGTGAGCTATTGCAGAGAAATTTATTTATTTCCCACAATGTCCACTTTGGACATGTTAGAGATAAAATCAGCTCTGGTGCGCTGAATATGACAGACCCCGGAAGGTTCTAGACACAGTCGCATAACTTGGAATATACTAGACACATCCCGTCAAGAGGACAGAGAAAAACTATCACGTGGATCTGATTGTTGTGACATCTCCGTTCTTATTTTTCATAAAAGAATGATACCTAGTCCATGGCACTTAATCAAAAAGTCATAGGGTTTCAACATTACATGGACAAGAACCTATGTGATTAGGACATAGAAACATCGAAAACAATTTCCTGATGTTGTTTGCTCAAAAAGTAATAAATCAGTAAAAAAGACCCACACTAAAAATAACAATAGAGAACGAAAGAAAAGCCATACAATGAATATAGAAATGAGCATAAATAAGTATGCAGAAATCATCAATGCACAAATAAATTTCCCTGAGAATAAAAATGTAAGGTTGAATGCTGTAAATGTGCAATTGTGCCATGGATAATGTGCACAGAAATATGATAACAATATTGTTTTCTGAGGTACCAAAACAACGTTGACTTCGAAAATTGTAATGATTTTGAAGAAGGCTAAAGCATTACACACAAAGAAAACAAGTCATCAATGAAAGCAAATGAGATCCTAATGTAACAAGACATTGAAAGTAGCTCCATTTGTTTGAGGCTTCAACGCACACAAAGTTGAAATCGCTATTCAATTTTTCCAACTGAACTTGAACAAACCGCACCATTCTAACTACAGACCAACCTGATCCAAATCCCCTCTCAAGTTTGAACCAATATTCCATCATCAAGTATGAGCATTAGTAATACACATATTTCCACCAGGCAACTTCAATGCAAATCATTTTGAGAAGTCATCAAATATGGAGAGAGAACACAGCACGAGGTCTTGTATAGAGTTGTGGGATATTAGCGGAATCAATCTGTGCTCATACGATTTGACAGTTTTGTAAGGAAGTGTTTAACTTCAATTATCACTGGCATCCAACAAGGAGGTGAAGTCCATCAATTTTATTACGCTTTACACTAAGCACTAAATAGAAAAAGCACGCTCCATCATGAATGTGACGGCATTTTTTCTCTTTATTTCACAAGGATAGCTCATCTCTGATATTCAGGTTTTTTCTAAAAATATTTCTAGATATGAAATCAGCATGTAAAAGTATCACTTTGACTTTCATACTTCCCCTACTTTAAAACTCTACACTTCCTTCAATACGGGCAATTTGGCAAACCCAATCAAATCCTAATTGCACATACTTGGCCTATGATTTAATTGAAAAGGAGGTCATTAGGTACAGGTTTATTCAAGCAAAAAAAAATGAGCACAATTTATGTGTCTTAATGTTTACATTAAGTGGAGCTTGAAGCACGCTACTGAAACATATCATCGTTCATTGCTGCCCAGTTCACATTCCCAAAGAAGAAAAGTTGAAGAAAAGCGACGAAAAGAGTCTGCAACTTATTTTGTTTATTTCAACCCATCAACGAATTTTTCGCTTCCATTTACTAAGCAATTCTTTCTCCAAACATGGCAGCTCTAATCATTTTCACATCCCCACTCTTCAAAAAAATCTCCTATTTTGGGGTATTCCATTTAGGCAATGCAATTCTGCCAGCATAAAGAGAAACTGCATGCTCTAAAAAACTAATTTAAGTTGTCCGACCAACATGCAGCTCTGTGATACTACGGTGGGGCGTGCTTCTGATACCAGCTTCCAAAATGCCCACTTCTCATGGCTTATGACACTTGCACGCCACTTATTAGTATACGTATCATCAGCATTTGACCGATGCCCGGTAGTGAACTCTCTTGAGGAATCAGTGCGTCATGAATGTTGCACACAAAAAAAAAAGGTTTGAACCTTAGTGGTACACACGGTATGCATGATCCTCTTTCACGGTATGGTCAGGTGATATTTGACACTTTTATAAACATTGTACGGTTCATCATTTCCACAAAGAAGTACAAAAAGTGGAGTCACGAGACCATAAAAACATAATAAGAACATGACAAGGCTGGCAAGATGAGAGGGGAATCTGGACTACTGAAACAGCTCACAGAGTGAGTTTGGATTTGACCAAGGGACGGAATCACTACATGATGGTCAGGTGATCTTATCAGATAAAAAAAACTTCTTTAGTCACTCTGCTTACTGGGAATAGGAACAGTTCTTAAATATCCTCACGGACATGACATTAAAACCCCAAGTTCAACAAGCTTCAGGGAAGGCGACGACTTGACAGTATCAGATCACTCTCGAAATGAAAAAAAAATCCTGACGCAGATTGATCATCGAATACTAAATATCCAGCCAATGTGAGACACATCAAGAAACACAAGTACGAAGAGGAAAAGCACATTAATCCGAAAACGCCTCTCTCGCCCAAAAATACTATCCCACAATGGGAACGAGAAACCTCGCAACGCAAAGAAACAAAGCCCTTTCAGCAGAAACACCATACCAGTCTCACGGCGGGATCTTCGTTCGCTTGAACACCTGTGAACACGAACCGCAAACGGGTCAAAACTCTGGGAATTACAATTCAACAGAGAGGCCAACTAAGTGTTCCCAAAGGAGAAATGAGGAGAGAACGATATCAAATTGAAGAAGAGAAACGAGCGAACCACCAATATAGATCTCCCCCAATGATCCGCTGCCGATCCTGCAGCCAACACGGGGCTTATTCCCACCTCGAGACTCCATGGGCAGTTGCAATCCCGAGACTGCGCCCCCTCGATAACTCTATAATTGCACTTACGGCAAGCAGTCCAACCCTAGCCGGGCCGATATGCTTCAACAGGAAAGGCAACCCCAAAGCGAGGCGGAGAAGGAGGAGGAGAAGAAAGACGGACGGGCGGCGGGCCACAACTGGCGCGGCTTGCCTCCGGCCTCGACTCCTACCTCGCTCTCCTCCTGCGCTTTCCTCCCGCCTTTCCCCTCTGTCTATCTCTCTCTCTCTCTCCCTCCCTCTCTCTCCCTCTCTCTCTTTCTCTATCTTCCGCCCTTGCTCCTTTTTCTCTCCTCTTTTCCCCGCTCTCGAGAGAATGTTTAAGGAGAGGACGGAGAGCGGCGGAAATTTCCGTCCCCCCTCGCCCCTCCCCCTCTCTCTCTCGCTAAAATTTTCCCACGCTTCGAAAATCAGAGCCGTACAAAAACATCCGACGAGTGGCGTGGAGAACCTGGGGAATTCTCCGCTGTGCACCGTCCGATCGATCCTACTGAAATCCACCAGCTATTTAATCCCCCCGCTCGTTATTTCCAGACCGCAACAGCGCAGATTCTCCCGCGGGTAACCTCACCTCCGGCGCCGATCCGCCGCCAGTATTAAAAAGTATAAATCCCCCGTTTAAGGAGACCACCCCCCCTTTACGCGATTGACTAATCGGCAATAAAAGAGTATAATTACAGATTAAGGGCGGACTGACCCGCGAGCCCTTTATTTGATCGCGATCGAGGGAAAGGAGGCGTTTTTACGGCTGCGAGCGCGCCTCCAACCCGCCGCCGTGGGCTAATGCGGACCCGTACACTTCAAACATGGAAGCCCGACGCCAATAATATAAGGGCAGTGACGGAGACGCCACGCTCTGAGAAACATGGTATGCCGGAGCTCAGTGAGAAGCCGCCGCCCTACGGATATGATCATCCTCTCTCTCTCTCTCTCTCTCTCTCTCTCTTTTACCACAAGCACGCAGATGAAACAGTCGTTGACCGAGCTTCCATCGGTCGGTCTTTTTCCACGTCAATTTCGTCGCGCAAGACGAAACCTTTGTTCTTCAAAGATGTGAAGTAGTCATGTGTGGGCGGGGGGGAGCTGGAAATATCAAAGTCAACCTTCTGCCCGGCACCCTGGTCAACTGGGCCTGCTGACGAAGAGGATCTTTCAGATCTTTCCGACCAAAGACTCGGGTTACCGGTGCGTCACCATCTCTGACGGGGAAATCAGAGAAAAACGGCGAGGGATGACACCGGAACGAGAGGCGCACCACCCGCAGTCACCATCACAGAGGTGGACTTCGAGCCGCCGAAACTGAGATTGACCAGCAATGATGAGAAAGAAAAACGTTGCGGGTCAAACCTCCCGAGATCGTCGAATGATGTTCCAAGCATTGACACGGACATCAGCCCGGGAAGAGAAGAGAAGACTAATCAAGGGGAATGCTCGACTGTCTACAGAGAGAGGACTTTAGAATAGGCGTGAGTGATCGGATGAAATTAAGCAGCTGGAAGATATGTAACAAGAGAAGAAGGGAAAAAAAGAAAAATCCGAAAGTGGAAGTGGGCGTCGATCTCTTGAGCTCTTCTTGCAGCGGAAGACGACGACGACTATCGATGAGCACGTACCTGAGTTCGGCCTGTTGGCGCTGGGGAAGACACTCGATGTTGAAAGAAGGGGGGAAGACACTCGTCCCAACACTTCCCGCCGGAGCCAGTTGCCGCGGTAATCGCAGCCGCCGCCGCCGACGCTACTGCTGCTGCTGCTGTAGGAATGCCATCTGCCGGGCCTCCTCCTGCGCGAGGACCTCCAGAGGGGAGGCCGTCTCGTTCCGGAACCTCCTGATCTTCGGGGTCGACAAGGCCCGGTGAGCGAAGCCGTACATGTGGAGCACCTGGTTGTCCGCAAAGTTGAAGGCTCTTTCCATGCTCTTCAAGCACCGCTCGACCGGGTAGTCCCCGTAGCTCCCGCAGGGCTTGCAGCCGACGAAGTGGGTGACGAAGGGCCACCGGTCGTCGCCCAGGCCCGGATGGTACTTGTCCATCATCTCCTCGTAGCGATCCACCAGACCGGGCCAGTAACCGTGGAGGTAGTAGGAGTTCTCGATGAACGTCTTGGGGAACCACTGCTCCTGCTTGGACAAGAGCAGGTAGATGAGGGCGGACTGGTCGTCGGCCTCGAACGCCGGCCGGCCCTTGAGCTTGGCCGTGAGCAAGCGCCCCACTTCCTCGCGGACGGGGCCCTTGGGTCCCATGGGAGCCCATGCGTCGAGCAGGTCCAGGGACCACTGGCAGTTGCGGAGGAGGAAGCTGCCGGTGTTGAGGCTGATCCACGAGTGCTGCTCGAAGACGAGGTCCGGGTAGCCGTGGATGACGAGGTTCCGGTCAGCGTAGCGGTGGAGGGGGATCTCGAAGGTCATGTCGGTGAAGAGGGCGTCGCTATCCATCCACCAGATCCACTCCACCTCCGGGTGGGAGAGCATGAGGCGGCGGAGGAGGGGGAGCTTGGCCCAGTAACCGGCGAGCTCCTTGTCGAGGTGTGCCATGTTGTAGATGATCTCGATTCCGTGGAGGCGGCAGTAGTCGATCTTGTTCTTGATGGCCTTGAGGAGGTAGTGGTCGCCGATGGCATTGTCGCAGGGGTTGGGCGGAGATCCCGTCACCAGCAAGATCCGGGCCTTGGACCTGGCGCCGCCGAGGCCGGCGGTCACCTCGCTGGGGAACCCGGGGTTCTCGGCCAGCCATCGCCGGCGCTGCGCATCCCAGTCGGAGATTTTCGGCCCCAATGTGAAGGTCAAGTTGTTCAGGTCTACCTTGACGACGGTGTAGGTGGCATTGCCCCCAACCCCGGCGGTTCCGTTGGCGCCGCCCACTGCGGCGGCCAGATCATGCTCTTGTTGTTGTTGCTGCTGCTGCCGCTGCTGTTCCTCTTCGTCGTCGGGGTCGGAATCGGAGCGAATTTCACGGAGGATGCGGTCGACGTCCTCCATGACCTTGGTCTCTTCGCCATCGCCGCCGCCGCCGCCGAGATCGCCGACGCCGATGGTGCCGCGGAGGACGAGGATAGTCACGAACCCGCACAGGATCGTGATCTTGATGTTGTTGAAGGTCTTCTGGATCTGCCGTCCTTTGGGGATCCGCGACCTGGCTCCGCCACCCGACGCCGCGGTGGTGGTGGTGGTGGTGGTGGTGGTGGTGGTGGTGGGCAGACCTCCTCCACCTCCACCGCCGCCCCCACTCCCCCTCTCTCTCGGCTTCAGCTCCTGCCCCATTCCTCCTCCCGTCTCCCCTCTGCGATTCCTCCCGGCCGCACCCTAAATCTAATCCTCCTCCCCCTCCTCCTGTGTTCCGCGGGGAGACCGGAAATGGCAGACTCCAGCGGCCAGCATACGCAGATCGGGAAACACCGCCACCGCCGCTGTCCTCACCGTGACGACATCTGAGGCGGCGCAGAGAAGAAACGACCCTCAGCAGCTTCGATGAGCGACAGTGGAAGAGGGAGGAGACGCCTGCCTGAAGACACACGAGACGGAGTGTCCTTTTTCCTATTTAATAATAATCCCAAGGGGTGGCGTGGTGTGAGACACCGTGAGCCGGCAGAGGCCGTCAGATTGACCGTCGAGAAGGCTTTTCCACCGTACGATGAGCCGGCCTGGTCTACTATCGGCCAGCGGACAGGCGGGGAAGCCGGCAGCGATTCCCAGCCACCACCGACAGGAGATGAGGGCGGTGGATCCGTCCATTTCATATGTTTAAGCGGAGGCTCACGTGGTCAATCAGCTGCCCCCACAACCCCCACTCTCTCGGTCATGTGGACGATGGTGCATAATATTGTGTATAATAATACTTTGGACCAGTAGTAAAAATAAATGCGTCAATTAATACATGAATTTATTTTTTATGTCTTGAGTAGGTTAATCGACGTTTATTGATCTCTTAGTGGGGATACACTAATAATTAATAGGGGGGGTGAATTAATTGATTTTTTTCCTTGTGTAAATTTCGTATTACTCATTAATTCTAAAACCATGTTATTTAAATTCGAAATAACACTATTGAAAACAATTCCACTCAGCTTTTAATAGGTGTTTGCACGCTAAGTTTTCAGGGCACTTGTCAAAATCTTCCCTTAGTCTTCATCTTGCCCAGAATTAATAAAGAACCACCCATTTCTCTTTTCTTGGATATCAAGATCTAGGAACACCAAAAGTTTCAAAAAATTATTCAAAAAAATATGATTTCTTCATCAACTTTAATGCATGATCACTTTGCAACGCAATTGAAACACGTTCAAGTTGAATAAATGAGAATGATGCGTTGTCAATTGATACATAATGGATCAAATGACTTCTCCTTCTTCCCTCCATTCACATGATCGATGTACGACTTGCCTACCATGGATGAAGCTCGAGCTATTTTACCTTCATTCTTTGTTGTAATCGCCTTTACACACATACAAGAGAGAGAGAGAGAGAGAGAGAGAGAGAGAGAGAGATGGCCAAATAATTCCTAACTTTGGATAACTAAGTATGTTTACCCAAGTTTTAAAGAGACCAAAATATGACTTAACAAGGTCTAATACACCTTGAATTAAGTCTCATCACTAGATCTAATTCAGCCTTATTTCAGGTCCAATAGCACATTATATTGTATCTTTAATTCCAAAACAAAATAATATATTTCCATGTAACATTTAAACTATATATAAACTTTCTCTTTAATCTTAGTTCCTGAAATAAATTCAAATAAATTTCAAAATTACTCCACAATATCAAATTTAAAATTCAACATCATCTTATTTAATCATATAAATTTTTAAAATCATGTTTATGTAATTTCGTATTTTTTAAGTATCTAATTATTCTGTGTTATTGTCATCATGAAAACACAAGTTATCAAAGGTAATAGAGGCTTTCTAAGAAGTAGTGAGGAAGTCATAGAATGTGGAAGAACTTGGGTTTCTTGTTTATATGATAAGAGGTGTGGACTCTCTCATCATTGCTGATATAAAATTAGAATAAAAAGAAATTATCTTTTGACACAAATGACCAGCATTGGGATCAATTCTATTGTTGCATACTAATCATGTAATGATCTACTTGTTTAAGTATTCTATAAAGAATGTTTTGATGTAGACAAACTAAATATGAAGTTTATTAAAAGAATCTAGTTATAACTTTATTTGAAGACATATGATAAGAGAATAAATATGGAAATATTTATAGAACATTTCAATGTAATGATGTTAATGGTTAAATTAACGTCTTATTGAATATATGTCATGGAAAATAATACGATTTTAAATTTTTTACTAATATTATGTCATGAAATCATTATATTACATATTCTCAAGAAAATAATAATATTTAATGAACGTGTCATTGTGAAAAAGTACTAATAAACACATCAAGTTTAGTTAAGAACATATTGGACACATGTCATGACAAATAATTTGAATTTTAAATATTTATTGACCTTATGACGATAAATGATTATATTACATATTTTTGTGAAAATCATATTAGAGATCATAATACAAAACATATGAAAGTGTTTATCATATTAGAGATCATAATAAAAACTCATGTTTTGTATTATGGTGTCTCGTTGAACTTAAAGTGTTTATCATTGTTTTGTATTATTTTATTATTATGATTTTCTTATGTCTCGTTGATAAACACTTTAAGTTCAACGAGATATCATAATACAAAACACTATTATGAAAGTTTATTCAAGTTTTTATGCACTCAAAATATTAGATTATTACTTTAGATTTAACTGATTAAGTTTAGACTTTTATCTTGTCTAACATGATTTTTTTCATATTATGGATTATACTTTAGAAAATAATTTATATGTCTTGAATTATCGAAAATGTTATTACATATATTGAAATCATGGTTTAGAATATTGTTAGAGATAGTATTGCATATTAATCATGGTTCAATGTATCACATACTCGATAAATTATTATGTCATTTAAAAATAAAAATTATTAGTTCTCTATTTATATTATCAAATACTCATAAAATGTATTAAACTAACATAATGAATAGAAAAGTTATGACTGAACAACATCAAGTGCTGATTTCATATATGTATATCTTAAAGGAAATTAAAGTACAATCATATCGAATACCTAACCATTTGAATGTATTTACTATGAGAAAAATAGATGTTGAAAATCTTTGAGATTCATTATTGGTGAGAATATAGTTAATTAGATGACAATAATAAGAAAATAGCATATTATGAGTGAGCTAGGAAACCTGCTTATTCACCATCCTAAGAAAGGATTAATCTAATAAGAAACCTTATCTAAAAGATAGAAAGAAAAAATAAATCAATTTAACCCCCCTCCTCTTCCTTCTTGTTTTTATTGTGGGCCAAAATCTAACAATATTAATAAATTTATTTCATAATAAATTAACTATTCACTATCATTTAGCTAGGTTGTTAGTCAATTGATTGATATAGTTATGATTTATCTCTAGATCCATTTACGATCTATTAATACTTTTATGAAGGGAGTGTGGGAGAGAGAGCCTAGCACTTACAAAGACGACCTATTGAATCCTACAAGATTGAAGATTGATGAAATTATGTAGACTACAAATAAAAAAAGTTAGAAAAAGGTGGTGCGGCATTTTTATTCTATAAAAGAACATATGAGATTTAAACCTTATTGTACAAAGGATTGAACAATTTTTTTTTTTCTAATAAGTCATGGCATATCTTTTTTAGCTCTAAATAATTAGTTGTTATTATTTCATTAGTTGTTTATCATTTTTCTACAAATAGTCTACAATAGTTATCAATAATTGACTATAACATATGAAGAGCGAAACAACATGCATTTGATTCCAGATTTATGAGTAACTTCTTCATAGGGTAATGCACATGTCATAATTTTACCTACTTAAATACTAACTTATAATGGCACAAAATGAGAATTTTATTTTTGCTCATATTAAGACGAGTTTGACTTTAAAGTCAACAACATGGTCCATACATACATTACACAGTTGAACATCCCCCAGAATTCACATCAATTATTATGTTGAGGCCATGTAGACATGTAGACATGAATTGCGGGACCATGTAGGCATGAATTAAAATGTGAATAAGTCGTGTATTTTGGAGATGGGGTCATCCAGACAAGAAAGCCTCTTCAAGTGGAGAGCAGAGTGTTGAGGCCCTTTTTCACAACAAGAACTGGGCCAAGGAGAGCGCGGTCTCAAAGAAGCCGGCCCAGTCCAGTTCTACACTCAGGCAGGCAGAGCGGAGCGCAAGGCGACGGAACGCAGGAACCCGACATCATTGGGGGCAACGATGCAGTGGATCCTTAAGGGCAGACGACAAGGGGCGCGGAAGGATCCGGCGGCGAACCTGCTCAAACGTGCCTTCCCCCCCCTAACCGCCCGATCTCCCTTCGCGGCAGGCTCAGTCAGCAGGTCGTGGAGGGAGGAACCCATCACAGAGCCGCCCGCTTCATCTGAATCCAAGCAAACTGGCAACTAAGAGGGAGGAGCTCCAGGAGTAGTACTGACAACTCGCCAAAAAGAGCAACTTTATTTATTCGCGGAGAATCCACTCTCCGATGTTGACAGCCGCCGGAGTTGAGCCACCAGCTTCTGTGACATTCTTCTCTGAAAGAACGATGTCTGCCGGGGGGGACGTAGCTGTCACGCCATGAGAGGCCTCAAAGCGGAAAGAGGACGAAGCCTCTGCGGTCTCCTCCAGTTCTCAGAGAGCACGGGCTCCGCCTCGTCTCGTCTTCTCCAGCTCGCGAGAGAGCGAGCTTTCTTCAGTCTATCCTATATAAAACAGAAGAGAGAAGAGAAGAGAAGCAGCAGGCGGTTTTTACAGAGGTCGCCTTCTTCGCCTCGCCCGGGTCCGAGAAGCGGCTGCGACGGCTATTTGGCCGGAAAATGACGACTTGGCCTTGTCGAAGACGAGTGGGTCAGCCGGAGACGGCCGAGAAGGTTCCGTACGCGGCGAAGGTCAGCCCGAGGACGAGAATGGCGTAGTCCAGAGCTCTTCCCTTGAAGTCCAGAGAGGGGCCGAGGAACCTGAGATGGAAGATGGCCGGCAACACGAAGGAGAGCAGAGCGCAGACGGTGCTCCCGACGAGGGAGATGAAGGCGCCGAACCCGGGGATCAACGACGCCAGCGCCGTCAGCAGCGTCACCAGCAGCATCCGGGCCAGGTGCAGCCCCGCCGATTCCGCCGCCGGCGAGACGCGGGAGAGTTTCTGGAACCATTCCGACGACAGCAGCCTCGATTCGGTGATCTCGTGAATCGGGTGCATCATCACCGGGAAGGTGAAGGCCAGCGCCACGCAGAGCCCCAGCTGCGCGCACAGAGAAGAAGAAGATGAAGATGAAGAAGAAGACAGAAAGAAGGCCCAGCTGTGAATAATATATGTATATGTGCTCACCTGGACGGTAATGGCGGACCAGTCGTTGGGGAGGTTGAGGGTGACGATGTCCCTTGTGGCGTCGCCGTAGGCCAGGTAGCCGAAGATGCCGAAGCCGGCGTAGCAGAGGGTAATGCCGAGGAAGGCCCGGGAGAGGACCCACCTGAAGGTCTCCCTCTCGGCCATGGAGTCCTCGAGGGGCAGTGTCATGCTGAACCCCTCGAAGCAGAAGACGGCGACCCCGGCGGCGAAGGGGAGGCCTAGGACGCCGTTGAATGCGCTCCTCGTCCTCAGCTCCGACAAATCGCCGAGCAGCTGGAGGTCGTCCTTCACGACGATGCTCATGGCAAGGACGTTGCAGACGTCGGCCAGCGCGCTGAAGGGGGCGATGGCGGAGAGGGAGCGGATGAAAGAGATGGCCGTCTCGAGGGGGAGGACGAGGAGGAAGAGGAAGGCGTAGGAGGGGATGCGGCCGGGGAAGACGGAGGAGAGGTTCTGGCCGATGAAGACGAGGTAGGCGGTGGCCCCCCCCGCCTGGGAGACGAGAACCAGGAGCTCGGTGAGGAAGCGGCCTCTCCCCCCGAAGGCCTTCTCCCCCAAATCGCCATACGACCGTATGCGGATCGACGCGTCTCCTTCTTCCAGCCTCTTCCTGCATTCAATCTACAACGGAGAGTCGATTGAGGATCAAGAAGCAGCAGAAAGTTTCGAGGATCGGGGAAACACGAAAGCACAAGCGAGTATGATCGACCGACTGACCATGAGGATCATGCAGTAGTAGGTGGAGAGGCCAGCGGCGGCGACGCCGAGGGATCCGGCGGCCCAGCCGGCGACGCGGAAGGCGTAGGGGAGGCCGAGCACCCCCGTGCCCACAATCGACACCACCACGTTCCCCAGCGTCTGCGCCCAGGTGGCCCTGCCGGTCCTCCTCCCGACGGGGATCGCCTCCAGCAGCGGGGCCGCCGCCCCTCCGCCGCCGCCTCCTCCGGCGGCCATGGGGGGAGGGGGGGTTCCCCCGCTGAAACGCGCGGCGGCGCCGCCGACGACAAGGGCGAGCGAAGGACGACGAGCGAGAAGGGAAAGGGCTTCCTTTTGCTGAAACATAGTGGACGACGAGAGAGAATGCGATTGGCTTCTTAGCTCCATCGGTAAACGGCGGTCTGATGGGCCATATTGGGCCGTTATATCAGAACAGGCCCAATAACAGAACTTTCAGCCGATCAATATAATCCTCTAAAGGTTTTTTATTTATTTAATTTATTTATCATTGGATGGCGGGGAGATGCGGCACGTGCGGTAAGGCCATGCGGGGGTCGGCAGAAGGCTCATCAATTGTCGGGCGTCTACCAGTAGAGAGAGAGAGAGAGAGAGAGAGAGAGAGAGAGAGATAGAGGGAGAGAGAGAGAGAGAGAGCTCTCCTCGTCGCAAAGCTGAGAGCTTCGCCCTTGGATCGCTCCGCCAATCGCCCTGCGCCGCGCTGACTGTGCCGGGGAGAGGATCGCGCGATTGATGCAGGAGAAGGAGAGGGACGGGAGCGGAAGATTGAGGATATAGGGTGTGTCGGGTGGTGGTGGTGGTTAGGGTTTCTGTGCTATTGGGGAATGTTCTCTCAGGAGGAGCCGAGGGGGGAAGTGCAAGGCCGGCATTGAGCGCGCGAAGGCGTGGCTGTGTGGCAATAGAGAGGGACCGTCGAACGGCTGGGACGATGCAGACGTCTTCAGGGCAGGTGCGTGTCGTCGGTGTCTGATGTTCTCGTCTTCTTAGATCCGTGCTCCTCTGCTCTGCTCGGTTTTAGACGGTGGCGCTTGGGTTCGGACCTTTCGTTGTCATTCCGATTCTCTCCAGGTGTAGCGAGGTCGATTAGATTGTCCTTGGCCTTTTCGCTCATTGCCGATTCTGCGGGCTGTTGCTTTTACGCACTCGTTTGTCTAAGAAGCAGATGAGCTTGATTTAGATTCTAGACCCCTTTTTGTTGCCAGGCATCGTGTTTCGTTTTTCGTCACCTAATAGAAAACGAAGAACTCATTTTATTATCTTTTCACAAAGAGTTTGTTGAAAGTTTCACATGGAGGAGAATCACAGTCAATGGAATTTTAGTTACATTTCAGCTCTAACAGAGCGTGCTCAATTCAGTAAGAGAAGTGCATACATTCAATGGTAAAACTGCAGATGCCTGCTCATTTTTTTCTAGGGGGCGAACTGAGAGCTTCTTTTCTGAGTTGATAAAGGTAAAAATAGATTAAAAAATGAAATAAACATCGGGTTACTTAATCTATGTCTGTTCCTCATACCTTCCGACTTCAATGGATATGTCGGTACCATTTATCTTTTTATCAATTTATTTATCTTTCGATTGATGAGCAGCTGCTGCATATTGTCTGATTCAAGTTAAAACTTATTGAAGAGGTGACTAAAGCATGAGAAGAGGCAGTGAGTACATGTGAACATCGATGTTCGGAGAGTTCAAGAGGACTGTCTTGCTGCTAAGACAAGGGGTAGAATGTATGCCTATTCCCTTTTTTTGGGTAGCAAGTACCATTCGTTTCAGGGACTGGACGAAGTTATTATTCAACTTAAGAGGGAAACTTGTAGGGTGGATAAACGAAGTTTACATGTGGAGAAATTTATAGTGTTGTTTCCTTCATGTTGCCAGTCTATTTATAAGTCTGAATCCCAAAGACTGAGTTGATACCCGGAAGGTCTTTTATTCGTTCAGATGATGATTGATGCCATGATTTGTGTGACGTCAACTAGTGGCAAGTATGTAGAACGGAGGAGAATGCTTGTCTTAGAATAGCTGATATCAGGGGCCTCAACTTGTCAATACACAGTTATTGCTGCGAAATCTAGGATGGAATAAGCGAGTTTTCGACATGCGATCATTAAATAGAAGCAGTTCCGAATTGGAAGAGCCTCCTATGACTATGAATGTGTTTAAAGTGAAGGGATATATTTATTATTTGAGATGACCCACTCATCATTCACATAATGTTAGGAATTCACACAACATGAGTGAGGAGGAGCAAAAAAATATGCTTCACATGTTCATTAGGTGTTTTTCCTCATATCATATTTGGTAAATACTCTTCATCACGACATGCATTATTTGGAATAAAGCTTTAGTGATGGCAGTGTGCCCCACCTAATAGACATTCGTGGCATGCACACAAACTTTGGTGAGTACTTATATGGTTGCATGGGAATGCTTATTATTTATCTAGAGAGCATGTTGCAGTATAGTTTATGTATTATATTATTCGTTCATACTGAATGTTTTAATTTAAATTTAGTAAGCAATATTGTTAATCACATGTCTTGCCTTATTGTTGTTGGGCCTTGGTCAGCTTAAAACCTTGATTCATTTTAGTTTTTGCTTTTGTGGTATGCCATTTTTAAATAAATCAAGATTACATTGAAACCCTGCAGTATTTCATAATTTTTTTTTTTTTTAAATGCTTAGATTTTACTTACTCATTGATGTATGTCTTGTTAACAGTTGGGAGCATGCTTACCATTGCAGAATGAAAAGCAAAATGCTAGTTAATTATGCGTCGTTGAAAGCCATCTAAGTGCCTAGATTTAATTCCGGATGACTATGTATCTTGTTCACTGTTGGGAGCATGCTTAGCATTTAGTTGTTCTTCAATAATGTGTGCTTAACTAGCATTTTTTTTTCATTTTACCTTGGTTTTTGATTCCTTCTTTCCTTCTGTTTTATTGCCGTTCCTCTGCATTTGAAGCGTTCATTTCAACTCGTCATTTTTTGTTATTTGGCACAGTCTTTGCACTTGTTGGATGTTTGTGACATTAGACTAACAAGCATAATATATCACTGTATCAGTGTACACAATTTATTCCGTTTTATCTACACACCATGTGATACATGAATTTTCTTTGCCTTTCCCCCTCTTACATGTATCATGAAACCTTTGTTGCAGTCAACACTTAATGGGTTGGCTCCAACTCTCCAGGATGCGACTGGTCGGTCCTTTTCAACTTCTTTTTCTTCTCAGTCAGCAGCAGCCCCTGGTTTTCATCATTCTGGTATGTCTGATCTCGATTTTGCACATTATGTGTAACTAGTAAACATGAATACTATGCATATCTTAAAAATATCTGTTACAGGTGCCATGCTAGGGCTCCATAACATCCAGGGGGGGATTAATGTTCCAACCATGCCAGGGTCTCTGGCATCTAGAAATTCGGCAATGGGTCTTGCTGCATCAAATGGTATTCAACAACAAGGGGGTAATTTAACTAGTGGTCGTTTTGCATCAAACAATCTTCCAGCTTCTATTTCTCAGGTACTTATCCATTTTTTGTTTCCTACTCCGTTGTTTGTTTTTCGTTTATGCCATTCTACTACATCACATCAGAAACTATTTCTTTGGTGCGTGCTTAAATTTTGTTCATATCATTGTTGTTTCAGATCTCTCACAGTGGTACATATGGACACTCGGGGGTTACAAATAGAGGAGTCGGTTTCGTAGGAAGTCCAGCATTTAGTAGTAGCATGAATGGTGTTGGTGGCTCGATTCCTGGCATTAACCCGAGCTCTGCTGGTATAAGTAATAGAATGCCTGTTCCTGGATTGGGGGTCTCCCCTATTTTGGGAAATGCAGGACCTCGAATTACAAGTTCGATGGGAAATATTGTTGGGGGCGGTAATATTGGAAGAAGCATAACATCTGGTGGATTATCTGTTCCAGGCCTGGCATCACGTGTTAATCTAACTACTAACAGCGCCTCAGGAAGTCTAAACGTACAAGGAACCAACAGACTGAAGAGTGGCGTGCTTCAACAAGGTAGTGGTTGTACCTTATCAACTGTCACTGAGCCATTCTGCAAGTTATGTTGAACACTTATGAATGGTGCATATACTTTAGTTTTAGATGCATTATTGATCAACTGATTTTGCCATTGCTTGTATCAGTAATCAATGCTCCATTTTTTCAGTTTTATTTTGATTATATTGTTATGTCTAACTATTTTTTATGAAATGTCACAACATTCTCCTTGTGACTATAATTTTGTGCTAGGGTTTTTTTTCCTCACTTCTAATATAGATTAACTACGTAGTGTTGACATTGATTTGCCACTAGAATGTATTTTGAAGGTCTAGGTTGGGTGTTGGAGTTTATAATATTGGGATAAGTTTTATCTGTTGGTGCAGGAAAAAATATAGCACAGATAAGCAACCACACAAGACAAAAGGGATTTTGACGTAGAATAGAAGTGGAAGGCACTGGGACGGTTCAAAAAGAGAACCAAAGAAACCCATGAATGTGAAATGAGGAAGGCCTAAAAATTGTCAATCCATTCTCTCCAGGAGATCATTTATTATAGTGGATGTTGTTAATGTTTCCTTTCTTTAGGTTATCCTCTGTTTTATTTATTCTTTTTAATAGTTCCTATTTTTTGGGGTATTGAACAATAGCTCTACTTATTTAAAGAGGAAAGCATATGAGAGAATTATTCTGGAACCCCTTCTCAGACGAAATGATATCGTGATGCCATTTAGAAGTACCAAATCACTGATGAGCTAGACAGAGTGGTATTGTACTTTGAGCAATATGGTACATTTGGCACAAGACAAAAATATGGTGCGGTGATTTCTGCGAAGGTAATGGGGCATGCTTCACGTGTTCCACCTAGATATGACATAATAGGAGACCAAGGTTGAGGTTCTCAAACCGAATTCGTACGATCCTATTGACTAAAATAAATTTTATAGATGTGGCGAGTCAGGTCACTTATTTAAAGCTTGCCCCAAGTGGGGTGTAGTGAATTGCTTGGGAGCTACCAATATATAAGGCATTGATGAGAATGGTGAAAATGTTCTTGGTTTTTAAGAACGAGAAATTATCAAAAGGGACTGTAGAGGTTTGCTGTTACATTTATTGGTTGTGAGGAGGTTTGTGTTCACCACCAACAAAGAAAGAGCATCCAAATTGACAAATTTTTTCGAATGTGATGCATGCCTACCGAACCGCAAAACATGTGATGTCGCTATTGATAGTATCAGCAGGGAAGATTTTGTTTCATCTATTACATATAAAAATTTGAGGTGGGATAAACAGGCACACACGCCCTTTCAAAATTAGTTTGCTTATTTTCAAATATAAGACAAAAGTAACATAATTTCTGATTGTTAGGTTTACTCTTACAAAAGCTTGTGGATATAATTGATAAGAACGCTTGCTAAATGATTTTGGAAAGGCCATGGCCCGTTGATGTTGATGTCAATCATTGTGATAGATACCGCATTTATATCAATTATGACAGGACCAGAATATTATTTTGTGGCCAATGAAAGAAGATGAATGCCCTCATTTCAGAAAAGAAAAATTTGGTGTTTTTGATGAATGAATAAAGATTAGAAGACTTTGATGCGTTTTTTGAAAATTTTGGAATGGTGAGGAGGGTACAATTCAGTATGACGTTTTTGATCGAAATACCGAAATCACTACTGCCCCTATTATCTGAGCTTTGCATATCATAGGCCCAATCAATTCGTTAACCCATCTTCTATGGAAATACGAAACAGCACCAGATTAATTTCATTACTAGAGCAAGCCTGGCTAATTCGCCTCATTACATAATGGACCTTGAAGGGAGTTATATCATTTGAGGACAAACAACTGAATTATTGCAAATGGGTTAGTAGGAGGCTATGAGTCCTCATATTGTTTTGGTACTACTAATACGAAAGAAGCATAGTTGGTGTATCTGTTGATAGTCATGTAATATACAAAATTGCCATGAAATTTATATATCCAATCCCATAGATGGATGATATGCTAGGTATACTTTTGGTTCGAAGGTGTGTGCAAAGATGAGCTGAAAAATGGAATTCTGCTAGATCAGTATGCCTAGGTGATCAATTGAAGATGACTTATAAAACAAGAGAAGGCACATATGAGCAGTTGGTGATATCATTTGTTCTTTTTAATGCTGTTAGTACGTTCATGAGAATGACGAACCAAGAACGACGACAATTTATTAGTCAATTCATTGCTGATATATTGATGAGTAACAACACACAATAATATCTCATATACTTTAGAGAGGTATTGATAGCTTCACAAGAGAACAACTTGTGCATCAATCATAAGAAGTTCAATTTTCTGACTTACAGACTATTATTCTTAGGCTTAGTGATTGGTACAAAGGCATTCAATCATAACTTTGCACACAAGATGACGATAAGATATAGCATCAGAGACTATAGGGGATGTAGTTTTTCACAAACTTTCTACGATTTTACTGTCCATTCATTCAAAATTTTGGCAATATTGTGGCACCTATCACTTAATGCACAAGTAAAGGATAATTTAATTGGAGCAAAGAGGTTGACATAAGTTTTAAACCTTTTGGGGAAATAAAACTCTTTGAATGTTTGAAAGATTTATATGAAGCTGGTGAATGCTTTGGCAGAGTATTGGTTTGATGCAAGACGGGCCAGTTAATTTAAGGATGTCATTTGCGATCATGTGTCCTGAGGAATTCATTACACGAAAGGATCCCTTGTGGACCGCGTGGAGGATTGAGAGACCATTTGGGCATGATAGAACTTAGTCAAATAACAATATTATGATCCTCAAATTAGCAGAGATATAAAGGATGATATGTGAGGATGTAGAATTTGTTAGGTCATTGAAGAGCAGTCTAAGAAATAAGGCTTTTCTTATACCTAAGTTGTACGCAATGATGAGAAAATTCTAACTTTATGATCATATAGCTTGTACGCTTATGAGATGTGCTTCTGAGGTTTAGAAATTTTGAATTCGTGGAATTTGTTCATCTAATTTTACAAGGATCTTTATAGCTTAAAAAGACCAAGTATTTGTTGCAAAAAGTCAACCCTCGCCTTAGTGGCTAGAAAAGGAATTTTTTAGCTTTTTTCTGTTACTATTTCTAGCACTGTGGCCATTGTGACTCTGCAGATTTTGATACCTTTAGTTGGAGTTGACTGTTGGGATTCCAAGTTCTGTTTTACTTTTATGTGTTGGAACTTCATTTCCAGCTCTTATTTTTCTAAAAACAAAATAGCTATTTTCTACTTTTTTTTTTCATTTTGTTCATTTTTTCTTGAAAACCTTTATTGCTTGCCTAAAATGTATGCCAAAGAAAGCATAATTAGTGCATCACTTGGGATTTGTAATGATCAATATCATTTTCTTTGTTTTAAGCTATTATTTTCTTGTCTTTGTTTCATTTCTCTAGTGGAAGCCCATTATTCATCAGAATTTGTCCTAAATTTTAATTTTCCCTAAACTGTTGTCATTCTTCTACTTTGCTGACTATTACACTGGTGCACTTGTATTTACTAGATATCCCACATAGAAACAATTAGGCACGATTTGTGTATGTTTTTGTTCTGTTTTGTTTGATCATGTCAAATGGTTTCTTACTCTCTAATTCATGTTTTGATAACATAGCTCCCCAGATGATGAGCATGCTTGGAAATTCGTATCCCACCTCTGGAGGAACTCTATCTCAGAGCCAAGTTCAAGCAGGGAATAATCCATTAAGCTCCATGGCCATGCTGAATGATGTGAATCAAAGTGACATATCTCCTTTTGACATCAATGACTTCCCTCAGTTGACTGGGCGGCCAAGTTCTGCAGGAGGGTCTCAAGGGCAATCAGGTAGTCAAATGCAACAACCTTGGGTTTTCTACGGACTGTTAGATGCTTCATGATGTCACTGCACGGTGCCTGATTTTCTGATTCGCTGATTCATAGTGTCACTGCGAAAGCAAGGGCTGGGTGTTAATTCTATTGTCCAGCCAAACCAGGAATTCAGTATACATAATGAGGATTTTCCAGCTTTACCGGGATTTAAAGGTACATTCATATACGGTTTCTCTTTTACTGTTGACTGTTTTTTGTGCGCCAACTCCCTATTTTCTGTCAAGACAGTCGCTCACAAATTTTACTTCCTAGAGAATTGTCCATATGGTTTAACTTGCTGTTTATTGTATAGTCCGTAATGCAAGTTTTTGCTGACGAAGGCCGCATATAAAATTTCGAATTATTTTTCGTAGGAGATAGCGAATGGATGCCGACTCATTCATACAGCAACAAATAGTCCCAACTCCATGACGTGTAGACCAAATAAGTCATTCAGGAACATAAAATTTCCACCCCATGACATGTAGATCAAAACATTCCTAATGATGTCAACTGGGAGTCCGTTTATTGTGATCTTTTGGCATCATCTAAGTATCACTTTATGTCAAAATCTTCTGTCTCATGCACAGAAGATTTTTTTTAGGGCTTATCGAGACTTCACCTCTGTCTGAATTTGAATTGGTTTGGATGGGGGGTATCCATTTGAAAATAAGTATGGAAATAAGATAGGTAAAGACACATTTCTTATCATTTTTTAGTGCTCTTAGCGGAAGATGCAAATATTTAGTTGCCCCTTGTAGCAATTGGAATGCTCTTCTCTTGATCAATGTTCTAGGGTTTGGCTTATCTTCTATCCGTCTTACCTTTGTTAATCATGTGGAGTCGAATCTGTTAGTTACCATTTTCTGAGAAATATAGTCGAATGACCGCTTTTCTTGGTAAGTATTAACACCCTCTATGCTAGTATCTTTCCAGCTTCCATATTTGACCTAGATCACGAAAAATTGTGTTTGATGGATGCTGGGTTGTGTACATCTTTTTCATCCATCTGTATCACATTTGGTTATCGGTAGTGCTTTTTTCCCGTCTGTTCAATGTGTTGCAAACGATCTTCATATACCTTGGAGTAGTGATGAAGGCATGGACGATTGATAAGAGTCACCTGTCCCTGTGTACTTGCATCTCTACCCATGAAATCCAACGAACCATTGCCAAACTCGGTGGAGAAGGTGGCTCTCTGTTTCTGGAAGGACTTTCGGTTTACTAACTAAGTATCTAACCTGTTTTGATGGGCGCATGGTGTTTTTACCACTTTCCAGCTAAAATGATCTATAAGGTTAAGAACTTATAAATTTGATACGAAATAGTAAAAAAAAAGTCGAAATATTTGACATATGTTGAGACGACGTGGGTCTACGAATGCCCCCTGAATAAGCTCTCTGTATCTGTTCCATTTGAATGCCACTGCGAGTCCTTCTTTGGTGGGGCCTCTCAATGCTCAATAGTTTTCCTTCCTATTCTCAGGGTGAATAACGATTTTCTGCTGATACATCTTCTTTAACATTTCAATGAGAAAGTTTGATTGGCAGTGGCAACATTTTCCCTGATCGCTTCTTCTTTCTTGTTCAGGCGGGAACAATGATTTCACCATGGACGTGCACCAGAAGGATCAGCTCCATGATAGCGTGTCGATGATGCAGACTCAACATCTAAATGCGAGCCCGAGCTTCCATGTGAGCTCTGAACCTCTTGGGCCCATCTTCCTCAACTCGACACTCTTATGGGATCGAGCCTCAATGCCCTTTTTCGTGCATGCAGATGGGGAGGTCCGCTGGCTTCAACATTGGGGGAAGCTACCCATCTCATCACCAGCAGCAGCAACAGCACAGCCCCTCGTTCAACGTCGTTGACTTCTCCCCTTCTAACAGCCAGGACATCCATCTTCATGGGTCCGACCTGTTCTCATCGTCCCACGGATCTTTCCATCCCCAGGTACTTGTCGCGAGCGATGCCTCCCTTCTGACAACCTCGGCTTCAGACTTTGCGACATATTTTCTTTGTGCCCCCTTACAGGGTCAGAGTGGGGGCCCTCCAAGCATTGGGCTGAGGCCTCTCAGCTCTCCAAACCCTAGTTCTGGCATCGGGGTGTATAACCAGCTCCTCCAGCAGTACCCCTCGCAGAATCCGTCGCAGTTTCGTCTGCAGCAGATGCCTGCTCTCAGCCAGTACAGGGACCAGAACCTCAAGGCCATGCAGGGCACACAAGGAGCCGCCCCTGACCGATTCGGGTTGCTGGGCTTGTTGAGCGTGATTAGACTTAACGACCTGGACTTGTCGTCCCTGGCCCTGGGTATCGACTTGACAACCCTGGGGCTGAATCTAAATTCTACAGATACTCTGTATAAGACCTTTGGTTCCCCCTGGTCGGAGGAACCAGCCAAGGGGGAGCCCGAGTTCTGCGTGCCACCATGCTACTATGCCAAGCCGCCACCGGAGCTGCATGTGAGCTCCTCCCCTCTTCTTGCCTGGACTTGTGTCTGAGGTTGTGCGTATCTCTGACTTTGGTGGGTGGGTGCAGCAGGGGTTCTTCTCCAAGTTCAAGCTGGAGACGCTCTTCTACATCTTCTACAGGTAATTCTCATCTGGCGGCAAGATCTTTGCCGGGCTCCATCAGAACATTGATACAGTTTCTGAAATTTATGACCGCAGCATGCCGAAGGATGAGGCTCAGCTGTATGCGGCCCATGAACTGTGAGTCATCTCCTCTGTCCCCTTCCCCATTCTAATTTCTTATTGATAGTAGCGATCTGCTTTCTCTTGGTCACAACGAGGGAATCTTGTGGGTGGGTCAGCAGTTTTCTTTCTGTCAGGAAGTGAGTTGTCAACTGGTGTTTCAACCCGCCTCTTCCTCTCTTTCTCTTCAGGTGCTCGAGAGGGTGGTTCTACCACAAGGAGCACCGGCTGTGGTTCATCAGAGTGGCCAACGTGGAGCCTCTTGTGAAGACGAATACTTACGAGAGGGGATCCTACCATTGCTTTGATCCCAACACATGGGACACTATCCGGAAGGTCTCTCTCTCTCTCTCTCTCTCTCTCTCTCTCTCTCTCTCTCTTACTCTTACTCTTACTCTTACTTCTGTGTGCCAACTGGGTTTCCTTGGGGTGCAGGATAACTTTGTGGTGCACTATGATTTGGTGGAGAAGAAACCGGCGGTTCCAAACAGCCGGGCTCAGACTTTGGCGTAGTTTCGTTTGTAAATATCCCTCGCTGATGAGTTTTGATTCAGCAGGAGGGAGAAGTAAGGTGGGCAGAGGTAGTTGCTTGTTCATCCTCGTCCCTTGTTCTCTGGAGCTTGTCGCTAATTGGTAGATGCCTAGCATTTCATCTTCATGACCTCGATGCCCTCTCTCTCTCTCTATATCCTCTAATTCTAGCCTCACTTATATCCTTCTCGTGCTAATTTTCTGTGTTGACTTTCACCAGTAGCGCCTCTTGTACCGAGGCTTGAAAAGTTGACTTTTACTGACTTCTGGATTTTAAACCATACCTTGAAGGGCATTCTGGTAGGAGAGACAAATCCCCTAGTTTGACTCAGGCTGCACCTTCGGTGGACTCTGCCTCTGGTGCGTTGAACTTGGATGAGATCGTCCCGGATATGAATGATGAGTTAGTAGGAGCTACAGAGCGAGCCACCCTCCTTTTAGGCAGCTTTATGAGGAGCAAAGCCATCCATCTCCCTAGCAGTTGCAGATTAATGCGATTTAATTAAATAATGCCGGTTAATTCACGTTTTTTCTTCCCCTCTTAATTTCACTTCAAGAGTTTAACTTTCAATGAAGTACAGTAATGTAGATTAATTTAACTCTTCACATAATAAATGCCACTTTGTGCATGATACATTTTTATAAGATGTAATTAATTCAAATTTTTTGGGTTATAAAATTCAATTAATCACTCAAAGAGTCTACTTTATATGTAATTGTTTTAACGATATGTCTTGACTTCTTGCTGAGTAAAAGGGGAAGCTGCTGCTGTTGGGATCCTCAAGTTTTCATTCACCGCTTGAAAGTAATTTTGTTTTAAAAAGATTAGTTCAGACGCAATAAATGAACAAATTTCAACCTTATCAGAGGTAGCCCAAGGACACATTTTAACTACTCAACATAGACCATGGCTCTTTTAGCATCTATTTCTCTAGGCTTAATATGTTCGCAACTTAGTTATTATGAACTACACATATCACATGGGCTGCTTACATCATTGACCTTACACATGACAACTTACTAAAATAATCAAATGATTGTTCAATGAAATCATATTGGGAGTGTCAAAGACATTAGATACACCAAAGGGGCTCATCAAATAGATGCTGAGTTTATTTGCTGCATCAAACTCTCTTCTTTTGTCTTGACATCCTTGCGCACCACCCATGGGGGGAACCCAACACGAAGTTTTCTCATCTTCTTGAGTCTTGTAGGAGAATTAGGCTTCATAATTTGTGTGGTTGACTTTGGGATCTTGTTGACTTTACGTACAAAGTCCATGTAATCTTCTAATGGATTAATAGCAATGTGTCGACTTTTCCTTTTTGATATCATTCTTCAACACATGATGGAAAGTAAATTAAAATATTCATATGCATTTCATCAAATAGATGAACAAACAAAGATCATTAATAAGAGGTTATGAGACATTATGGTGCATGGTATATTAACATTTTGAGACATGGGGTTTGATCCTCTTTTGTTATTGAATTCACATATAATAACTTTGTCAATTGTACTACATGCTTGAATCATTTTAAAGATAATTCATGGTTAAAACTAAAGAAAACCTATAGACATTTGCTCTTTGTCCTTCAAATGAAAAACATAAATTTCTATTAAGTCATTTGCACAATGTATTCAAATACTTCATAAAGACATTCGTTGTTGCATTAACCTTAGCAATGAGTCTCATAAGTGTATAACAAATGCCCACAAGATATTCAAGGTATTTAAAAAAGAATACCTTGGAATGTGTCAAATGTAATGGGCCTTTATAATGTAATGAGTCCCTTATATTACGACCCATCCTAGTGGCCAAACTTATTGTGACTCTTTCCACAACCTTTAAGGTTAATATACAAACTCAAGACCATGATCATTATTGTGACTTTTTCACTTTCTACATGGTATCAAAGCCCAATAAGGGTTTCAAACCTTTATATGGCATCGCCACAGGTTGACACCATCATCATTGACACCCTTTGTCGAAGTCTGTCAAAGTTATTAGCATCATGTCTCTTGTCAACAAGGTTTTATTGCCTCCATCATGTTTCTTTTCTATTGAGGTTTTTCACCTCCACCATGTTCCTTTGTAGTGAGATTTTTTCAATTTTACTATCATTTCCTTTTTTTTCAGAGAGTTTAACAACTTCTGCAATGCATCTATCTAGCAAAGGACATCCTTCACTGACATTTTTTCTCTTCTACTCTATCTCTTACCTCTACAACCATCATTGTCATCTCATTCAACATTTGTTGGTCAACAATCAACTATGACACAAGGATAGAAACATGTTGTTCCACTTATAATATATGGTAACTTCATAACAAGTCACAAGTTGACGTGAATGAATTACCATCATTGACAACAATTAGTGTGAATTTTTTTCACGAGACAAGACAAGACTAACCATCTACTTGAAGGTGTGCCATTTGACTCTAATCTCTGTGTTCAATGTAAGTAGTATGATGGAGTCCTAAATTTATTGTGGAATTCTATTGAGACTCAAATTGCTTAGTTAGTATGTAATATGGAGACATACAAGGCGACATGAGATCATCTTACATTGATGTATTTTAATAACATTTCTCAAATATATGATGTGACTATAAAATATTACAGATTGAAGTAAGGTGATATAGATATAAGTGGATATTTTGGTAAGATTGCTCATCTTACTCAAGATCTCAACTCATTACTCCTTTATTTACTAATATTTAAATGATGCAAAAATAAAGAGATCAAATTGTAGTAGCCAAATTCCTTAGTAGACTTTGTCTGAGTATGAGAGCGTTCGTAGTCAAATACTAATAAAGATTGAGCTGTCAACTCTTGTTGAAGCCTATTGACATGTCTTTCATGCTCTTCTTGATCATGGCATTCTAAGTACCACACCCATTGTGGAGAACATTACATTAGTGTCTACTCAACAACCCTCTAGTAAGCATATTCATGATAGTTGTTTTGGGAGAGAGGGAGTAAAGGTAGAGCATATGGAGATCACCAAAAATATGAGCACACATTGTGGCAAAAAAGGTACATAAGGGATAAGTGTTATCACTGTATGGTTGTCCTCTTTTGACTGCCAATATTGTTGTAAGAGGAGAAGAGTAAGAATCTTAAGGTGCACATTACATGTCACTCTCTAGTGAGAAGTATGTTCATGTGCTTTAGTTTTGAGCTGCCTAATAAACATCAATGTCAATTATCACTTTGGACAAACCTAGGACATCTACAACGTGCTTCTCTCACACATCCATATCCTCTTCAAGTGAATCATCATGCTGGGTTCTTGACTCAGGTGCTATTGATCACATTACATGTATATCTAATAATTTCATATCCTATTCTAGTCATCATAGTCTTTCTATTGCCACCTTAGGAGATGGCTCTATTACACCTGTCACAGGTATATAGTCTTTATATCCTAACCTCAACTTTCCTCTTAGATCAATTTTGTACATACTTAAATTTCTTTTTAATATTATTTCTATCAGTAAATTCACTTGATCTCTACAAGTTATAATAATCTTATTTCCTAATTCATCTTTCATTTAGGACCTAAAGACATGCTGGAGGATTAATGAATGATATAAAGATGGAGGGCTAGACTATTTGGGAAAAACTTTTTCTACTGCATGTATTTTCACTTCACCACTTCAAATCTATAGTTGACTAAGTCATATATTTCTAGAAAAACTCAAATTGATGGTACCTAATTTATTTTATCTAGAAGTATTAAAGTATGAATCATGTCAATTAAGTAAACATTATCATTTTAGCTTTGGGTCAAGAGCTCTTTCAAGAGTAGAGTCTATTTTTGATTTAGTCCATTCTGATGTATGGGGTTTTAGTCGAGTTACTTCTAAACTTAGTTTTAAATATTTTGTTACTCTCATTAATAATCATTCTTGTATCACTTGGTTGTATCTTATGAAAGATTGATCAAAGTTATTTACCATTTTTTGCTCATTTTGTGTTAAAATTAAGAATCAGTATATCAAGCATATTCAAATACTTCATTTTGATAATACAAAAGTATATTTTAGTTCATCTTTTACACAATACATGATCACCTCGGATATTATTTATCAATTGTCATGTCTTTATACTTCTCAACAAAATGAAATAACTAAGAGAAAAAATCGTCATATCATCAAAATAGCTTGTACATTACTTTTACATATGAATGTCCTACTTGAATTTCAAAGTGATGTTCTTACAACCACCTACTTTCGAATGCCATCACCAATTTTAAACTAAAACACTCCATATTTTGTTCTTTATCATACTAGTTCATCATACAATGTACTATCAAAGATTTTTGAATGTACATGTATTGCCCATCATTTACAAGTCTGTGAAATATATTTTCTTAAGATACTCTTGTACTCAAAAATATACAAGTGTTATTTTTCTTCACTTAGTAAACGCTTTATTTCAGTTGATGTTACCTTATTTGAGAGTACCTCTTTCTTCACTATGTCATAATGCACTAATTCTCTGAATTAATTATTACATCTATCAATCATTATAGAGTCCATCTATGTGAGAAATCTTAGTGCAATTCTCGAGCAATTAGATGATAAGTTGGAAGATATATGTCCTCCAATCAAGTAGGTATACACATGGTAGAATGCTCCCTTAGCACCTCTTGTGGGATCTACTTCACAACCAATTCTTATGTTTAAGGGACCATAAGTGGGCACATTAGTGACCAGTAATCTTGATCTCCTTATTGTCTTACGAAAAATATATATTATTATATACATTAATCTCATTTTATATCTTATTATTACTCATCTCCTACTTAATGTTTTTATCTATTATCACACTATCCTACTCATAAGATTATTTCAGAAGCACTGAGTCATCTTGGATGACTTTTCACTATAATTGAGAACATGAAGATGCTTAAGAAGAATAAAACTTGGGAACTTGTCACACGTCCTCCAAGAAAGTCTATTGTTAGCTACAAATAGATCTTTATAGCTAAAGTTAGACTTGATGGTATAATTGATCTCTTGAAAGCTCAATAGGTGGCGAAGGGCTTCACTCAACTATATGGTGAAGATTATTTATAGACCTTGTCTCCTATTGTTAAAATTAATTCTATTCATATTGAGTTTACTTTGAGTTAATTTATCTTGACCTCTTTATCAACTTGATATAAATAATACATTTCTTCATGGCATTATACAAGAAGAAATATATATGACAACCACCAAGATTTAGTACACACAAGGGCTCTAATATGATTTGTTGATTCTGCAAGTTCTTTTATGGTTTGAAGTAATCTCTTCAAACATGATTTAGTCACTTTAACAAGACTTTTAATGAGCTTAATCTTCAGATATGGGGTGTTGATCACTCTATCTTTTATCAACACTCTTTAGTTCTTATTAGTTATCTATGTTGATGGCATCGTTATCACTAGGAATTATTATGTTAATATATCTCACCTCAAGACCCTTTTGTAAAGTCAACTTGTCACTAAGGATTTTGGCAATCTCAACTTCTTCTTTGACATAGAGGTTGTTGTTCTAAAAATGAGGGGTTGTTATCAACTAATGTAAGTATCCTCTTGATCTACTTGTAGAGATAGGTAAGATTGAAGCGAAATCAACTACTATTCTTATGGATCTCCATTTAAAGTTGTCTCATGTAGAAAAAGAATTATTAAAAGTTTCATGACGATATCAACGCATGATTGACAAACTCCTTTACTTGGTTATCACTTGGTGAGATCTCATTTACTATAAGTGTTGTAAGTCAGTTCATTGATCGACCTCATAGTGGACACCTTGTAGTTGTTACATGAATTTTTCAATATCTTTTGAAGAAGAAATTAGGCCAAGGATTATATTATACAAGAATCATGGCCATCTTAACATCCAAGATTTTTTTGATACTGATTGAATTGTAAATAATATAGACATGAGATCTACAATTGGTTATTGTATTTTAATTAATGGTAATCTTATTTCTTAGAAGAGTAAGAAATAATCAATAGTCTCATGATTTAGCACAGAGTTCAAGTATAGGGCTATGGCATATACCATGTGAACTCATTTAAATTCATCATTTTCTTGAGGAACTCAAGCTTCTTACTCCATGTCTTATGAAACTTTGATGTGACAATCAAATTGTCATTTTCATTGCATCTAACCTTATCCTCTATGAGTGCACAAAGCACATCAAAGTTGACTATTATTTTATTTGATAGAAGATTCAAGCTCAACTCATTATTACTATTAATGTATCATCTGAAGACCAACTTATAAATCTTTTTAATAAATCACTTCATACTTCTCGAGTGTCAGCCATTTGTATCAAGCTTGGTACATATGTTATCTATGCTCCAACTTGAGGATAGGTGTCAAATATAATAATCTTGATAAGTCTTTATTATCATGAGTTAATAATTAATTAATAATATATTTTAAGCCTTAACTCATGATAAATAGATTTATATTCATGTTAAATTGTGAAAAGTAATTTTTAGATGGTTAATATGAATTTTTAGCTAATTATGTGATTTTATCTGAATTTTTTAATCATATTCTTGAGATAAATAAATAAAAATAAAATAAAATAAAAATATAGAAAAAAGGGGTGAACCCACTGACCAACGGAGCTCAAAAGTGGGTTGAAAGTATAATTGGGTGAAGCCAGGAGAAGGGGGCTCGTGCGGCTAAGGAATGATAAGGGGGACATATGTGCGTCACTTCCTTTCCATCTCATCGGTGGCAAGTCGAGCGTGGGGCAAGGAGTGATCGTAAAGACACGAGAGAGAGGCTTATTGATCAAAAAATCCTAATGTTATTATATATATGCCTCAAAACTCAAAAAATAATCGATGTGAGACTAAATCAACATCACAACTTTTTCAAAGGTTTTCAATGATTTTAACATCTAAATTATCTCTTATTTATGAGAAGAAGACACCCTTATGAGTCACTTTATAAAAGTATTTGCATATTTATTTCACTCTATCTTATGTAGGTGGGTGATTGGCGAGGCTTGGAATCACATCAATGTAAAAACTCATATTTTTATATAATTAAACATGATTTTTTACATATTAATGTTAGTGATTAATCTATCCTAATCACTCAATCATTGACGAAAATATCGTCAACATGATTCACAGAGCATCGTTATTAAAATTATCAAACGATTATGGATAAAAAGATTGTGAATCCATCAAATAAATTATTTCTAATTGATCAACAAATAAATTGTCGTCAAGAAGAGGACAATCTATCGAGAGAGCATACGGAATGTAATGAAGAGACTCTTTTTACTATGCAAACATGAGGATGAAACTCTTTAAGACGTGCTCCACCTCCATCCAACTTTTCTTTGTTAGGTGACAACTACTAAAGATCTTTAAAGTCATCGTTCTTTCTCTTTATTGGGTGATAGTCACCAGAGATAATTTTTTGACTCACTTTATTGATTTTTAGACTTCGAAAGAAGATGTAGAGATTGACCACGTCGTCCACATCCAATAAAACTTTTTGAGGTTGTGGACATTATTCGATAATCCTTCTAAGCACTCAAGATTTCGACACATTAGCACCATAATACTAGAACTTTATTTTTTTATTTTTTAACTAGTTTAATTTCCATAATTATTTTCTAGACTTTGAAAAGAGATACAATGAAGAATGACACAAGGCTAGAGATCACTGTTGCAAAGTCAAAACTTTGCCTTTATTACTTTAAAGTTAATTTTTGTTTAATTTAGTGATAGTTTGTGTGCTTTAAAATTTTTAAAACCTTCTTCATTCAATTATGATTTTCTTCTAACTTTTACAAATCTTAATTTGACCAATTAAATCGTATGTAATTACTTACATAAAATTACTAGATAGAACTCTATTTATATCTGATTCATGTTTGTCGAGGTGCTGACATCATTATGATGTCAACACCCTTATTTTCTTTTTTTATAATTTTTTAAATATATTTTATATTCATCATTTAATCAAAAACTCATAAAAAATTATATTCTTTGAAGAATATTATGAAATATTACATGATTATCTCATATCCTTGTGATCGACTGAAAAATTCTCTACTATTTTTGGAACCTTATATATAATTATAATTTAATTATTTATTTTAAATATTTTATAAAATCTAAAAATTAGTATTTTTTAATTTTATAAAATTTAAATTTACATGATTTATTATACAATAATTAAGTCACATCATGTCTGTATAATGAGCCCCTTATGTTATGGCCCATCCTAGGGTTAGGTTATAAACCCTTGGCTATGATTATTATTGTGACTTTTTCACTTTCTACAATATAGTTAGATTACATTTGAGATATTTTTCTTTGGAGACTGCATCTAAACTTCAAGCTTAGAATGCATGACCCTTCAAAGTATTGAAAATGATTAGGTCAAATACATATGTTTTAGATCTTCTATCAAATTGAGAAATTAACTCAACTTTTAATCTCGTCTCTTATCATGAGTCACCTAATACACATACTGAGATGTTTGAGTTAAATCACTTCATTCTGAGTGACACCTAACTTGAATGTCTACTATATATATTTTTATTGCAACAGGAACAAGTAGAAGATATATTTGATGTGCAATTAGTTTTTAATGATAGTAGAGAGCATTAGAGGTTCTTGATTTGTTGTCAAAGTTGTCCATTGTCAAATTACTTGTGGATCACTGAAGAAGATCTTTGTAAACTTGATTCGAACACTACCACAATGGTCTAACTCTTCACTTGATGGAGTCGAGCTCACTAAATCATAAGAGAGCTGATGTAGGACAGGAGCTCATTCTAGACTTTATGAATTAGGGATGAAAGCCTAACATGGTGCAGTAGAGAGGTGAAGTGGATCCCTCTCTCTAGTTGGAGGTGGCTCGAGAGGTTGACCATCAATCTCCAATGTCAGTGAAACCATCCACACTCTGGTGATTTTTGTCTTTTGGGACTCATTCTAAATTTTATGTTCGGAATTTATGTAGTATTATTCTCACAGCTGAATATGGGCAGAAAATTTAGATACTATCCGGAGAAATTTATTTTAATATTTAGGAAGCTGAATAAAAAGAAAAGCTCAACTTAATTATTGGGAAATAATTAGGTATTTGAGTGTACTTCTCCATAGGGCACTTACAAACTCGGAGGGTTAATCTGGTTTTTTTCGCTAGCTAAATCTCACTCATAGGGTCCATATTTTTCGCCATCTGATTTTTAGGGTTTCCGTTTAGATAATCTGTGTCATATTTTAACGATATATCCAGACTTCTTACCGTGGTCTAAAGGGAAAGGGAAAAGGAAAAATATCCACTGACACCCCCCCCCCCTCTCCTCTTTCTCTCTCTCATACTAGGGGACGCAACTGTGACATTATCTCCTTCCGGCTGACCGACGATGAGCTCGATACCAGCGACGCCGCCGCTGCGGCAGCCTTCTCCGCCGTCGCTGCTCCGGAGGGCACCGTGTGGCTGCAGCTGTCGCAGCATCGTCACGGGGTTGGGCGCCGCTCGGCCTCCCCCTGTGGCGGTGGCGGCACCGAGGGCGGCCCCGGGACGCAACGACGGCGACGACCGCCGCCGGGGTCGGATGGGGTTTCGGCCCCTACGAGCGCAGAGAGGAGCGGGGAATGTAATACTTCTGATAGCTCTCCATACTACCTTTACTCCTCAGGGGAAACGGTCTGATCTTTTCATTGATTTTCCCTCCGTTGATTTGAATTTCGTTCAATCGTGTTCATCTTTCTTTGTTTAATTATCAGTGCAATTCGTAGATAAGCAGTATAATATTGGGTTCCGGTTCCCTCTCTCTCTCTCTCTCTGGTACGCGCTAGCCTTCTCTCTAGATTTCTCTGCATATCAAGCTAAACGTCTATCAGCTACACACCCGCTTGTTTGATTGATAGCTCTCTGAGAGGTTGAAGCTACAAATAATCGCAGATATTCTACTTCACCTCTTCTCTCCGTCTCATGACACCGAGCTTCGCTCTGTTCCCCTTATTGGCTGGTTGACTGCGATCCTCGATTCATGTTTTTGAACGGCAGCCTCGCTGATATTTGCTCGATTTCAGTTGTCGAAATAACTTGAAAACTGGATTCATAATTTATGTTCTTCCTTCTTCTGTTCTTTTGTTCCTTTTTTTTATATAAGAAAAAAAAAACACTTTTTGCAGAATGTGAACGAAGATATGGATGAAACACTCGACGAATTACTCGACAACTACGGAAAGGTTGTGTACAGAAGGGGTGACACAACGCCAATCGCAGAAGTCAACGATGACGCCGAGAGCCTATCGTGTAAGTTTATCTCAGCCTACCCTCATTGGATCTTGAAGCGGAGACAGCAACTGATTTCTAGCAGAACCCGGATATGACGAGCAGATTTGATTCTGATTTCTGCTGGATTTCATCTCTCTTTTAGCAAGTTCTTCCCGGGGCCACGAGCGTCTCGATGTTCTTCCCCAATTCCCTCTGAGTTGACGCTGGGCCTGTCTTGCTCTTTTTGACGATTAGCACAGTCTCTGTCTCTTCCGTTCTTGAAAAAGGTGCAATTTTTGTGTAGAGCCCTCGCCTTCTCTCAGTTCTGGTCGGAACCCAGTGGGTGAAGCCACCTACTCGTCCTGCGTTATTACCTTTCCCTGATCGGGGAAGCCATTGATTGAGCGCGGTGTTCCTCTATTGATTGAATCTTCGTAGAAGCGGCATCTCAAACCTGTCGATTTCTTATGATGATCTTCTCTAGAATGGGGGGGGGGTTGATTTTTATTGATCTAATTCATTTGCTGTCGCCATTGATTGGGCAGTCGCCATTGCTCTGGCCAAGGTGGCGAATGACGTGAAGGCCGGGGACATCCGGGTTCTGTTCGTGAAGCCTCTTGTCTACTGGACCCGGTTCTTTATCATCGCCACGGCCTTTTCTCGCCCTCAGATCGACGCCATCGGGTACATGCTCCCCCCCCTCCCCCCCCCGCCCCTACCCTTTTCTTTGGCTATAAATGTGGCCTTGATAGCAGCAGAAATGGTCGCAGGTGCAGCTCAGATTCATAGTAGCTTCTGCTGAGTGTTTCTGTCGTCCGCCTGCTAATTTTCAGGTCGAGAATCAGAGACCTGGCAGAGCAGCAGTTCAAGAGAGTGCCGACTGGAGACAGCAAGCCCAACTCCTGGACGCTGCTGGATTTCGGCAAGTCCCCAGATGAACCCATCTCCATCTCCATCCTGCTTCATCTCCGTTGATATGCTGCTTTGATTCCGTTGATATGGGCATCAGTCTGTCCATCAATCTGAATATATGCGTGGATCTTTCAAAGGGGGATACCCTGATCGGAGGTGGTGATCGCAGGTGATGTGGTGGTGCACATATTTCTCCCCCAGCAGAGGGCTTTCTACAACCTGGAGGAGTTCTACGGCAACGCCACGGCCATCGACGTCCCCTTCGATCAGCCGCCGCCCTTCCGCCAATGATCCATCCCCCCCCCCCGCAGAGGATGATGGAGTCGCCATCTGGCTGAGCTGATCGCACAACTGGCGGAGCTCGTTCGTTTCCTCCCGCTGCGGCCGCTGCTGCTGCTGCTGCTCTACAAATGGCTCATTTTGGTCCCCACCCAAGCGTGGCAAAAAGCTCCGATGAGGGGAGCTTTCATGAGCTAGGAGGAGGATCCATTGCAGACCAGACGGGCCCGGCCCCTCTTCATTTTTTTCTCCTCCTCCCCCCGTTTTAATTTTAATTTTAATTTTTCTGGACGAATGGGATTGTAGAAGAAGAAGAAGAAGAGGGATGATTTGGATGCTCGGATGATTTGTCGGGTCCAAATGTCAACTGCGCCGCCCGCCAAAAGGGCTTGTGATGCTCATCTAGTTGTCAGAATGAGAAGTCAAAAGCAGAGTTTTCCGATCTTTTATTTTTTTTTGGGTCAAAACCCAGTTTTCGCGGAAGGTGGCGCTGAGGTGGGGAGGAGATCGGGGGGAGTTGACTTTGGCTGGGCGGCGGCGTCATGCTAGTCCAGTTCCTGACAATTCGTTGATCCCTTTTTCATGGAATCGACCTCGGACTCGGACTCGGACTCGGACGATCGTATAAGGGCAAATTGGTCAATTCGGTCCCCCTCGACCTGACGTATATAAAGATAAAGAACCTGTAGAAGGACCCTTCTCCAACCCTAGCGGCGGCGTTGTGTACTCTCGGGCGGCTTCTTTTCGAGCGCAGAACAGAGGGGGAAGTTGATATCGCCGTCGGCGGCCAAAGCAGCGACCATGGTGACCATCTCGTCCCTTCCTCGTTACGCCTGTTCCCTTCTCGGTGCCTGTTGGCTGATCCAGGGTTCCTCTGTTTCTCCTCGTGGAGCAGGCGGATGCGGACGTTGATGTCGGGGGAGCGGCGGGGCAGCCCAAGAAGAGGACGTTCAAGAAGTTCTCCTTCCGAGGGGTGGACCTGGATCAGCTCCTCGACATGGGCACGGATGAGCTCGTGAAGCTCTTCACCGCCCGCGCGCGAAGGAGGTGACCTCTCGCCACTTGCCCTTTTCTTTCTCAGATGCCAGGGGGAGCCCCTCCTGTCACTGCTCTCTCCCTCCCCCGCCCAGAAGTACACACAGAACAACTCCTTTGGGCACCCGCCTGATGATGCGTCATGTCTTCGATGTCTGTGGTGGCGTAGGTTCCAGAGGGGCCTGAAGAGGAAGCCCATGGCTCTCATCAAGAAGCTTCGCAAAGCGGTACTTTCCCGTAGTTATCTTCCTTGGCTGTTTCGCCTTCTAATCTCGATTCATCTGGGCCGGAGACATCTGGATGCCGCATCTTTGACCTGTCGATTGCATCTCGATTGCTGATGCCAGTTAAAAGCTCGAATCTATGTAGCCGATGCCTGTTAGACAGATTGGGTTGTTCTTTATATACTCCGACGATATTTCTGCATATATGAAGGTTACAATCGGGTTGGAAACGATGCCTCGAAATCCCAATTCAGCTGCCCATATTCCAATTAATTCTCTTATATGCATTTAAAATGACCGTGAAAAATAAAATTCCTTCTTCGTGTGGATATATAATTTCTGCACACCTTTTTTTTATCAATTGTATATTCGTTCGTGTTAACTTCTTGACGAACCTTAGAGAATTTTTTGCAAGGGACCATGGTTTGTTTGCCCATCTTCATGCTCTGGGATAAGCTTCCTTGACTTTACTCTGTCTTGTATCAATCATCACGCTATTTCTTCGATCAGATTATTGGTATTTTTTAGGGTTTGTTTACCCAGATAGCATCCGATTTCATATGTTGCTGCGAGTTTAATTTTTTTAGTTGGGCAGTTTGTTTATTAAAGGGGTGCTAGATAACCTTTTTCAGCATTCCGAAGAAAATATGTCGTCTCTCTAGGCGCTGTTTTGATGGAGGACGGGTTTTTTCTAAATGCATTCCTACTTTAGATTGTATCAAACTAGTAAATCCGGCAAGGGCTTCAAGAGAGGAACTTTCGTTCTGTCATGAGACCCATTATTTCTAGTCCTTTGAGGTTCGGGTTCTTCTGCTCGGTTTTCTGTTTGAAACGCCCCTGCTATTGAATTCAAGTCAGCTCCTAAGCTGCCTGCATCGATTCGGACATTTCTCCTGAATTCCAGTTCCCAATTTAGATTGCTCTACGCCGAATCTTTGGTTTTTCTATGATGGGTCTTGTTGCTTTATTCATATCCCATGTGTTGGATGGGGGATTGCAGAAGCGTGATGCCCCTGCGGGTGAGAAGCCAGAGCCCGTGAGGACCCACCTCCGCAACATGATCATCGTCCCTGAGATGATCGGCAGTATCATCGGCGTCTACAATGGCAAGACCTTCAACCAGGTCGAGATCAAGGTGCGCTTACTTTCTCTCTCCGGTTCCAGATATGAATAATCTCTCTCTCTCTCTCTCTGTGTGTGTTTCTATCCAATGTCTATTGACGATGGTGGTGACGTGTTTGTTGTGTGCAGCCGGAGATGATCGGGCACTATCTGGCGGAGTTCTCCATCTCGTACAAGCCGGTGAAGCACGGGCGGCCCGGTATTGGAGCCACCCACTCGTCCAGGTTCATCCCTCTCAAGTGAAGAGAGACCCCGTTGACCCCCATCATCCAGGACATCTTTCTCTCTCTCTCTCTCTCTATGGCAGGGACTTGAGTTTTGTTATCCTTAAGAGCTACCTCTTTTCGCTTATATTCTGAAGGATGTTGTTTCTTTCTTACTGGAGTGAGAAGCTTCTGATCCGTAGTTTCCATGGCTGGACCTCTCTCTTCCGAGGATGTGGTCTGTGTTGTTTGACTTGAAGTGGTGACAGTTGGTGGGCTTTGACTGCTGGATTTGATAGATAACAATGAGAGTAGGATGATAATCCTTTTTGAGGCGTACAAGCTCACTTTTCGGGAAAAAAAAAAGAGGGGGAAAGTCAACGGGCAGCTAGCTTCATTCCTGGTCAGCAAGCTAGGCTAGGCCGGCGGGGCTTGGAATAACTGACTAACAAGAGGGAGGGAGGCTCAGCAATGGCCTTGTAAGAAGATGCGGCGCTGTTCTCCCCAGCTCTTCGATTTTTGGTAGTCAACCTCGGCGTCGGACAAGGAGAGGTAGATCCCCCTGCCGCCGCCCTTCGTCCCCCACATCTTCGGATGTGGCTCGTCCTCGTCCTCGTCCTCGTCGGTGAGATAGTGCCGACACCTCCCTTGAGCGCGCAGCTTAGGCCCTGAGACACGCAGCAGCACCAGCAGCAGTCAGTAAGCGAGAGAGAGAGAGAGAGAGAGAGAGAGAGAGAGAGAGAGAGAGAGAGAGAGAGAGAGACAGACAGACAGAGACAGAGACAGAGACAGAGTTGGGGGCTGTTCTGTGCACCTCTGGGTTCGAAGGGTGGGCTGGCAGAGTCGGGTCTGTGTGATCTGAGAAAGATGGAGGTCCTCTCCATGGTCGGCCATGGCTCTGCGCAGGGCTTGTCGGCGGCGGCGGCGTCTGCGAAGGGGGACATGGTGAAGGAAGAGCAGTCGTCGGCTTGGTCGGATATCTCCACGTAGCTCTGTGCGGCGGCGGTGAGCTCGTCGGCGCTGAACCCGAACGACGCGCGGTAGGCTTCGAGCTCCTCCGCGTCCTGCTTGCAGGCCTTGCTTTGCCTGCGTCCGCCATGGCAGTGGCCGTAGGAGAGCTGGGCGGCCTGGTCCAGGAAGAACTGCGCGGAGGAGGCGGAGAAGAAGATGCCGGACTCTGCCGACGGCGAAAAGCTGCCGGCAGCGAAGAGCCTGGAGGACTGGGTCGGAGGAGATTCTTGGCCGTAGAGGGAAGAAGACGATCCTCCCCCCGGTGTCCCCGTCGCCAGCGAGAGGAAGCTGCCGGAAGGGCTTCCTGGGTAGAGCGGGTATGTGGACTGGAGGTCGTCGGAGACGAAGGCGGCGCCGCCGCCGGCGGAGGAGAGGAACTGGGCGTAGGGGACGTCGGGGGAGGAAGGGGTGGTCAGATGGGCAAGCTCCGGCGGCGGGGTCAGAGGAGCGGTGGAGGGCTCGGTGGTGAAGGTGGAGAAAACAGGGGGGGAGACCAGCTGGGTTTCGTGGGCGTAGGGGCCGGTGGCGAACATGGTGGACGACGGGTTGCCGGGGGAATTTGCAGATATGGAGAGGAAGCAGCTCGGGGACTGGGCGGTGGAGGGGAGGGAAGAGTGGGTGAAGGAGGCTGGGGAGGACGGAGGAGCAAGAAGAGATGGAGTTAGGGTCAGAGCTGTACTGTGGGAGGGGAGGCCGGCTGACTGAGGGCCGCTTCCATGGCCGCCGGAGGCGGCTCCGTCGAGAATGCGGGAGGAAGGGACGACCCTCTTCCCCCGCTTCTGCGATCCGAAGCAGGAAAGGCCCCCGAAGCACCTTCCCCACCTGGTTGACTACAAAAACACACAGCGGTCAACATAAATCTATATCTACATTAATCTTTTAATATCATATCATATCTATCTATCTATCTATCTATCTACAGAGAGAGGGGGATAATAAGAAAGACCAATCTTTTTTTTTCTTTTTCTTTTTCTTTTTTCTGATGAAGCTGAAGGTGGGAAATCAATGGTCACGAACTGAGCCTAGAAAATGCCTTCTTGGTGACAGAACAGATAAGAGAAGATGATGATGAGGCTATCGCCGCATGAAACGGATTGGTGTTGACCATCCATCGATTGCTGCTTCTCCTGGGCGAGAAGATCCGAAGAACAACGAAGAGGGTGTAGCCGTTCAAGAATGGAGAAATTTCTTGCAGGCCAGAACGAGAGGATTTGGAGGGCGTCAAGCACAAGGAGAACACACTTTTCGGATCAAGTTCAGCGGAAAACCCTGGTGGCTAATCTGATCCCATATCATACTGAGGGAAGAAGACATGGATGGTGACAGAGAATCCTCAATGCGTAGAAATGGTGAGGATAATGCTCCCCACCTGGAAGAATGAAATATCAGGATAGCTACTCAATCACAACGGAGAAAGTCGTTCAAGATATTACGAGATACTGAAAGAGCAAGGAGATGAATATCGTTGAACCGACAGAAATCGGAGTAGCATCACCTGTCTGAAACTCCAAGCGCCCAATCCTAGAACCTCAACTACACCGCGATCTGGGAAGTCCAAGAAGGCCTAACGGCAGAGGCGATGGGATTTCCGATCATCCAGTTCGGGGTTGAGCATAGACCTAACAGGAGATCCCAAGAGAGGGAAGGGGAACCTCGAGCACAGAAGATTACGAAGAAAAAGATAACTACGGCCGTGGATGATGAGATCGAGCTCGATCAGTTCGTTTCTTTTTGTGACTCGTTTTTCACGAAAAAAGAACGCGCAAGGATAATATGGCGAAATCGAGAGAAGACGATGAAGACTATAAAATCAAAGATGCACGTGAATCACTGGCCAGATCGTGGGGCTCACCAGTGATGGAAACGACAAGAAGGAAACGAGGAGGAGGCCCCAGGGGAAGAAACTGCGAGAGAAGAGCAGGCGGGTGAGTGGGAGGAAGAAGGTACCCGCTCTCGGAGAGAGTACATCGGCCCGGCCGATCCCCCTCCGGCAGCCGCCGCGCTGATTGAGGCCCCCGTTAACCGGGCATTGCTACCACTGCTTCTCCCGCGGCCGTTCCCAGCCATGGCGCTCCCCTCGGCACCGTCTCACATTCTCCGGTAGACGACCAGCTTCCGCCACGATCACCGCCACTTCACTGCGCCGAAGTCGAGCAGAAACCAGGCGCAGCGCTCCTCCTACCGACCACCGGCGGCAGATCGAGCGGCGCAGCCACCGGCCGGAACAGGGGCGGAGGAAGCGGCGCTCCCCCGCGCGAAATTCCCCCTTCCCCCCGATCTATCTCCCTTCTACGGCCTCCCCGCTCTGTATCTCCCCCGGCCTACCGGTAGCTACCGCCACGGGAGGTGAAGGGGACCGGAAACCTCTTCCTCCGCCGCCGCCGCCGCCGTCTCCGGCCGTCGTCCTCGTCGTCCTCGTCGCCACCGGCGGAGAGATCCTGAGAGCAAATTTAATGAAGGGGGGAGACTACGCAGCGAAATCGTTGCTATTAGAGCTCGCTCGCGCCGCCTCCGAACGCACGTGCAGGGACGCACGCGAGGAGCGCCTGAGGCGGCGCGAGCCTCGAGGGCGGTTGCTTGGCTGACTCGCTCCTGGAGGGAATTCTCCGGAATGCCCCCGGATCAGGGGAATTCCCCGACAATCCCACCAAAAATCCATTGAAAAGTCGTAGCTTTGATCCTCATCTCGGACGTCATCAGAGTCACAGAGAGAGAGAGAGAGAGAGAGAGAGAGAGAGAGACGCTGACGATGTGGGATGATGCTCTCTCTCTCTCTCTCGTCGCAACGGTCAGTCGACGGCTTGGCAGTACATCCCGGCGAGGGAAGGACGGCTCCTCTCTGCTGTGCGCCGCCGTATTTACTCTCTGTCGCTCACGGGATGAGCGCCGGGGAGCTTCATGGCTCCTCATGAGCCTCACGCTGCCCATTCTCTCTCTCTCTCTCTCTCTCGCTACATCTCTCTACCCGGGGGGACGATGACCGGAGTAGAGAGCAGGCTCCTGAGAGTTAAGACGGCTGTGTTGCGTGCGTGACATCTCTCTCTCTCTCTACTGGCTTCTCTCTCTACTGGTTTGTGCCTGTCGGATATCTGAGAGTTATTACCCGGCCGCTGTGTACGTGAACTCACCCCCGACGGGTTCCATTTATTTGTTCATTTATTTGTCCGCCGCAGTCGCCCAAATTCGATACGTCTCCGAGAATATATGCACGCTCGAAGAACAACCAACAACAACGACCAAAGAAAGAAGAAACAAAAACCCAGAAGAGGTGAGGAGGAGGCGATCTCCACAGATGAACAGCAGGCGTCGTCAGATTAATCGCGCAGTATCTTCTTACATACGACCACGAAGAACGAGAGCGTTGACTTCGGGGCTCTTTGGCTGTTCACTCTCTCTCTATCTCTCCCCCCCGCAAAGAAAGGGTTCTGATCTCTGTGGACATAGAGACGAAGAAGAAGAAGCAGGAGGGCGTGAGAAGATAAAGAGGGTGGCAGAAGAAGAAGAAATATGTGCACGGATGTTACCAATCAGCCAGCTGCTCTGGACGGGCAAAGGCAAGCTTTCACCTCGAAGAACAGCGAGCCTCCGTCAACCGTAGTCCTCTGCGTCCAGCACCAAGAACCAGCAGGAGAAGAAGAAGAAGAATTATTAATTAACATCGGCGGATATAACTATTTTTGATCAATTATTCCATCGAAATGGGCGCAGAAACTGCCCGGGCGATCGAAGACATTGCCAAAAAAAAATAAAAAAAATAAAAAAAAAGCCTTCTTTTTTTTTATCTTCTTCTTCAGACATTAAGAGATTAAGAGATTACTCGAGATCTGAGGGTCTCCCAGTTGGCCACCGATGAGTAGGGTTTTTCATTCAGGGATTGGGCACCTGGTTGAGATTAATAATAATAATAATAACTAAATAAACAATAGGAACAGCAACAGTGAACGAGGAATGGATGCTAATTATGGGAGTTGTATATATATATATATTAAGATGGGAAAAAAAAAAGAAAGATCTACAGATACATACAAAAGGTCAACGTAAGCACGGACAGATTGGCATCATCATTCCCCATATTTCTCAAAGTCAACCAGTTACAACGTGGCCCGAGCCGCCGTGGAAGGTGAAGCGACCCGTCCGTCCATCTTCAGCACTGTGCAGATTGATTGAGATCCACTTGAGAGGGCCCCTCAACCCTGCAACGTGTCCTTTCAGTTAGAGGGGATGCCCTAATAAAGCAAAAGACCACATCATTTCTTTTATTTTTATTTTTTATTTTTTCCTTTTCCAAAACCACACGCCACAAGTAATTCAATGAATGCAAGCTGATTTCTGTTGCTGGACACCGCATCTGCTGGGTAGATTAGTGGTCATGGATTCTGGCATGCGACTTCCTCACTATTGATTATCAGATCTCATATAAGAAGATGGTAGATGAAATTCTAAAAATAGGAAGAAGAAAAGGGCTTTAAGAGTCTCTGGTCATATATATATATATATATATATATATATATATATATAGAGAGAGAGAGAGAGAGAGAGAGAGAGAGAGAGAGAGAACAAGCCACAGCAAGGAACTAGAGGTGAAAATGTGTCTGAAAGCATGTTTATGAAAAGAATATCAGGGCTAAACTAGTATTTTACCAAGATCGTGTGCAAAAATGACCAAGGACTCAGAGGTGAAGAAGAGGGATAATGGAAGCAATCAATAATCAGATATCTGTAAGAGAGTGAGAATAATACCTCTATCTAGACCCTGCCTCATATCATATCGTTCTATTCTAAATATCATTAACATTATTCAGAACCTATTCCAGCTATACATGAAAATGCTCAACCAGTGATAGGTTAATGAATAGCAAAGGAAACATGCAAGGAATCAATGCTCCATAAGGTTATTGGTGTTTGGACCTGTGAAGAAAAAAGAAATTCATTTTTTTTATTTTTTTTTATTTTTTTTTAAGAAGTTGAATACCAACTCATGCATGCACTTGTCCTGCAGAAAAGATAACCGAAGCTCCCACCTAATCAGAAGTCTCAACTTTGATCCAACTCAAAGGTTTGCCTCTTCTCTAATAAATTGGCATCTATCCTTGTCTCACAAAGTTTCTGATTTACCCGTGAAAGCATCAGTATATTGGATGAGCATTCAAAAAAAAAAAAAAAAAAAAAAAAGGGAGCAACCATCGCATTGAACAATTTTGATACTTTAGCCAGATTGATTAGGAGCGGTGGAGTGATAAAATCAGTGATTGACCCTGAGCTTGATTTACACAAACATTTCTAAAACATTTCAGATAAGAGAATCCTTTTTGTGCTGGATGCTCTATATGATTGAATCAGTAGTACAAAAAATGGGATGAAACATTAACAGACTTGGTGAACTCGGCATATAACAATCTTTTCATTAAGTACTGTTCATGTATTTTTGAAAAACCTAGAAACAATTAAAACAGATACTCGTACAATACAAGCCTTCGTTTAGACAACATACTGAAATGTGTGGCTAAAACAAGTTAAGACAAGCAATAAAAAGCATATACACCAAGTAAGTACAGAAGAACGTAAACTTAAACTAAAAAACATAGAAATGATGGAAATCATATATTCGATTATAGTAAATCTGCAACAGATTAGGTAACAAAACTTATGCAAAGGTTGGACAATCATAATGGCACAAACCTCTAGCAAATGGTTGCTAGAATGTCAGCAGTAACGTGATCCCGATGTCAGTGGACACAATGGCGTATATGAAGGCCATATAAATCATAACTTTGTCAGCAAGTGTAACATGAACGATCAGCATAAATTTGCAGGACAGACGCAAGGAACAGTTGAATTATCTCTTAATTCATTGATCCACGACACCTGAAAATAGATACAAGGACAGATGAAGAGAGCAAAAATGGGTAGAGAAGATGTTTCCAGAAATTTAAATAGAAGAGTATTATACAATTATCATAGAAATTTATTCACTAGAACGTCCAGTTGCAAAAAGTAATCATAACAGGACCATTTAATTTGTACTTTCGTTGTGCAAATATTTATGATACGAATGAAAATTTTTATGGAGCAGAGCTCGTCGAGACAAAAAAGTTCGTGATTAGAACTAGAGATAATGTCAAAACTACCGGAAAAAATAGATGACAGATTCTGCAATGGGGTCTAGATTCTGCAACCCAGAAGAAGGCGAAATAAACAGAACTTGGCCAACATATCATTTTTAAAGCGAGTAACAAAACAACTAAATCCTAGTGATCAGAATGAGAAAATGGACCAAAAACTTAAATAATCCAGATAATCCCTTAAAGCATTAGTACTCATATATGTGATCTGACGGGCATTTGGCACAGAGGAAAGCCAAAACTAAAAAAAAAATCCTCATCAAAAGAATTCAAGTCAAATCTTGTTTATCATGAAGTGATGGTTATACAAGAATTCATAAACCATCAAAATTCTTGATTCCATATATTCCATTCTCCCATCAAATTATTTCTTCTAGGGGTACTACTGGCTACAAAGTGATATGCAATATTTAACCACAACAGGCCAGTTGAGTAAATTCAATGTGAAACACTTAAGTTTGGAGAAGGCTTCTAAAAAAAACATAGTGAAGAGGTAGTCATTCACTTTTCTTGCAGTTAGTTCCAATTACATAGGCACATGACGTCTCACTCCAGATATCAATTACCTCTGAGCCCCACAATTGCATGGTATCTTCTTCTCCTCCAATGGAAATTTATAATCGTAAGTAATTTCTTCACCAGAAGATATTTGTCTCTTTGCATAAATGAAGATCTTTTTTTGACCATCGACAGTGATCACTTTTGTGTAGCAGTTAGGCTGAAAAATATGAGTTGATTAACAAAAAATATATAAAATGTCAACCACCTAAGAACAGTCAGATAATTACCTCACATGAATGATTAATAAACCTGGCTATACCACCACGCTTAGTAGCATCAACCTGTGGATCATAAGACCATTCATCCCCATAATCAAACTTTTGAAAGAGGATGTACAGAGGGGGGCGAACAGAGAGGCAATGAGAATGGAAGCCTCGTAAAACTATGATCCAAAGATATTTCCCAAATGCAATCCGTGAGTCAATAAAATGCGAAGTTACATTCCATATGAGGTCACATAGTAAAGCATACCAAGCTATCACAGCAAGATGACAGTGAAGTATGATACAGGAAAACAAAAAGGGAAAATTACAGTCGAATGAAAGACATTTGCTCACCACATAACCGTCATCTAATCTGAAAAGATAACTGCTACCAATGCCCATCTTTTCGTATTGACGTTCACGTATGTCGGAAATCTACAATCATGGAGGAAAATTAAACGAATAAAAGATGAGTGGATAAGAACCAGCAACATATCGCTATAAAGCTATTTGTAAAAAATATCAACTTTACCTCAAGAAATATTCTGAAACGTACATACCTGTCGACGGATCAGCTCACCCACATATTCTATCACAAAGTCTTCAGCCTCGATTGGCTCAAGAGCTACCAGACCCCAGTCGTGAATTTTGCTCCTTTGAAAACGAAGCCGTTTCTTTCTTGCCTGACAAAACAAAAGTATGTCAAAAGGATAACAAGAAAGCAAGGCAAAACTTCCACTGAGGTAAATATTTGCATTAAATACCGTCAACTGAGTGATTTTAAGAAGCTCAGATCCCTCTGCTGCAGCCAAAAGGTTACGTAACTTAACCCTGTTAGTCCTAGCTGAAGGGCCCTTAACACTGGAGTTTTGAGAAGCCCAAACTACGGAACGAAGTGTGCTAGAGTGACCGAACTGAACTCTGACCCACGATCTATCAGCAGGGGATGCCTTCTGTGACCATCGACGCCAGTCCCACCCATTTATAGATGATCTGGCACAACCACTGGATCTGGGACATGGATCCGTCACTACAAAATCCAACAATTTCGATCTCCGAGATTTTACTTGCCTGCCTTTCATATTCTTACATAACGAAGTGTCCAACATTTTCATAGCTTTTGACGGCAAAGAGGGACTTTGATCCTCTTTCATTTTCTTCTTGAGTTTGGCAACTTGTCTTGCTGCATAATTGAAAGATAATGAAAAAGCATAACCATCATTTCAGTCGAAAAAATACCAAAAGCAAAACCATAAATGAAAAAGACAACCATTTGATGAAGATAATACTTACATCTTGAAATCATTGAGAGTTCACGGTAATCATGTTTCAACGATTTCCCATTATTACTGAATTCCCTCCTGGAAACAGCAGCCTCTCCTAACTTGTCTTTCTTAGCAAAAGAACGGTCTGTAACATCACACTTTCTCCCATTAGATGAAAGAAGAACGTTCTTTGGAGCTGATCTCTTTCTGGGTCTGAGTGTGGACGGGGAACCTTCTGAAGCATTATTTTTTTTGACATGAACTCTTTTACTAGATGACTGTTGAGCCTTTTTCTTTGCTACTTTGGAGCCATCATGTGGCAAATTTTGAATATCATTTGCCACAATCTGGTGAAATTCTGCACCACATTTAATGGGATTTCCTTCAGTAAATGCAACCTTACTTTCCACACCTGTCACGTTGGAAACTAATTCAGATGCAGGTTGATCTGCATTTAGTCCTGCATTCCCAGAAAGCATACTTCCAGAGAGTGATTCTAACTTTTTCTTTCCCAATCGTTTCTTCCGAAAGTACGTGTACTTTTCACTGAGCCTCCCAGTTAGATCAGAGGAATCAATGGCTTTTTTCTCTTTGAACTTATGTGTCTCTTCCTGAAACGGACATTTAATAATGGTCATAGAAACTTGAAGGATAGCTAGCAAGGAACCATAAGAAATACCAGGCACATGGCATTAAAAAAACCAACACGTATTAATAAAATATCACATGAAAGTCAATCTTAATATTTTTGACATTATATTTTTTGGAGCGGTAGAAGTTTACTATCGATATTAACAATGCTCCTCATGACTAAATGCGTAAAAATTGTTAGGGCAACCTTAAAGATGGCTGACATGAAAGCCATAACAAATGTCATGCACAACATGCCACAAAATGAAGAAAAGATACGGCTGAAGATGGAAATAATGCAAAAGAAAGAAACATGCATAAAGTTTGTGTGCAGGAAATTAAGTAAACGAACTTTCTTAAAGATGAGAACTGTTACACGACCATTCAAAAGGAAAAACTTACATCAACCAAGGCTCTAACTTTCCATCTACCCATGGAGACCCCTGAGATAACCGAATCGGAATGTCTTCTTGAAGCAAACCATGATAGGCAATGCTGGTAAATGTCATCACTGAAAAGAGAATCTCTCAAATCTTTAAGAACATCAGCATGAAGCCTTTGCCGACAAACTGCCATGCTGACATATGCACCAATCATAGGAATATCTTTATCAGACTTCGATGGTCTGATTTTAGCTTTCTGCAATGCTTCACAACGCAAGAGGCACTGGCCCAGTCCAGGAGGAGGAGGCTCATCAGTATCTCCTATCTCGACAGTATCTGATTTGCATAATGGGAACTTCTCAAAGAAGTGCAAGAAAAATGCAGAGGGAGACATAGGTTTTTCACCTGTTCACAAAGAATTAGGTGAAAAACAGTACCTTATCGTTCAGACAAGAAAAATGAAACTGTAAGAATATTAGAAAAGAAATGCTTGTCAGAAAAGAAAAGCTCTTATGAGAACAAGAAAACTGTTGGCAACTCCATTTTCATACCGTTTGGCAGATCAACAGAGTAGTCCAAGTCAGGGGGGGGCTGCTGAGTTGGGAAGCAAATCATATCAACATCAATACTCTGCATTAAGAGTAAAACCAGCTATAAAAAAATATGCAAGCGAATGACGTACAAGTTTTGCTTTCGGAAACCATGGTTGATAGCTAAAAAACGGTACAGAAGCAAATAACGCCATAATCAAGTATAAAACTCACCTCATCTACTCTAAGGTCAGTTTCTGGTGCCGAAATGATCTTTGCCACTTCTCTATTAATAACATCACCAAGGTACTCGGCAAAGGACGTCTTTGCCGACAAATAAAGTGAATCTTCCACACCCTCACAGATTTCTTGGATGTCAACAGAGAGTGGATCAGTGTCGCTAGATGTTCTTCGATCTAGACCAATGTCATCAAAATTGAAGCCAGAAGTTGGCTTAATATTATTGGAACTCATAGAGTCAGGTCCAAACCCCGGAGGAAAATCCATATCACACACGGAATCAGTCTTCATTCTAACCTGTAAGACCCTAAGTCATGTAAAACAACTTTGAAGCTATGAAAGAAACTAGGAAATTGATTTTGAAATATGTTATCTGGTAAGCGCACAGAATTACTGGCAAATTTATATTGACAAGTGATGTAACCTGAGGCTTCTCTGCACGCAATGTATCCTGTTTTACTGAAGCTAAAGGATTAGCCAAGAGTGGATAGCATGACCATCGTCTCCTTTTGCGCCATAAGCCACAGTATTCCGCTATTGGATCATAAGAGGCCGCATTCCACAAAATTTTCATACAGTCATCATGAAACAATTTGCGGGAAATCGCCAATAACTTAGGGAGACCGTTGATGCTTCCGGCAGAAATCGCGTTTGCAAGAGAATTCACAGGAGCAGTGCAACCAGAGTTCATCTGCTTAGTCTTGGGAAAAAAGGCAATAGAAGAATCACCTGGCAATACGTATGGTTTCTCTCCCTCCACAACCACAGGCTGCACAAGCAAATAAATGAAACAATCAATATTTATACCTATATTTATAAGATAATAATTAACGTCCGTTTCAGGTACACTACCATCTTCTCTAGCAGAGAAAAATTGTCGACTTCCTTAGTCGCTGGATTTGGTGCTGTCTGCATGTGGACTTTCCTTAAGGCAACAAACTCAGGTATTATAGAGCTTATAATCTCATCTATTATAATCCGGCGTGCAGTTTTCATAACTACAGAATGCAATTGGAGAGAAAGGTCTTCTGATATTCCGTCTACATAGCTGTCAAGAGCACCCTTCTCAGCACAATTTTTCTCATCAGTAGCATAGCCCGGTTCTCTGTTCCATTTGTGGATAAGTGATATCAGTGTAAATGGTCCAAACTTCTCATCAACGTGATACACCTACAAGAAGTAAAAGAGAATGAAGATGGAGAAATGTGGCTCGTGGCTAAAGAATTATCATGTAACGAGATAAACCCCGACTAAGAGAACAGAACTAGATGGGACGGATAGATATTACAATTCTCCGTACAAAGCTTTAAAGGAGTTTGAGCATCAAAACATCATCCGGTTTAACAGTTTAAATGACATGCACATTGGTTTTTTTCAAATTAAAAATAATAGGAAAGAAAAAAGAAAAAACCATTACGTGGGCTTGATTAATGAGGAAAAGAAATTCATGTATCTCATGAATTTAATTCCAGTGATTTCCTTATTGTCGTCTGTAGTACGAAATAAATATTGGAGAGTGGAAATGTGACAGGAAATCAAAAGCACAATAATTTCTCTCTAGGTTCTCTACATGATTTAAGCACAGCCGCCATAAACAAGGAGTGTTCCATGGATGTAAGAACAGTGGGCCTATTTGATGAGGCCTGCTATCATCAATGAAATTCATTCAACGCTGCAATCATTGTTTGCACCAACTGTCAGGGACAAGATGCCCATAAAAACCCTATAGCGATGAAAATTTGTGCAGATCTTTTCTCTGAAAACTAGACTGTCTCTTTGATTACCCATAACTTGGTGTCTGGTGACACTATCGGTGTTTTTTATTTGCATGCAGTCCAGGACCCCTTTGTCTTGTCCGGAGGAATCTGTGTTCAACACTTATCAAGCTTCCTGATTTTCAAGGTCACAAGTTCAGCACTTCACACTCAACACTTAGGTTATATGATAATGTTTGCCAACTACAGTGAAAAGATGCATACCAAAACGTATGCCCCAGTGTCTTTTTCTTTGGTTAAAAAAAAAAGGTTTCTACCCCACAATCAATAAAGTATAATAATTATTCCTTGCAGTCACGATTATCACATTTACAAATATACACAACTAATTATTAAATGTGTCTTGCTAGAATTCGTCCTCACAGCCATCTTCAACTTGTTCACTCAACATAAATTGCGTGGTGACTTTTCCTGATGCCCGCCCAAATTGTAATGGATGTTTTCTCAGTACATTATATTTGCAATTTTTTTATTCTATTAACCTAGGTTTCCTCCTCTATCCTTTTTATTCTCCACATGACAGGAAATTATAAATAAATTTGTCACTAAAGCAGACTTTAATCTCACCAATTCCACTTCTTGAAAACACCAAGTCCAAAAACCTTTTAAACCAAATTATATCAAAAGAATTACCACAATTTAAATCCTTCCAAATCCCTCATGCAAATAAGCTGTCCCAAACCAGACACACAACAAAAAAAACCCGAGATAGATTGAGGGGTTAAGGCCCCTCCTCACTTCTGATCATCTTAACCAAACAATACTCATATGCAAATCGAGCAAAACATACTATATAAGAGAATAAATCTAATAGAAAGCTCTCAAGTTTAACAGTACATTTGAACATTAGGAGAATTTTGTTGCAGCCCATGAGTCGGGTTGCATTTGATGTTTATACATAGAAAACCCTAAACTATCCATTTATCATGCATCGCATGGATTCATGAGATGCAGAGATATATCAGAAGATGACACGCATTAGTACTTGTTGTTGCCTGATGTAGGACATCAACCACAATGAAGAGAAGGTCAAAATCTTTTTGACCTAGGTGGCCCCAAAATTGTGGGCTAGGCATCTTGAAGCTTCAAAGATGATCTACAAGGATCAGGAGACCATAAAAGGCCCAAAACAGAGGTGGTTGATAATAAACCGTGTCATTAATAGGTGATGGATTAGTTTCTTGCTTTTTATGTTATTTTCTCACTTTTAATTTGTTTTTAAATTATCTAAATGCACTTGAAATCTGTTTAAGGGTCAACGTTTAAGGGTCCATCGTTATAACTAAACCATCTTTGTAGGGTCCACGTTGTAGCCTTAGAGGCATTATTCAGTTTTACGAAATTTTCCCTTTCCCAGATTATATCTCTTTTCTGGTCGATTCCGGCACCTCTCTTGTGAATTCGAAGGAAGCTTCTTGATCTTGTGGGCTCGAGATCGCCTCCTTGAGGATTCAAGGGTCAAAACTTCCAAGTTTTATGGATTCAAGGCAAGGAATCTTCACAGAAATTTCATTCCTTGTGGATTCAAGAACAAGATTTCATCTCCATGCAACTCAGGCTGCATCATCACCTCTATGTGACACCTGCAAATTGTTTTATCCAAAGAATCCTAATGTTTAAGACAAGCATGCCAAATTCTAGATTTTAAAGTAAATACCAAATTACTTTCTAACAATAACATTCATATATAATGTCAATTTGATGCACCGGCAAACAAAATAATACATTTCTTTTTGATATTGTATTTATTTCCAGTGCATCCATTCTCTTAATGTGTAGGAAGATTCTCAATCACATATGTTCACCTTTAAAGAAAACAAATGAGAAAGACCAAACGTATAGGATGTCAACAGTTCAGGGTAAACTGCAAGGCCATCCAATTTTTCCAGTGTTTAAAAACAAGCTAGTCAATAGTATAGTTGGGGCCACGCCAAGAAGCTTTGAACCACTGCTTCAAGGAGACACCGAACCAAAGTCGCAACCCTCTCCCCCTACCAGGCAGGAACATCGGTCCCCATTCTTCTGCAGCACCTTGCAGGCCCCCACAAACCTCCCCGCCCCCCCCCCCCCCAAGCATGACTGTAGAAAATATTGCAAGCACAGGCCTAGTCCCATTTCTGATCTCTTCTCTAGGCTCATGACTTGTGACTTGTGAAGCATAGTCGAGTTGGGTTGGACACTCACCACGCCAAACTTTTTTGACATTCCTATTCAAATCCATTTGTAACATAGTTATCCAATATCTGTGGTAGCTAACTTATTACAGCAGAACAGATTCACTTAGAATTCGAATGCTACATGAAGTGACTCAACTGAGCAAGAACAAGGTTCATATTGGGCAGTAATGAAGTGTATAGATCGAGATAGCTACACGAAAATTGATAGGACATTCAATTTTGTTATTCCTGAAAAACTTGATTCATTATTGTAGGAGGTATCTTAAGTGGAAGCAGGACGTTTTTGCCCTCTATGGTTGATATTATGAAAGGGAAACATAAAATAGGGAATGGCACATGTTCATGCTCAACAAGGAACAAAGGATGCATGAATCAATGATGTAATGACAATATGAACACGACACTTGGGCGTGGCAAAGGCGTAAACTAAAATTAATTCGAGTAAGCATCGAACTTATGAGTAGACATCAATGGCATCATTTGCCGGACCTATGTTCCAGTTTCTTACCATCAAAGAATCATGAATGAAATTGCTTTGATGCCAGTGGCTAAGTTCGGTGAGAGAATAAGGTCCATGCTTTAATCCTCTCCCATCATAAAAAATCCAGCAGGACTCCTCACCTGGATGTAGCTGGAATCCACACATCAGAGGCGTACATGAGGAAAAGGGAGAAAAAGAAGGGCATTATAGGGAGAAACTCCTTATAAAACCATAATATCTTCCTCACAAAAAATTAAGAAACTCCAAGCATTAAGCAAAAAATAAGACTAATCTACTTGCATGGTGGAAGCAGAATAAATCGTAAATTGGTCTACAGATTTTAGGTTATGGCAACAGAATAATACCATTGGAAGCTCCACTGAAGAGCAATTGGCCATTTCCGCAACTGCCACATGTGTTGTAGAGGTAGAGGTTGCATGTGGAGGAGCCTGGTTTCCTAATTGTTCTGAATAAGTCAATGGATGAGAATAACCAGAGACCCCTGCTTGTGTAGATGATTGCATTGTCAAAGCCGCGTTGTGGGCATCCAAAGAATGTGGTACTGTTGTTGGCAAACTAGACGTCCAGTATCCATGGCTTGCAAAGTGCCCAATGTATTTTAAAGCTATTGGATTCATAAGGTTTCCATTTACAACGGGATACACTGGGAGATCCTCTGGTAAGAAACCTGTAGACAGACCCTCACGCAGTTGCTCTTGTATATATGGTCCACACATCTGCCCATTTTCGTTAACATAAGTCCAACCACTCACAGAAGTGTTCTGAGCATACGCAGAAGAAGTCTTGTTTTGGCAGGCGGTAGACCCTCCATTACTAGGCTGAGAAACAGCACAATGGTTATTTGATGACTGAGAGCCTCCTTCCATTGCCATGTATGACACAACCTTTTCCATTGGTTCACAATTAGAGGAAGAATCATGAACGTCTTTCAACCACCTATTGACAACAATTAAGATGAAGTTAAGAATAAAGATAACTCACCTACATGTTCATAGGGAGGTCAGCATCCAAATAATTCACAGAAATATTCAATTACTAGAGAGGTAAGTGCAACACTACATGTGAGATGAGCAACCCTCATAAGGCCCATGCAAACGCATGGCCATATTGACCACATGAGTCGAAGTTTCCACATTAACTTGCTTGGAAGATGAGAGCCTCTTCCGCTTTCTTGATAGAACACAGCAACTGCATCCATAGCAGCTGGCATCAAGAGGGTCGTAATCAGTATTGCTGCTGCTGCAGGTCTCAAAGACCACACTATGTATGTCTTCCTCCAATGCGGTCTAAGGAATAAAAATGCAAACAGAAAACGTCAGTCAATGAGAATATCCAAAAGCAATATGTGGACTCATCTTACTTCTTTCTTCTCTCACTCTGATGCTCAGCAGCAAAAAAAATTTATTCAATACCTCTAAATTAACGAACTACTGATATTGCATGTTTTATTTAAATTTAGAAAAAAATCACAGGGAGTATGCAAAGGCCTGGAACCAGAGAACAACAATACACGGTGAAACGCAACGAAAAAACAACACAACAAGCAATTATGGAAAAAGTGGCTCGCAAACACGCACGACTAATAATGAGACCGAAAATGGACCGTAGACAGTGTTGGAGGCAATAGTTAATCCGCAAAGTTCATGACCCGAGGAAACTTGACTCTCGCAGAGGAAAAAATGAGATGATTTTTAGAAGATGCACGTCCTCTCTGTATCTTGACGAGATCACTCTCGGAGAAACAAAAAAATGAAGCAAAAGTCCGACGTTATCCACCCACAACCCGTGGGGAGAGATGAAAATCGGTAAGCTGCCCGTCATGTACGGTGAAAAAGACATCACGTACGCGAATACGGCCTTCGATCGGAACCAATTCACCAAAGAGGCGAGAGACGGAGCCGCATTTACGCGGCGCGGCGGTTGAGGGGTTACCGGGTCGCCGCCGGACGAGGTTGCGAGCGGGGGAGCGCAGATTTCACGCATAGCGCTCCGTATGCTGACAACTCGCTCCACCGGCGGCCGTGTTTGCCACCGATCCTCCCCTCCGGCGGGGCAGGCCGGCGAGGAAGGGATAGGTTTCGCCGGGGACTTGGTTTTCTCTAAGTTCTGAGCGAGGAGCGGACGAGCACGAGGCGGAGAAGAAGGGCTGGGCTTCGAAGAAGGGGCGGCGGATATCAGCCGGGGTATTTCTCATAGTGGGCCTTGGGCTTCACAAAGGCCCGAAAATAAGGCAAGCCTTTTTATACGGCCCAAAAGGCCCAGTTTCCTCTCTTTCTCCCTCTCTCTCCTCTTAATCTGTCTGTCTCTCTCCCCTCTCCCCCCTTCTCCCCTCTCTCTCTCTCTCTCTCTCTCTCTCTCCCCCCTTCTCCCCTCTCTCTCTCCTCTCTCTATCCCCTTCGCCCCTCTCTCTCTCCTCTCTCTCTCCCCTCTCCCCCTCTTCTCCTCTCTCTCTCCTCTCTCTCTCCCCTCTCCCCCTCTTCTCCCCTCTCTCTCCTCTCTCTCCTCTCTCTCTCCTCTCTCTCTCCTCTCTCTCTCCTCTCTCTCCCCTCTCTCTCTCCTCTCTCTCTCCTCTCTCTCTCCTCTCTCTCTCCCCTCTCCCCCTCTTCTCCCCTCTCTCTCCCACTCCCCCTTCTCTCTCTCTCTTTCTTTCTCTCTCTATCCCCTCTCCCTAGAACAGAGTTGAAGAACATACCCGGTTAGAATTCTTTTTCACGTGCGCCAACAAAACGATTTTACATTAATCATCAATATGGCCCCGAATAGCTCCCCCTCCATCGTTTTTCGACACAGTTGACGCAGCGGGTCCCCCGAAGTTGACTTTTCGACGGCGTCGTTGTCCCAGAAATAAGCCACGAAGAATGATTCGTTTGAGATTATAGTTGCACCGAATAATCAGTTTCCCACGTGTCATAATCATGCATGATGCTTTAGATGGGAAGAATATAGCCTTGGCCAATGACGACACGTGGCGAGTGCTTTGGCCAACTCCTTCCCGCGGGAAGAGGCCATGGAACGTTGACCCAACCGTTTTAAGACGAGAGATTTCGGAAGCCAACACGTGTAGGTCGGTGCAGTCTGTCAGCTCCTTCCTTGTCCCTCCCTTCCTGCTCCTCGCTCCTCGCGATTCACAGAAAAATAACCGGCGCACTGACCAAGTGTAGTGAAAGGAAGATAGATCTCATCTGTAGAGAGAGGCGTTCATCTTTCTATTTAAGAACGTCAATACTGGCTCTCTCAGTGTGGAGTGCAGGGGAAGAAGGTCACTGCGAGGGCTGCAACAGATTGGCCGGTGATGGGGGGGAGGCTGAGGAGGGGGATCGGGCCCTTCGGGAGGAAGAAGTGCCCGCCGGAGCCTGCGCCGGCTGCCACGAGCGCGGCGGCGGCGCCGCCTTCTTCGCCGGACTCGGTGCTCGCGCGACTCGACCAGATCGACCTCCGTGTAAGCTACACCTTCTGTCTTCTTCTCCCTTCTTCTCCGTTATTTTCTCTCTGTGACAATCCCTCCGCCATCACGAGGCAGCTCAGGCAGCTGGAGCAAAACCAGATAGCGAGGCCGCCACCGCCGATGCTACCGCCGGTGCCTGAGAGCTACTTCTCTGCCGACCTGAGGAAGGCGGCGGAGGCTGCGAGCTTAAGCTACAATCTGCAGAAGCAGCAGCAGCAGCAGAAACTGAGCAAGGATCGTCGACAGCAGAAGCCTCCGGCGTCGTCTTCCATGTCATCGGCCATTCGCGAGGTCTGCCTCAGGGGGAACCTCATGGACCGCCTCGGGCTTCTCGAGAGCCGCATCCTGCAAGTACGGTGCACGTCTGCAGGATGGAAACCAGATTCTTTCTCCTCTCTCTCTCTCTCTCTCTCTCTCTCCGTCTCCGTATTCGAGAGGAGGCTGAGCCCGTGAGGATGTTTCCAGCTGAGCTTCGAGCTGGGGGATCGGAGCAGCAGCAGCGGCGCGAGTTCTTCGTCCACGAGGATGACGTCGTCCGGTGAGAGCGCGTGGGCGGTGCAGTCGGCCTCGTCCTCCGCGGAGGAGAAGCGAGTCGCCGTCGCCGCTGCCTCCTCGTCCCGGAGGCTCGCCGTGGGGTTGGCCCCATGGAAGCTGGGCCTTGGCCACAGGCTTCATCGGCGCATGTCCAGGAGGAGGAAGGTGCATGCCAACCTCTCTCGCTCTTTCTTCCTCTCTCTTCCTCTCTTTTCCTCTCTTTTCCTCTCTCTCTCTCTATATATATATATATATCTCAATCGATCTGTTTATCTCTCTCTACCTCTCCCTCTCTGTATGACTCTTTACCTCTCTCTCTTTCTCTCCCTATCTATCTATATATCTAACTCTATCTCTCTCTAACTCTCCCTCTCTGTATGATTCCTTATCTCTCTCTCTCTCTCTCTCTCTCTCTACCTCTCCGTCTCTGTACGACTCTTCACCTGTCTCTCTCGTCTGTGACTCTGTGCAGGGGAAGGATCCGAAGGAAGCGCTGGAAGCGGCGGAGAAGAAGGCGAGCGACGTGTGCAAGGAAAACAAGAGCGCTCGGCTCTACAGGAGGTGGTTCCCCGTCGGATGCTGACCAGCCGGACGTCTCATCCATCGGCTCTACGAGGCCATTTCCTAAGCTCCTACTTATCATCCATAAACACGCGTCTCCTTCTCCCCAATATTTCCCACCGTTTATCATGTCGACATAGTGTCACCATACTAATCGTCCATACCTCCCATTTACCATCCACTATAAGATCAAAAATGACATTATTTTCAATTAATCGACATTCTTTGCATGGGGAGGGCAGTGGAATGTCGCCATATGTATGCCATTTCCCTAATATGTATATAAGATAAAGAATGCCATTAAATAAATATTATCTATGTCACTAAACCTATGTCTCACATGAATAATGTGCCTATGTTTCGCATTTCATATGATGGTCATTATCCTAATATATTAATTCGTGGTTTTTCTATATTTTTTTATGAATGTTTTAGAATGGAGATAGGGCTCATTATTATAATTATTATATTATTTTCTATGTTGAGCATTACATTTTCTAGATTTTTTCCGCCTAATTTTTGTAAAATCCGGGATGACGTCATTATCTGGTAGGCATAGAAGAGGGTGGGGCATTTTAATAAATCATATATAATATTTCATTATTCTAAAGTTTTTATGTTGATATTTTTAGGGTATTATTTGGAAACCTTGGATTGGTTGAGCTTCACGAAATTCGGTGGGCCCTCCTTCTAGATTCTTTTAAAAAATCAGGGCTTTAATTTCTTGGAAAATAACAAATAATGGCGAGGCTAAAAGAGTCATTGCCGCGGGGATAGGGAGCTCGGGACAGTGAAGGACCCGTATGTTATAATGCATTACGGTAAATTCCTCTCTCTTCTCTCTCTCTCCCTTCTTCTGTATCTCTCTTGTCGTTCGCTTGCTCGGTGGTCATGGCGTCGTCGGAGGTGGCTGAGGGCGGCGGAGGAGGAGGCCATGGTGGCTTCTCGGAGGGCGGCGAATCAGATTCGCTCTTCGAGGGGATGGTCCTCATTGACGCCTCCGATCTCCTCCCGGCTTCTTCATCCCCTCCCCGTTCTCCTCTTCCTCTGCTGGCTACGCCGCCACCATCGAGCCCCCAAGCGGAGGGGACGGGAGTGGCGCCTCCAGAGGCGTCCTCTTCGGCTTCTATATCCTCGTCCCTTCCTCTAGACGAAGACCTGTTCTCCGACCTCACAATCCTATCTCCATCGACGCCGGCTCAGCAACCCTCTCTCTCATTGCCACCATCGGATCCGCCGGCGAGGTATCTGCAGGCCACGCCGGCTGATCTTTCTCCGAGACCTTCGGGGGCTTCCCCTACGCCGGAGACACCGCCCCTACTCGTGCCTTCCCGGCAGATTACCCGCAAGAAGAAGAAGGCCATTAGGATCGGGTACGCACGGGATGCAGCGGCCGGATGGCCGGGATCCGCCGGCGCGAACCCTGCGGTGGACGATCAAGTCTCTGAGCTATCGGTCCGCACAATCCGCGAATCCTATTCTTTCTCTACACCTCAGTTGGAGTCCACATCCGTCCTGGTTCCTCAGCCTCAGTCCAGCACATCCCCCACTACAATTGAAGCGCGATCTGACGTCCTTGTCGACCGAAATTCACACCCGCCCGAGGATTCTCATGATGACGAGAGTGGGGTTCTAGAAAAAATCCAGGAGGGCCATCCTCCATCTGAAGCAGCAGGTAAAGATGAAGAAGAGGAACACAAGCCCACTGAACCTCCACCTGAGCAAGATGATAGTGAAGAAGATCCCGTTGCTTCCATGGAGAGGAAGCTAGATAAGGTGAAAGCGCGGATATCCGGGAAGCTCAGTGTGATTAAGGAAACAATAGCCTCTTTGTCGGAAGAGAGGAAGGTGTTGAGGAGGAATCGGAGGAGCGCGGCGGATAGCGTGAATGCAGTATCCCTTAAGTACAAGGAGCTGGAGCGCGAGCTCGAGGAAGCATGCGAGGTGGAGGATTTTGAGAGGGCGGAAAGGGTTAGCGAGAGTCTTGCAGCGGCAGAGAAGGAGAAGGATGATCAGCTGAGATTGCTCAGAAGAGCTGAAGAGGATTGTGATGTGGTAGATTTGAAAATGCAGGAGGCCCTGGAAATGCAGATATCTACTGAAGAGGAGAGCGTCGCTCTCCTGGAGCACTTCTCAGAGGTATGTGTCGCTACTTCAGTGGTGTAGATCGTGACCGATGCTTTCCTGCTTCAATTCTGAAGTATTTCATCCGCAAATAGCCCTTTTTTAACCAATTAATTAGTGTTATATTCCATTTTCATGCATAAATTCCTTATGCACGAGGACATCTTCATGTTCGGATCCATGGATATTGAAACTTCTTACTTTAAACAAATGACCTCCATCAAATTTACTTTATTTAGTTTTAACTTAATCTTGTATTGATCGAGCAATCTAGTCGTTCTCTAACAGGACGATACTTTTTCCTAGATTCAGATTGTCAGAGGCAGCCCATCTGAGATAAGTGGTTTTAATCTCTTTAAGTTGGAACCGATGACTAATTTTTTGCCGGTTAATACTCAAAATTTTCTGAACTGCCTGCCAGGTTCACCTCAGAAATCATCCCTGCAATCTTTCTTTATTCTTTTGCGGAGAATAGGGTCATATGCTCCTCACATAACTGTTTCTAGGTGAATCTACGGATGGAAAGTGGGAATGGAATTTCGAAATAAACTCGGTTGCACATGGTGAGATGTATGTTGTTCTGGATTTCAGTCAATAGCTACTTGGCATAAATTCAAGATTTCCTGTCGAATTAGTCCTTGTTAATAACCAAGAGATGGGAAATATGTCTTAATTCACCTTTGGCAAGTCAAAAAATGGCAGTGAAATTTCGCCTTTCATCCATGCAAATGTCATAATCTTTCTTTATCCTCGACCCATCATACCCCCGCTCTCCCAAAGTCTACTTTTAATAGGGACAGCATGACTTCCAATACTTGCTCTAATGCCCTAATTCCGACCCTAAGTTCGATTTGATAAAAAGGCAGGTTTGTTTCATGAGTTGGTTGTTCTTCTCTGCAAATATGTCTTAGATTGCTTTTGGGTCGGGTTGGTTCTATCTCACTTCTCTATTCCATGGGTAAGTGTAGATTCAGGCATCTTGCTTCGTATCCATATAGAACTATAAGCTGATTGAGACAAGGGTAAACCTTGTCGCATGGGGTCCTGTTTTGATTAATGGAGATGGCTGAGTTTTATATAGAAGAATATATCCTGTGTGTACTGGACCAATTTTCTTCTCTAGTCATATACTTATGTTTGCATTCGGAATAAATGAAAGGATATTTGGAAACCCTGCTGAATCGCACTTTATATTTATGAAGTCGGTGTCTTAGCTGGTCTTTATAAATTCCACTGTGATGAAACAGTGGAATTTATCAGTCTTGTTTTCTCTGTTTGATGCAAATTTCTATGATGTCCTTTCAGAATGCTGTTGATAGTGCAGAGAAAATCACGAAGAATGCCTCAGAAATCTGTTCAAAAGAAATGGAAGAATGGCAGCTGTCAATTGAAACATTAGAAGCTAGAAAGTTAGAAATGGAGATTGAATCACATGTTGTGGACGAAGCGCGTTCAGGGCTGGTAAACTCCATCGACCAGTTGACTGATGGTGACCAGAAAGGAAAGGAAATGTTGAACAACAAGGGGGCCGTACTGGCTAGAGAATTAGAGGAGTTACAAGCATTAGTCCGACAGAAAGAAGCCCAGATTGCCGAAAATAATGCGCAGATACTACAAGTTGAAGAAAGAATTTCTAAGGTGGTCTTAGAATTCCAAGAATCACAGTCAACTATCATTGCAAAGCGCAGATATTTGGAGCTCGCGCTCTCTGAAATTGAATCCGAAGAAGATGATTTGTCCAAGAAGAAGAAGGAAATAGATGAATCTCTTGGCCTAGCCGAGCAGAAGAGCTTGAGACTCAAAGAGCTCGCCCACGTCTCCGTTGAGGAAGCAAAGACCTGTCGAGATTTGGTTGCCCTGAGGAAGAGCATGTCATCCTATGTTCTAAAGTCCAGGGAGGACAAGACAAGGCTTGCGAACACTGAGGAGCAAAAATCAGAGGAAGTCCACATGCTTCGGCAACAAATCTCAACTGCGAGGTCTTCTCTTCAGGTTGTTATAATAATTTTTTTCAATAAAAGCATGAAGGAATATTTTTAAAATTTTCCTCTAGTGGAGTCAATAAATAGTTTATGTTTAAGATTCTAATTGACGCAACATGATGTCAAAATTCTCTCTTCCATCCTGCAATCTTCTTCAATCCTTTCTGCCACTGCTGAAGACTCTCCGGCGTTCTGGGCTTGCAGGAACTCTCTTCAACCAGGGCGAGTATCCAAGAAGAAACCACTCTGTTGAGTCAGAGGATTGGCTTCATAGACAAGAGAATTCCCGAGCTGGAGGCAGAAAAGAAGGTCGCCGCTGCTGCCAGGAATTTCAAGGAAGCTGGCCGAGTAGCTGCCGAGGCCAAGGCCCTGAGCTTAGAGAAGGAAAGTGCCCAACTTGAAATGGACAAGGGCTACAAGGAACTGGAGAGGGTGGAGGAGGAAATCAGAAACATCGTCACAAAGATAGAGGAGAGTGAAGAGCTCGTCTCGTTCAAAGAGAAGGAGGTGGCACTCGCGGGGTGGGAGAGGCTCCACCTAGTTGCTGCCACTGCCAGGGCAGAGCAGTCGGCCGCCCTGGAGTCAGGTGACTCTGAGGAAGCAAGTATACTGCTTGCAGAGGCTGAGGCGGCCGAGTCAAAGGCAAGGGAACTCCAGGGAAGATATGGATTCGAGCTAGAATCACTTAAAGGCGCGCCCAGAAGCCTGCTGTCCATACCCATGATCACCAATCTCTCAGGAGCAGAGGCATCATCGGTGAAGAACGACTGTGCAGAGGAGGGTATGGAATGAATTCTCTCAGATGATCTTCAGAGTGCCGCGCCTGTATGTATGTATCTTCTCCCTTCTCTCTCATGGGCTGCTCCTATTCGAACTCATGTCTCCTAAGACCCTCTGAAAATCTTCCTGTGAGCCTGCAACTACTTTCTCGTTCCTCGCTACGTCAATAAATCATAAATGTTGCCCCCACACTTTGGGATTCTCTGATTTCAGATGACCCGGAAAATTGAGCCAGTAATATTATATTTGAATCACCAAGAAAATAGCACATCTGCAGATAAATAGAAGTAAGATTTGCATGCTCATTATACCTTTTTCAGAAGATGATTTTTTTTTTTAAAGTTCATTAGCATATCGTTTTAGGTGAATTAATTGATTATTTGAAACCCACTCTCACTCCATCTCAGATATGTTATTATTTTCAAAAGCGGATTGAATAACCTGGTGGACCCGGATCGGAATCACTCTCCGACCTCTTTCCTAAAATTATTGGATGTCTTTTCAAATCATTCCTGCTCGATGCATCTTCTTGACTTGGACGCCATCAGGGAAGAATAATATTCGCTGTCACCTTATCATGCATCATCTCCTGCTGCAGTTATTGGAGCTGTCCTGGATGGCAAAGCTGAGGAGTCTGGTTATCGTGATCTCTGCCAGTCTTCAGAACATGCCCGTGAAAGCCCCAGCTCAAACTGGTTATTTCTTTCGCCTCTCAAAATCTTTTTTTTCTTTTTTGGTTGTTTTTTTTTTTTTGTTGGGTTTCCAGGTTGAATCTTTATATCTACCCTTTTAATCTCCGAATGTGTTCAACCTTGGCGGTCCCTCTTCTGTTCCATCCTAAATGAAATCTCTGTGTGTTGTTACTATATGTGCAATGCTACATGGAATCCCCATGAACTCCATGACCTTGAGGCTATTTCTCATGTCCGTCAAAATATACAAGAAAATATTTGTCTTCGAAGGAAGGATATAAATAGCAAGTCCAGTGGAGGGGAAGTGGGATTTCTGGGATTTTTCTCGTCTTATTGGTACTATTTTTGGTTCTGTCCATTTTTATTTCTGCAGGCAGAAGAGGAGATGCATGCGAGGGTATGTCCTCTCAAGGTCTGACTATGGAGGTACCATCCAGTGCTGGTTTACCATGTAAACGTGAGGGACATTTAGCATGTATATGGCATCTGATGGAACAATATCTGCGGTCTTCCTCCAACTCTGTTAAAATTCGTAGAATGAAGATGACATAGAGAGGGAGAGAGAGAGAGAGAGAGAGAGAGAGAGAGAGAGAGAGAGAGAGAGATGATGGTGGTGATGGGTTCATGTTTGGTCAGTGACTTTCTTCGTTCTGATTAAGATGGTGATATGACTATTCTTTCATCGTCTTGCAGGAGATCCGTTCTCTCTCTCTGTTCTGTCTGTCTCTGCCTGTCTGTCTGTCTGTCTATCTCTCTCTCTCTCGCTTTCTGTACCGAGAGAGGGTGGACCAGCGTCGTTGTTTAGACAGGTATGGCACCAGAGATATGTTCAACGCAAGGAACTGCTGTGGCGGCTTCTCGAGAGCTTTGAGTAATCATCTTGTTTGTCAAGATATAATAAGCCCGACAGGTGCCAAGGACAGTTTTGTCAGTAGGTTGTCATTGTATGGTCTTTTTCAGGACGTTGACTTCGGCTTTCAGATCGAATCTACAAGATTTAGGTCCAGACCTCCGGGCCCATTGAGCCCCCTTTGACTAGCAATGGAGAGAGAGAGAAGAGAGAGAGAGAAGAGAGAGAGAGCTCAATCTAGTAGAACAACAATGAATGGAACAATGAAGAAGATGAAACAAAACAAAAGACTAACAGGAGGGGAAGGGCGGAGGGTGAGGAAGAGGAGACTGCTACGTCGCCCCCACCCAACCAGTTATATATATATAACGTATATAAGAGCCACCATCAGAGAAGGGCAGCTGCTCCACTCGCCTGGCTCCTCTGCCACCTACAGAGCAGCGGCGCCGGCGCCGCCAATCCAATGCAGCCACAGGAACCTGCATGACCCGCCATGAAATTCACAGCTCCTATTCCTTCGTCTCCCCGAGCTCAATGTCCTTCGATTCCCCGTTCTCCGCTCCCCCTTTCAGCAACCGGATCTCCTCCTCCGTCATGCTGCTCTTGGAGAGCGCCGCCTTGGCGGCCGCCACCTTCTCGTTCTCCACCGCCCAGCTGTAGATGACCATGCCGGCCACCGCCAGGAGCATCCCCGTTATGTTCTTCAGCGTCAGCTCGGAGTCGAAGAGGATCCAGCCGAGTGTGAGCACGCACACCGTCTTCATGTGCCCCAGCACCTGGAACGAGACCGCCGAGAAGCGCCCGATGCAGAGGTACTGGCTCACGTTGCAGAACACCGCCAGAGAGCATGAGAGCAAGATGAACACCTGCCGCCACAGATCCATCCATTGGGCCCCAATTATGTCGCCCGCCAAAGATGAAGATGAAGACGAAGACGAAGGTGAACATGTGGGAGACTTACGATGGCGCCGGTGGAGAATCTGTACTGAGTCAGGATCTTGCCGTTGAGGTAGAAGTCAATGAAGGGGCCGAGGATTATGAGGGAGATGGTTTGAATTGGCGCCGTCTTGCTCAGCAGCTCGAACGAGCCCACCGAGTACTTCTTCTGCAGGGACCCAATTGACTGCCATGGAAAAAAAAAACGAAAAAAATTCCAATCCATGATGAAGTCAAAAGAGAGAGAAACCGCAGGAAGAAGAAATATAGTTTGGGTTGACCCTACAAAGTGGACATTTTGGATCATCTCAGCCCTCCTCCTCTGGCCCTGATCAGGGCTCTAATGAGGACGCTCATCAGATATCTCAACAGTCGAGAAAAGTCTCCCTTTGTGCACCACAATCCCGATGAAATTAGCATGAAATGAATCATACTACCGATAAAAATAGATCCCCTCATCATACAACGAGTCTAATAGCATCTAGAGAGAGAGAGAGAGAGAGAGAGAGAGAGAGAGTTGTGGGGTTCTCGGGTTCATCATTGATGCATATGTCAAAGGCCGTGGTAGGAGATTCTACTTGCTGAGATGAAAGAACGTGATTTTAAGGAATGCTCACAATCTGCTGCAGGGACGTTGACAGCACGGCTACGCAAGCACAGATGAAGCCCTTCGCGTTGACTTTCACATCAGTCACCGTGCACACCCCAACTCCCATAACCACAACCACCACGGCTATCTTGACCTCTCTCGAGTAGCGTTTCCCGTGCATCAACCACTCCATCACGCATACCACAGGGATCATACTCAGCTTGGAGATCTGCAGGGGGGAATTTTTTCAGAAAAGAATCAAAGAATCAAAGGTCAAATGATCTCCTCGCCGGGGCCATGAAAAACGAGAGTCAACGGGGTGCTGAAGAGGGGTTTTGGGGAACGCATGCGCAACCTGGTAGAAGCCGACGGAATTGAGCATCAAGCTCAGGTTCATCCCTGTGATGGAGGTGTTGGCGACGATGGAGAACCAGAGAAGCTCCCACAGAGGGACATGCTTCGATGCAGAGTAGCCCGTCGCATTTGAGACGAAACCCACCACGGCAGTCACGGCGAAATGCATCCCGGTGAGAGTCGTCGCTGCAGGAGGAGACGATGAAATGGGATGAGAGGCAGATGGAAGGCAGATCGATTGATGGAGCGGAGCAGAAGAGAGATGATCATACGAGGAGCTGAGATCGTCGGTATCTCAGCTTTCAGGGAAGGCAGACATATGTGGCGATGATCCAGAGAAATTCGAACGAGATCGTCGGAATCGATAGAAAGTTTCTGTTCCCTCTGGTAGACATGCATCCCATTTCTTTCTTCGCCTCTAGTGCGTGTTCGTCCCCATCCTCTGAAACCTCTGAGGAAAGGCAAGAGAGGAGGAAGAAGACCCAGATGGATGGATAAAGGGTAGATTTGATGAGTCTACACGGGAGGAACGGAGTGGATTTGCAGAAGATCGGGGTTCCGCTGGATTTGATGACTCCACGGCGGGAGGAAGGGGGCGGGGAGAGAGATTTGCGAAGAACACCAGATCAGATCCAGGAGAGTTGGGCGGAGTATTTTCGAATGAATGGAGATTTTCAACGAATGGCCTACTAATTAGATCCATACCGAAGCTGAAGCCATAGCCGCCGGAGGACATGAGCTGCTTGTTGGCCATGATGATGCCGACGGAGCTGACCACGTTCATGCCCCAGGCCCCCATATCAGACACCGCCACCGAGGACTTGGCTCCCTCTCCATCTCCAGCGGCGCCGCTCGCCGGCTTCCCCCCTTCGCCCTCCTTCATCTCCTCCTCCCGGCGACGTCCCGCACCAGATTCTCGGCCGGGGAGAAGCCGAGACCTAAATCGGCGACGGCCTCGATCGAAGAAGACGAACAAGAAATGGCCAGGAGCTTATCCAGAGGACAAATGGCGACGGGCCTTCGAAAGCTAGCCACCAAGAAACGGCCTCCACGTAACAGGGCGACTTGCAGATAAGCTTCCCCTCCTTCTCCGCCGCCGCCCAAGCTTTGTCTCCGTTTCCGAGGAAGACCCACGAGAGGGGGAGGAGCGAGATCCGCGAAGGCCGACGATCCAGGGGATGAAGATCGAGGTGGGGAAGGATACAGCAGGAGATTTAAGAAAGGGGAAAGAAAAGGGGGAGGAGGAGGGCGAAGGAGGAGAAGAGGAACAATGTGGAGGTGGAGGCGGGGAGCTGCCTTCTACCCTCTCTCTCTCTGTCTTCCTCTCCCTCTCACCCTTTTGTCTGCGTGTGCGTATGGTGAGGATGTGAAGAGGGTAGAAGTCGGGCGAGACCCAGACGAGAGAGAGAGAGAGAGAGAGAGAGAGGCGACGGGCGTGTGGGGAGGGGATTAAAATGGAAGAGGAAGGGTAAACTATGGAGGGAAGGTAGATTAGCACTGCTGCAAATCTGAAAAGCCGACTGCAATCTCAGACGCCAACCCTCGAACCAGAGAGTAGACCACAAAGCCGTCGGCGAGTCAGGCCCCTCTCTCAGAGAGAAATATAGAGATACAGAGAGAAAGAGATATATATATCTATAGCAAGAGACTGGTAGAGAGAGAAAGCGAGAGAGAGAGAAAGCGAGCGAGAGAGATAGAGAGGGAGATGGCGATCGTCCTCCTCCCCCCCCCTCAATCTTCCGGGATTCCCTCCGACGCCCGCCTCTGGTCTCGGTGGGAGCTGGCCGAACGAAATCCGACGATGACGTCATCGGATAGGTGGGTCCCCCACGTGCGTGAATAAGACTGCGGTCAATGGCCACGATGCCCGTCGGTGTGGACTTGGACCTGCGGGGTCCACCCCCATTTCCCTGTATCCAACCTCATGATCTTATCGCTCCACATCCCATCGAGACGGGGGGCTGTATCTAGCCCCATGCTGCTCATAATGACCGTCCCTGTTGCTGCATCACCCCTGAAAGGATTGAGAAGGTGTCGGGCTCGGTGGGTTGACCGACAGTCCCTTTGACTTGACTTGACCCCATACACAGATCGACCCGCAGTAAAGTTGACTAGAGTCCGAACTCCCCCACCCCTTCGCAGTCGAAAGATCCCATCTAATAAAGATACCAAGCAGAGCGTCGTCTCAAGCGTTAAAAGTCAACCCACTTCACGGCATTGACTTTGATAGTTTCGATGAGGTTTCACTAACAGCTGAAAGATAAAGCCTCTGACTGGTCATACTTGCTGTCGTATATATATACATATATAATTTATTTATTTATTTAATTTCCGTCCCCGGAGTTATTTTACTAGGAGTGTCTAGGTAATTCCGAGAAATTAGGCATGTAGCACCGAAGTGGGATGATTTATTTTGTGATTTTTTTTATTTATTAATTAAAAGGCGGGGAATATTCGGGAGCGTTGGCCACCGCGCTCGGGGAAAATATTTATTCACCGCCGTCGCCCCCAGGAGCGTCGGCCACGTGTTAATAGATATCGGAAAATACTTTTCTGTGGGCCCCACCGCGCATTCTAGCTGCGATTGCGAATAGATAGCAGGCATTTTATCTTCGGGATGAATTTTTTTAATTAAAAAAATAATTGGGAGCAGCCTTCTTGTGGCTCGGGAGAGAGCGTCTTCCTCACGTGACGTGATTCCCCCGGTGATCGTAGGGCAGTCCCACGTGCCCAACGGAGAACGGCACTCGAGCTGCGCGTGACAGCTCAGAAACGGGCCGAGGAGGGTCAGCGGGCCGAGCAGTATTTAATATTAATAACCACCCGGAAAAATATTAATATAAGCGAAAAATGGTTCGTTAACAGATGGTCCTGAGTTGACCATTCACTTACTCAACGCGGATAGTCAGACGGAAGAACCAACTTATTACGTTTCCTTTAATTCTTTCCGTGGAGAAAATTAATCGCGATGTGGATGGGGTGGACGGGCCAAAGCCCGGGCCCAGGCCCGGTTCAGGTATGGGGAGAAATTACGAAAATGGGGCTCCTTACTGCGTAAATGACAAGTACGGGTGAGGGACGGCGTTTCACGCGGTCTCGTTTATGAAGTGGCGGGTGGGCGTGGTCCCTAATCTAATCTAATCTAATCTTGGTCGGCTTCAATGTCGTCAAGCGCCTCAATCTCCTTTGATTATTATACCCCTTGATTTGAAGGCCAATTGAATTCCAATTATGCCCTTTATGAGAGAGAGAGAGAGAGAGAGAGAGAGAGAGAGAGAGAGAGAGAGAGAGAGAGAGAAAGCATGTAGAGGTAGGCATTTATTAGGTCGCACGGATTGGAAAAGGACTATTTGAGTGGAACAAGGGCAAGATGGATGGTCATAGCGGTGATGACGACCCATCAAAATCTTTCCCCATTCAGTACTATCTTGTTGTTGATTATTCCTTCTATTGCTCATTATTTTGATGGAGTTGCTATCAACGATAGTCAAACAGGATGAACCCTATTGAAATTGCTGTCATCCTTAGCAAAATGAAAAAAAGGTGCAAAAATATACAATGTGAGCAACCAATGTGCCCTCAAGAGTAGCTAGCCTTTCCAAGTAAATATACAATGTATTTACATAATATTTAAATAGGTCAAAAGGTGCAATTTTTTTAAAAAAATATTTTTTTTAGAATTATCAACCGAAGGTTGATTCATAATTTTTATTCACCCTTATTTTGGAAATTTGTGGGAAGAAAATGCTAAAACAAAGGCTCATAGGAATCCGTATACATCATTAGCACCCTCTTTAGTTGATTTATCATTCTTACCCACTTAATTCCTACCTTTAGGACATGGATTCAGACTCAATTTTCTTAGTTACTAATAATAAATGTGTACTATTGAGTTAAAACCTTTGTCCCAATTATCAACGTTTTCTATTAATTTATCTTACCCCCATTAAATCTACTAAAATTTTCTACAAAGTGTTTTGACTATGGAGAAAATTGTAAGTTTTGTAGAGCATACATTCCTCCAAATATTTTCTGAATATTCATTGAAGTAGAATTGGAAGATGAAAATTTTGAAATTGTACCTTGAATCCATGATAAAATATTAGCATTCTTTGAATCCACATGATGGAATATTATAACTTCTTAGCTCATTAAAGAGACCACAAAGTAATTGTGTAAACGTGACCTCTTGTGGAAATCTGAATGTTTGACCTCGTAGAGCCAAGGCTTTGGGGTTTCCTTCAATAAGTGAGACAGCAACATTGAGTTATCCAGCTACCCACGTCACTCAATGTCAGATCACAACCGTCTTCTCTTTCAATACATTGTGTCTTTACTTTGAATCATTAGTATGTATAGTTTATCTTGTTCATTTATGGAAAGGAGATATCATGCATACTGTAGATCTTGCCATTTTTCAGCTCCATTTCACTAGTTATTACAACAATTGTAATGTGTCTATCCTTTTTTATGATAGTTGATAGGAACTTTACCAAAATAATGAATATTAGAAGGAATAATCATCAACAAGGTAATAATTTATGGGAGAGGTTTTAGGGGGTCATCCTCATCGCCATGATCCACTATCTTGATGTTCATTCTATTGAAATGGGACACCTCTAGTCCTTGTTGGCCAAATAAATACCTACCTCCCTCTCTCTCTCTCTCTCTCTCTCTCTCTCTCTCTCTCTCTCTCTCTTAAGGGCTATAATAATCATAGAGTATTGAGTCCACATGACATGACATTGAAGCCAATGAAACTAGAGTCCATGCCCACCAGCCACTTTATAAATGAGATAGTGTGAGCCCCTCAAGTTCCTCATTGGCACAATTTCACAACTCAATGGGGTTTAGGATATCATTATCTCAATACTCAATGGGGTGATATTAATTATCAAACCACTATACAATTCCTTTTATCCTTTATTAATATATTTGATGAATTAGGAAACAAGAGAGAAATTGGAGGAATAGAAGATTAAATGAATTAGATTTGATCAATTCCAACCCCACCTCCCCCCCCTATTGATCTAACTAGGGCCTTGTATCAAATAGTTTGATTAGTGCAGATTCCTTCTTGAAGATGTGGAATTAATTAATGCATGGTGGAGTCTTTGATAATTTGGGTAATAGCTAGATTCTCTTTCTTTCTCTCACTCAAGAATATAATTTTTTTATGTTAACTTTGTGTGACCTACCTTTCCTCTTCTTGTAACGTGGGACATAATGAATTTTTTATATATTGTGTCTTAGGCCACCCAACATTCATTTGTAGTGGTTTGAAAAATTATCTATTTATTTTCACATTCTCATTTGAAATTTAGGGATTGTAAAATATTTTATGATTTTTATTAATTAATTAATTTTTTTCTCTGAATTTTGATGTACTATTTGTTTCCTCATTTTTTATTTTAAATACCTTTCTAATGAGTACATGCATGGCCATACTAATAACGGAACCTTATATTAATAAAACTAAATTGTATGAACTGTTTAAGGATTATTTTTTTATTTTAAACCACATTTATAGTTCAAATGATTTAGATCATTAAGATATATACTTCTATTATAATGAGACAATCATTTTTATTTTTTATCTATGTTGTTATCATCAAAATTAATTAGGATATTAACTCCAATATTTTCTTGACCTTTATAAGATGTTTCTTCAAATTTGCTTAAAAATTAATGACTTGTGGCACACTTTTTATATGTTTTCTTTAAAACTTGTTCTAAATCAAATTTAATAATAAAAGTAATGTTGTGGCCAAAAATCAGATCTTTAAATAAAACTAATTGTGACCTCTAGACCTCCTAACTTAAAATGAGTATTTTTAAAAATAAGTTTATGTTTGAACTATAGGGCTAGGTGAAACTGCTAGA